CACTAGCCCAACCATGTCCAACCCAACCTGGGCTAAGTTAATCACCTTCTGCGTGCACGGGAGGCCCTATGCAAGTGCGTTTGAATGCTCTTCTCAAAACCCAAAGCGCTAGCAGTACGCAAATGATCTCATTTGGCAATGTTTGGCTTTTCTTCAGCAGCGCGCTGCGATTGCTCTTTGGGGACCCAGTATATGATTTGAGCATGACGAGGCTTACGACTCAGCGGAAAGATTGCACAAATCAATGCAAGTGCTTGCATGCACAAGGCCACCTTCGCTTTTGAACAATTTCTGCATTTGACTTTTCTGTAAAGCTGGGATAGGATAGTGTGTCCTACAAAGCCTACAGGAACCCGAGAAAGAAAAGCAACAAAAACCAACTTGGGTTCAATTTGTTTGGTGTCCGATTTTTGTGGTTCGTGGTACGTTCCTTTTTGCTTCATGCCAGGAAAGGGCGACCCAACAAAATCCTGCATGTCTTTCCATGTTGGGACTTGTGTGCTGGTGTGGTCTCAGGCCTAAGGGGACAAACATAAGAGTTCTTCCAACATGTCTGGTTTTTGGATGTTTTTGGTATGGTTTTTAGCTGGTAAATGTTCTTGATACTTTCCAGAGGGGGCCCCGCAGGAGTGCTTCTGGCTGGGGACTCGCAGGGGGCTTTTCGATTCGTGTTGCAATGCTGCACTACTGGTGATTGGCTTGTCGGGATTTTTTCATATGCAGCAAGTTACGATTGTAACTGGGACGTGCGTCGTGCAATCAAAAATGGAACGCCTGATAAGTATTGGTGAGAGCAGCCCGAATATAAAACAAGCATCAAGTCAACTGCTCCTTTGAGCACAGGGTGGCTAGAAGCATCCAACAATGAACAGAATTTCATTCATCAATGCCACCGTATAAACAGATCATACACATCTAGAGATAGCCTTTAGAAGGTTTATATGTAGTTCCATAATGTTCCATATCTAGTTCTCATACAGTGCCTATAGCTTGACAGAAAAGCAGTTTAAAGAGGGAGACGCACTATCCTTTTATATATATATATATTATATAATTATATTATATATATATCTTTCCACCACCTGCCATTGTTCCCTCTTTGCCATCAGTCTAGGCATGGCTTGCCAGAATTCATCCCTTGTCATTTCTTCAGACGACAAAGAAGGAGAAGCAAAGAAAACAAACTCCTCCCAAACACGTGTCTGTGCGATGTGAGATTATACGAGCCACAACAAATTCGTATCCGTCACGCTCCCGCTTGCAACAGCTGGAATGGCCCCATTGCTTGAATATGTTCCACATACATTGGGAATGCGTCAACACATGTCAAAGCCTAGACATCCTGGCGAAAATGACCTCAAGACTCACAAACAAGTGGACTAATGTACTAATGATAATGGACTAGTTTTTCGGGATGCTCATCACCACCCATTTCTTGGTTGCTTTTAGTCTTTTAGTCATCTGGGTCCCAACAGGCATGTACTGTAGGTCCTTGAAGAGATCGGCTTCGGTCTCAGCATTAGCCTTGATGAGGGAAGATAGGGAAGCCAAAGCCAAGGCACATCCAAGCTTGGCCATCATTCCTCGGCGCCACGTGGAGTCGAAAAATCTGGATCATCTGGACATACTGTATCTATACATACATATCTGGACTTCTTTCTGGCTGGGAATCATCAGCCTCCTTTCTGAACAGCCTATTCGTTCCGCCATCTTTGCTCGGATATATATATATATACTGAACATACTACTTATCATTTCGCCAAAGCTTTACCACAGGCTCTGTAAAGCGCAAGACTGCACAATCGCGGGACCTGCTCTGCAAAGTTAGCTGCAGCGGAAGCTCTTTGCTGATTCGTCGGAAATTCGTCGGATCAGACACTACTGCAGCGCTCGCTAATTCGAGCCAAAAGAGAACCGCCGCGTGTTCAATGTGCTCCAAAGAAGCCAGCTCGTCGAGTCGTTGTAGAGCCCAACAGGAGGAATAAACACAGCCTGATGTACTTTGCACAAAATCTATTACAGTACAGCATATCTACATACTAAGCCACCATTGTAGCATCATGAAGGTTAAGATCATCACCCAGTCAAATCACCATCTCCAAATGTGCCTACAAGTAGTTCTGTAACCTGGACATTCCATCCAGGCGCCCTCAGCTTTGGAAGTAACATTGTGCTACATTGATACCTTCTATTCACAGAAGCAGGGAGCGCAGGAATAAATAGCACTAGGTGCTCTTCAAAGTTCTGCTGCGTGAAATCGCAGCTCAATATGCTAAGACACAATCAAATGTCGCAGCAAACTGAGGCTTGCACCTTCCACGGGCCTGTGGACAGTGCGGAACAGCACAAAGAAGCAACGATTTACCAACAAAACTACCAACATCAAGTCAACGTCTGAAGTCCTAACACTCCCAACTTGTATAACAATGTGTGATATATATTATATTATATTATATTCTATTCTATTATATAAATATACATAAAAGAAAATCGTAGAAGATATCCAGGTCAGAATCCCTCCACTGTGCAAAGCCCCGCTACAAAATGCTACAAATCCACACAATTTTGACGAAATGCTCATAGCCTTGCACAAAAGGACAATGTAAGGCGGCGCCCAACTGAGCTGAGACGAAGATCTACAAATTCCTGGCAGCAGTGTCGCTGTGTCCACCAGAAGCGTAATACAGATTAATACAGTGCCTCCACGTGCCCATGAGATTTGATGCAACGTGCGTCACTGTTGGAGCAGGAAATAGCAGGAATGAATTGGACAATTAGAGGCTAGGCTATTAGGTCTGTGCAAAGAAAGGCCCAAAACGCAGCGTGGATCAGCATGATTTCAGCATGACAACGGAAAATCATGGGACATGCAGTAGCAATACGTAGCAATACGTAGCAATAGGTAGCAATCATGACGACCACCTGACCAGGCAAAGGTATTTGGAGCAGCAGGTTCTGCCGACCCACACGATGAAGGAGCTCAGGCTCCTGGGAGATGAATGGAAATGCCATCAAAAAGCCTTCCAACGTCTTCCAGCACATCCAGCACCCAGCATATTTCGTTTCGTATTCCTGTTGTTTTCCCAGGAGAATGTCAAACTCCCCCCCAATCCATCCAAAATCCAAAATATCCCAAGACATTCCGGGACCAACAATGCGCATTCACGGGGCCAACGGACCAGCAAACTGTCCTCCATTATTACCTCGACTTCATCAGCAGGAAGCCGCTTTGTCAGCGCCGAGGACACCTATGTTTGGGCCCTCCGTGCATCCAAAATTTTCCAAAATGACATTGAATGTGTTGCAAGGCTTCCACTTTGAACATGAATGGTCGATGATGCTTGCACTATCTTGCACTTGTATATCTTGTACTGTATGATCTTGTATGCATTCCTCCATTGCAAAAGCATGGAACACCACACCTCCACAAACTGCTTAGCATACTCAGGCAGAGTGGCTGGCGTGACCTCCACCTCCGTGCAACTTCCCAAGGTCTAAATGCAGGCCGCACAATCCAGCAATCTGTTGGTACCAGTAGAAGAAAGCAGTCAACGGCAAAGCGTGGCAGTGGTTGGAATTATATATATATCCTATAAAACCTCATTCACTACTAAATTCTAGGATGTTCTTGGAATTTGAAGTATTTTGAAGTGGTGCCGATTGCAGATGCCATGGGATCTGAGCAAGTGTCATTGGCCTCCTCCACTAGTGGTTTCTGGATGGCAATTGTCTCCGCCGGCCTGACGTGGATATCTCAGTGTCCGGTGCTCGTCCAGTGACTGTATGAACCACTGGCTATTTGGATTCCTTCAGGCCATTCAGATTATATCATAATTTAATATTTTGATATATTTTGCATGTTTGCAGTTCGCGGAAAACAAGCACCGAAGCAACATAACAGATTGCGGACCCGCATGAAGTTCTGTCGATTTCGGGCGAACGTCAGCCCCCTAGCGAAACTTGAAACATTCACGCACAAAATATATACGAATATGTATACATATATTGAGTTATATATATATATACATATGCACATATTTATTTGTTTATTTATTTATTTATCTATTTATTACAGATATTACAGTATATCATGTTTACATACTGTATCTTGTAATTACATGTAATTACAGTATATCATACTATTGTAAGGTTCTCAAAACAGTCAACCTCCATAACTCCATCCAGCTCCATAGCTCATCAGTGCTCACCTTCCCAAGCAGTGCCTGGGGGGTCTTGGCCGTTGAGACTGTCGTAAATCCCGGTAGTAGCCCAGGCCCTCACTGCCGGTGCCAAAGAAGTAGCCTGGCACTTTCGAGATCCGGAAGTCACAGTGAAGTCACAGTGAAGTCAAAACATATCAGACCCAGGTCCTCAGGTCACTACGTTGATCTACGTTGCAAAAGAACATTAAAATATGATGCGTGCAAGGTCTTGTTAGATCTTGAGGTACAAGATGGGATAGGTAATGGCAGCAATGGCAAAGTCTTGCGAACGTTGTCATTGACACATCTTGCCAGCTGTGTTGTTAAATACACCTGCCACTTGGAAGTTTTCCGCCGACTGATTCCTGAAACAATTGCCTCCTCAGTCGTATTTGGAACGTTCAAAGGCTGCCAAACCATGCCTTGTCTAGCACCCTCAAAGCTGTCAGCTGCACAGAAGCTTGGCCTTGGGTGTATGGTGCGCATAGAATGCATAGACAAAAGGGATCACAAGAAGGGAAACAAAACTCACCAGTGACCCAGCGCTTGTCCGCAAAGTGATGGTTTCGATGAACTTCAGTTGGCCCAAAAAGGCACGACCCAACACCAAATATATACAGATATATGCAGTGACTCTGCTAGTCAGGAGCCTCCAACCCTTGCAATGGGATTTGACAGCAAAGCTATGAGGCTGCAAACTTCCGACTTGAGTGTTGCAAATGGGTTGGTTTCGATTCCTTTCTGCGATTGCTTTCGGACATTTTCCAGCTTGAAGAATTTGCTGGCTTTGCCCATCGAGCCACTGGCTGCCTCTTTAAATCACTGCTCTCTCACTTCAAACGGGATCATCTTTTCCTAAGACAACCTTCCTGCAATTCTGCTTGTCATTACATCCTGAGTCTGCCTGTCTTCAACCTGAGGCCGCTACATGTCCATAGGCTCCTTCGTCGATTGATCCAAGCCCGGAACACTGGACATGCACATTAACATTGCAAACCAATTTAATATATGCTAAACAAATCTAAACAAATTGAGATTCAAGATGATTCAGGCAAACAAAATCAACATCGGAAACAAGGTGAAATAACAGTCAGTCAGCCGCTGGTTTCCTGCATGGATGTATGGGCAGCATGACATCATGGGCATCGGGACATCGGTAGGTTTCACTCCAGAAACGCCATCTACAGCTCTCCTCCATCTCTTCCACCGTGGATCCCTCGGGCAGCTCCTCAATGGCCTGTTTGCGTGCAATGATTCTGCATGTTTCCAAGATCACCTGAAACTGCCTCCTGAAAGTAGCTGAATGTGAGGTTTGGGATGCAATGCTGATGCCATGGGCGGCAAATGGTAGGCATATGATAGGGCTCCCTCAGCCATGTTTCAGCTTCTGGAATCTGGATCACAACTTATAAATACTGTACTTACAATATCACTACCCTTTTAAGATAGGGGGACATACCCTAAATGTAAGCTACATTTTAGACGTATTTAAGGGAAGGGGGACGTAATAACTGTTAGCTTTCATTTATTTTTCAAAGTACGTTCTAATTGCAAACTTTCATTTTAGTAGGTCCCACCACTTTTTTCCGCAATGCCCTAAAATACCTAGGGGGACGTCCAAAATGTAAGCTTGCATTTTCGAAAAAAAATATAAGAAGGTAAAAAAAGTAAAATGATAGTCTAAAGGTCGGCAAATAGCTGGAGAATTGCAGAAAATCAAAAATGTAAACTAAAAGTTTGTAGGACCCCGATTGCTTGGTATTTCCAATGCATTCTACACTTTTTCTACACTTTTTTGATCATTTCCACATGTAACACAGAGGTGTAGGAGGTATATTATTCCTTGCAAATTACTGGAAAATCCTTGAACTTCAAACACATGTAAAATGAGATGTTGAAGGTCTTCAAATTTACCTGAGGTCCATTTGAGGTCCATTTGAGGCTTTTCAGGTCCATTTGAGGTCCATTTGAGGTCCATTTGAGATCATTTAGGTGCTGAACTGGTGTTTCATATTTTGTGCGAGGCTTCAAGTCTGTTAGTCTTAAATCATGATTTATCATCTTGCGCCAGATAATACCATATATATCCGTTTAGTTGAGTGTAGTATGGTTACATTTTTCTATCTCATCTCTACCTTCTTTTTTGAACACTTTCTGCCAGGAATTATAGGCCTCAGGTGTAGGATGGTTACATTTTTCTATCTTGGCTTTACCTTCTTTTTCGAGCACTTTCTGCAAACCTCAGACATAGGTTGATTACATCCCCACAAAGACACCTCCCAAACAGTGTACAAACTGCTTGCGGACATTTAACAATTTTAAGTCCGTGCGTGCTTGTTTTTGGACCTAGGGGGGTCTAACATACAAATAGCCGTCCCCCTCGGGTTTTTTCCCGAGGGGGTCAAAACTTCAGCTTACATTTTGTGTACGTCCCCCTTGCTTACACCCCACGAAAAGGGTGGTGATCTTATAATTAACCGAGTGCACAGATTAACCAAATCACACAAACCTACTCATACATCTTAAGTTGTCAAAAGGTAAACCCAGAAACCACAGGGAAGCACCATGAAGCACCCACGACCATACCAGCTCCGAATAGCTCCGAATCGCCTGTGGCTCCACAATTCTCAGGGAGGCTCCTGGCGATCGCATCTGCTGCGCATTTTTTTGATTCAGAGGCACCTTCTTCGGGTGATGCTGCGATGCTTCACAGGTCAAGCTACAAGTCTGAAGCATCGTGATGCAGAAATTAGTTGACGTCATGTCTACCATGTATTTACCATATATTTATCATATATTTACCATATATCAATATATATATATATATCATCATATCTCTACCATTGGATTGGATGATTGGATTGAACGTCCACCTTGATCCAGCTCCAAGAGTGGCCGCTGAGCCTCAGCCCATCCATTGACGGCAGGATGGCGGGCACATTTGGAGAAATCATGGGGACTCACAAATGTTCAATACATTTCAATACCATATATAATCATATATACGCAAACGCCAAGACCCACAATCCACAGTCAGTGAGTCAGTGATTTGTGGGACACCTAATTACCATCAAATGCATTCACATAGTACACAGTATACTAGCATATACTAGCATTGTATCCCCAGTAGCCACTGCTGGAGCAAGACTCCCCTTTGCTACTTGATCAATCAGTTTTATCGGACCAAACTTGAGCGGGAGTTGTCACCTAGAGAATCAACATATCTCATCCGGGCCATCTTCCGCGCCTCTTGTGGTTCCTCAACAGTCTTTTGCAGCTCCTCGAACGCTTTTCAAACCCAATGGGTCACACTTGAAGTTGTCGTGCCGTCCTATACCAATTACACCATATGATACCTCATGATACCCCATGAATATATTAATCCATGTCAGCTTCAAAAATCAGCTGCAAAAGCGATCCAAACCCTTTGTGTCATGCTATGTCACGCTGTCCCATGGAGATCCCTCCTGCCCAGGTGAAGTGCCTCCCAGTGAGGAATTTGTGGCGGGATGAATGATGATGAATGGCTGGCGGCTACGGCTAGGTATTAACGGTATGGTGCCATTGGTCATGAACAACCTTGCGCCTTGCAGATTAAAGCAGTGACCATCAATGACCACCAATGACCACCAATCACCAAAAGGATCCAACCCGTGCCATTGCACAAGTGACCGGGCCACTCCCAAGCGACCTTCCACCTCGGGAAGCGCGTTGACCGGATCAGCCTCCTTCAATGCACAGTTTTCCACCTTCCCTCGGCACGCATTCTAGCATCATACTACCGGTAGTATTCCTATGCACTACTCACTACTAGCAACAAACCAGCCAGAAGATTCAGAAGACCGATATGACCCCGCATACTAGTATATATGATGTGTATATGATGTGTATATATATCTTAGTCATCGCTGGAGATGACTGCTGCCGCTCGTTGTGGGCTCCTTGGTTTCCTCAGTTGCCTCAGGCTCTTCCTGACAGGAAAGCTTGGGCATGCGGCATCTCAGGTGATTGTAGAGCAACTATCAGAATTATGAACAATAAATGAACAATATTGAACAATTGTATATATTATACTTGTAAAAATAATTAAGGAATATTAAGGAACACGTCCCGCTTGTCTGTCACAGCTTTTCCGATCGACCAGATTTCATTTAGTCTATCTAGCACATGTGCAGGATGGAAGCCATGAACGCAAACACTACTGGCAGCTGCTCTTCACCACCAAAAGCAAGCGCCTCCAAATCCAAGGGTGCGCCTGCCAAGGAGACGAATCTTTAAGTCAGACTCTGACAAGTGCTCCTGATTCTGATGCAATAAGAAAATGCAAAATGGTTTGCTAAGTCCACTGAGGTTTGTCTATTCAGGAGACCCGGAGACCCTTAGTCCATGCCAAATGGTTGATGATGAAGTCGTTCCAGCTCAGCTTACTGCAGAGCGGAGCCCTGATATAATCACCATGACACTTTATACATCACGCCCTCTAACCCGTATCAAGGGACTGGCTGCGCCTTGCTTCCAAACCTACATTTTTCTAAAAATCATTTTTGGATATTTTTGGCACGCGCCTCACTGCTGGGATGCAGAGCTTCATCATACTACTTGCGAGCATGGCATGGTCCACAAAAATGGCACAGGTGGATGGACGGTTGAAGCTGAATTCATAGGTATCGATACGGTATCAATGCTATACATCGTGCTGGGCATGAAACTTGCATTCACTGCGGGTGATGAGATCTCTCACCCACTATCCTGGCAACTTGGGCTTCGAGATGCTTCGCTATGAGAAAGTTGCCGCTGTGGGGTGGCCTCTGCCGATTCTCCTCTGCACAGAAACAGCACTGGAAAGCTGGACCCCCCCTGCTGGCACCAAAGGCTCAACGGCAAGGAACCCTTGGACAAGGCTTCCAGCGAGTCTCTGCTCCCACGCAGCTTCAACGATTTCAGACTCCAATGTTTTTGTTCAGTATCCCACCATGGAAGGACTTTTCGCAAACCCAGGCCCATTTGCCAAAGCTTTGAGTCAAGCTCGTCCAAATAATTGAGTAGGGATTCAGACTGGCCCAAGAATGGTACTGCAAAATCTGCATCTTGACAGCCTCTGGGGCTGCTATTGCTATGCCTCTTGGACATTCTTTTGCGCCTCTGATGAAAGGTAGAGCGTGCATGGCGCCATGAACCTTCTGAATCCTTGGTCCAGCATCTGCCAGACCACCAGGACCACGATGCTTTGTCTGTGCAGGTTGTGATCTTTTCAGTCTCTGCATCTGAGCCAATGTAATACTCCACGGGTGAAATGGGAAAAACTCTCACCAAAGCCTCGCTCTGCCCGCTGCACTGATGGCATGGCTTGGAAAAACAAAAGAATCGACTCTGTGAGGAGAAGGAGAAGTGGATCTGCCAAGCTCTGAGACCCAAGTCGACTAAGTTCCGATTGGATAAAATATCTCCTCCCGAGGCAGCAGTAGCAGCTACTGATTCCAACAACTCAAGAGAAAACCCTTTCGGAGCCGCTACCAAGTCTGCTATTTCAAGCCTCAATGCATGAGGTATATCTGGAAAGTGTCGTTGTGGAATGACACCAATTACCTCGTGGCCACTTTCGCGGAAGTGTTCCAGGACGATTTCAAGTCCTTTCCACAAGTTCCATGGGTCAACTTGATTGATTTGACCCTTCACTGCTTTCTTATAGCAGTGGAGAACATCGCCAACATCGACAATGACACGGGGCATTTCTGAGGCGCCTTGAGCCTGGACATGCCCAAACCATAGATTCAAACACCAAAATCTTGCTGCAAAGCTTGGTGTTGGCCAAACTGTCTGCACTTGTCTTGCGCCTCAATATGCCTCAATATTATTAATGCCTTGGAGAAAAGCTCAAAGCCACTAAGACATGTTGGGCTCTGTTATTTAGTTTGTCAAAAAATGAAAATGAAAGCACGAAAGCTGCAAAGCGCAAAGGGAGCTGGGTGCACCGACAACAACAATGCACAACAAAAAATGACACATTCAACTTTCAACCCCATTGCTTGGAAGCAAACTGGAAGCTTTTGCACTTCCGCCGTCATACATCCTGGAGCAACAAGCACGACCATGCGATACCACGCGCCTGCTTCAGGATCTTCAAGTTCGTCTCCGGCTCTGTCTGCCTTGCACTGGGACTGGGAACCGGGAGGGTGAAGTGACGGCACAGCATGCGGAGCACTTTGTTAGACTCACAGGATCTCACAGGTGTGTTCAATTGTTTCATTATATGTATCGCATGCGTGGTATATGACGGTATGGTACCTCCAACCTTTCTCGACTCTTGCCGACTACAAAACTGCTGCAACCGCCCATCACTCACTGCGGAATATCTTTTTTAAAATGTCCCTTTTTGATCCTTTTTGACACCGCTGCGAACTTCACGCAAAGCCGAATTCGAATCACATCAATCCATCAATGCGAGGTAGTGCGACGGAGGATGTCCAGAACTCTGCTTGGGTTGTCTCGCAACTGGCGGAATGCCAAGACAGCATTACGCAGGCATTTCAAGATGACCTTCTGAACCAACTCGAAGTGGTCAGATGTCACGGGCCAGCTTTGATCCTTCTCCTGGACGTCAATGTAAAGCGATGCGGCGATGAGGTATCGGAGTTCTCAGTGGTCGAGCGAAGCAGCGAAGCTCGGGGATTTCATGGGCACCGCTGGACATGCCTCAGTGCATCGATTGTAGGCACACACGCTGTGGTGTTTAAATGTACCCATTGTGGCATGGTGTGGCCGCAGGCTTCTGCACATGCATGCCCATAGGCGCAGTAAAGTGAAACAAAGTGGAGAAAAACAATATAATAGTTAGTATTGGTATGATTAATCTGATTTCAGACGTCTGCACGCTCATCCGCACACCTATACACACATACACATAGCAACGTAAAGCAGAGTATGTAATTATAAAACCAAGTAAAGTCATCATTAATGCATATGCAATGATATTGTGATATGAAGTAAGTGTACACAAGCGTACCTTAGCATGGACACATGTGTCTCTACCGATTCAGAATCACGGATGAATAATGCTGGAAATAGGAGAACACACACAGACAGAGCTCTACACAGGTTCTACGCGGGTTGTGATTTTCATGGCCAGCTTCCGGAAAGGATTCGGTACTGTACAATGCTCAACAGGGGTGTTTCAGCACAGCATATGCAGGCTAGCTTCAACTTTGATCCTAGAAAATTGATTAGAAATAATAAGAATAGAGCAACGCTAAAACATTGGCGCTGGTCAGTGGTGACATAGCTCCAAAATGCTTGAGCGTTGACACCTGTTGGCACCAATTGGCACCCAGTGGCACCCATGACCTCTTCTGTTTAATTAAGCGGATATATAATTATACTACTAAATTATATTATTATTATTGCTATTATTTGATCATTATTTTCATTTATTTTCGTTATTATTATTATTATCATCATTATTATTATTATTATGGATCTCACCTCTGCATTCTGTGATGCCAAGAAGCCTCGTACTGCAGGCTAGCGGCTAGCTATTCTTCCTGCAATTTCTCAACATCTTCTGAAGTCCGCAGCATCTTGAGTTGCCAGGTGGTCGCAATTTCAGTACCAGGACTGCCGTCCAGTAGTGCAAACTGATGCGGCACTGGCGATAGCACAATACCACCGCTGCACCATCAGGCCACACTCTACCAGCTCATCTCAGAGTGAATCTCATCCTCTGAATTGGCCGCATCCTCCTCTTTTTTGGGTTCCTTAGAATCATTTTGAATCTGAAATGCAAGGCAACTCTGGCCAGCGTCCCTGCCTAAAGAACGCAGAAGAACGCCAAACAAGGCCAAGCTTTGCTGAAATATCGAGTGTTGGGGGTCACTGTGTCACCGCTTAAAAATTGTAAAAAGGCTGCCGTTGGCAGAATACTGTACCACATCAAACAATGTCAAACCACATGCAAGCAGGAACGCGATTCCGCAATTGCCATCTGGTGTCGACATCTTCCTGTTCATTCTTCTGGGCATTGCCGGATGACTCTTCAGTCTGCTCACCTTCCTTTACCTCAGTGTGTGTCTCGGTCGGGGCAGGTGGAGTTAATTCAGCTTCTGCTTCTTTCGCCTCCTCTTGCGGAGCTTCCGTAGCTTCACCCTTGACAGCCTGGTCCGGATCAGATTCCTGCGGTGTCTCTTTGGCAGACTCTGGTTCAGCTTGTTCTTGGGCTGAAGGCATTTCGGTCTCTTCCTGACCTGCTTTTTCCTCTTGGCCATCCCCTTTGGCCTCCTCTTTGCCCTCTCCAGCTTCCTCTTTGGCTTCCTCTTTAGCATGCTGTTGCGCGTCTGCAGCAGTGTCTGCAATGTCTGCCGTGTCTGCCGTGTCTGCCTCTGCTTTTGAAGCCTCTGGGGGCTTTACCTCAGCCTCAACGGGCACCTCGGGCACCTCAGGCTTGGCCTCTGGAGGTATGACCTCGGCCTCTTCAGCGTGTTTCGCATAGTATTTCTGTAAAAGTGCGGAGCTCACATCTTTCGGTGCGTCACACGGAGCTTCTGCCTGTGGCTTTTCGACTGGGACCGCTTCTTCTGCGGCCTCTGGCTTTGAGTCTCCTGCTTCCAGGCCTTCAGCTAGGTGTGGCGTTAAAAGCAAGGTAAAGCCATACTCTTCACATGATTCACCTGTCAGAAAAGTTTTTCATGCGAACTACTTTATCTTGTCTTACTGAATAATATTGCACCTCATGAACACAATAATATCATCATATCACGGGCGCAGAGTTCACATGCCTAGGCAATTGCAAATGTAAGATAACAAACACATCAGCTGAATAGATCTCAGTGCCTTTTTGTGTTTTTGAGGTTGTGCCGCGCAAAGAGCCAAAAACATGCCCAAAATCGAGCACACACTTGCCTGCTTCAGTTGCAGCCTCTTCTGCTTGAGCAGCTGCAGGGGCCTCGCCAGTGAGGCTCATGTGCTTGCTGTTGGGCGATGCTGGGATGTTCCATCAGCTGTGCACCGTGCAATCAAACTATAGTACTGGTAACTTTGTATGTAGCAGTGGCTAGCATTGCATTGTATTGCACCTGCCTGGTACAAACTCCAAATGGTTCCAACATGTTAGACCCTTGCGGCTATCATTCCAAGTCTTGCATACATAGTGTTGCCAATCAATTATTTTGGAGCTGATCCCTGCTGAAATATGCTGCCATGTTTGCATCAGCCTGGTCAAGCACAACGTCGCCGGAAGGCTTGGGCGGTGGGTATCCTGCCAAGTAGCTCACTCTAGCTGCTAGCTCATTTGAGATGTTGCAAGAAGGATCGTATTGCAAGAATGATCGCTGGACACATCAAGAATGCCCATTGAGTCTCTTTGACTATGGTCACCCAATTCATTCTCAAGTTCTGTCGGTACGAAGCAGCGGTAGTAAAGGAACATGCCGAACTGCACCGTGTGATACCGTGTGTAACTCCTGAAGCTGTCTCCGGCACTGTGGCATCAATGACCTCCACATGAAACACCAATCACGAATCACGGCCATCATGTCCCACCATGTCCCATCATGTCCCATCAGCACAGCGTTTCCAGACAGCATATTCTGCAGGACGTGCAAGAGCACAAGTGGTTCACCAATCAATAATCAACAACACCCGAAGGCTGACACAAAAGACACACACCAAATAAATTCAAATAACATATCATAAGAAATCACAAGGCGAAAGAAGCGTTTCTAAGTTTCTAAACTCGAACTGGCTCATGGATTCCTGGATGGAGCCACAGCACAGGCCTGTGTCTGGCAGCCCATGATCTTAAGAGATGTCAAGGGAAGTGCCTTGAAGTATTGCAGGTCATCTTCCTCACTGATGGGCGGCGTGGCCTATGGCTGAATACTTCTGAATACAGAAAACGTCAAAGAACATTTGCATAGGACAAGGACGGAAAAATCGGAAAAGCATGGAAAAGCCCAATGTCTTCCACCGCTTCCAAGCTTCTGTGCCCTGAATAGTCGCCATGATCCATTCAGGCCCGGCATGCACTTGTACCAGCACTTTGCCAAGCCTGCAGTTTGGGTAGTGCTTCATTTGGCACGCGCTTGCAAGATTTCCCGTTTCAATTGCAGCAACAATCTACGTTTGTCTTTGTCCACTGGACTACCGGCCGCTCAGTACCACTCAAACGTCTCACAGTTTTGAAGACCTTTCACGTTTGGCCAGCAGGTCTCATTCGTTCAGGAGTTTGCACGTTGTCAAGCGACAACACCGACATCCTGAATCTTGGATTGGAGTCATGAGCTCCCTGTAAAATACGTGGAATGCATGTAGAAATATGCAGAATGCGGTCAAAATCATCAAACATCAATGACTTTGTATGACTTTGTTGGAAGATTTGGAAGTATGTTGGCCCGCCTGGCCTGGCTTGCGGATACCCCAGAAGGCGGAATCGATTTAAGAGCTCTTCTCGAAAGGTCTCCAATAGGATGTGCTCTGGACTCAAGCCATCCTTGCTGTCTGCAAACTCCAAGAGAGAAAGAAAAAAAACAGGATCTGACATGATGCTAGCCAGTCCAACATGCATAAACAAACGCATGTGCTCACACACTCACACACTAGTCACGCGAGGGAATCATACCTATTGACCGTAACAGAGAACTCGGAACTACCATTCAGACCATACAAACAGAGAATGCGTACTCTTGCGCTGATCCAAAACTACATGGTGTTGAAGAAACCAGAAAGTCTTGCCGTCATCAATGAGGCATAAGCACACGGGTTTATCAAATGTGATCTTCCTGGCATGCTGCATGCTTGAATATCCTGAACGACATGTGCTGCTTTGCAAGTCCTCACCGCCCCCTGCAATACACCTTTGCTAAAAACAAATACAAGTCCCACACAAACACTTCACAAGTTTGTTGTGAGTGAATGTGAGTGTTCTGAATCTTGCAGGGACAGACGGACAGACCGCAACTTTTTGCCAAAGGCTCCCACAAGAGTCGCACCACGTTCTTCGCACCGGAAATGCTCGCACGGCCTTTTGCTGGCCAAGTAATACGCCGTGGACGCACGGGCGGCACAGCAGCTGCCCTGGGCACTGACTTGGATGGCACTGCGCCCACTGCGCTTACTTCGCTCCAGGGTTCGTCAGCACGGCTTTGTGTCTTGGATGCGCCACTGCTTTGCAATGAGGTGGACGGACCTTCGTAGTCAATATCATTCATCACGTCGATCCATGCAAACATGTTGTTTTATGATGTTTTATGCTGTTTCATGATGTTTTATGTTAGAAACAAGAATCTGCTGCTGAAGTGGGCTAGACAAAGTCGTCGTAAGTTAGACTATTAACCATTATTAACCTCTGCATCACCGCCATACACTTAGCAGCTTAGTATAGCTCAGCAATCTGAATGCAATCATCCAAATGACTTGTTTCGGAGTGTTCTGGAACAACTGGCATTAAGCAGTCTGCCCTTGAACATGCACTTGCTCAAGTCTGTCGAGTTGCGTGGGGTGCCCTGCACCCTCCCTTCACAGCCCATCACAGCGATGCCCTTGGGCTGCAAAGCTGCCAAAATCTCCTTGACTTTCAAGCGTTGACCGTGCAGAACAAAGATGAACAAAGGCCAACACTACTGTCTTTCATGTCTTTCATCTGAGGTGTGAGGCGCACTGGCTCTGTTTCCTTTTTAATTCACAGCATGACGGCTCAGGGCCATTCATCCTAAGGAAGACACAGGAAGACAGGTTTAGGAGGTCAAATGCAAGTTTGATCATACCAAATACACCAAAAACATCCAAGAACCACAGTGTGGATCCAAGCCTCATGCACCGGCCCTTTGATTTGCAACAGCTTTGGTGTTGCCAGAATGATGCTCAGCTGAAGCTTGGAGAGCGACTTGAATGGAACACCCTGTGAGTTCCTTGGCTCCAGAGATGGTGAAGGCAAAGGCTTGAACGATGTTGAACAGCAAAATCTTGCACATGCGTTTGATCCCGCGCATGCATGTACATCTCAACTCTCAACCTACAGTGGGATGGTATGAGTACAAATGAACTATGGACATCCAATGGCATCCACATGGAGTATCTTTGTGAATGCGATGTGAAGCAGAAGGGAGCGGCTGGTTCTAGCCGCGCTCAGGGGATGAAGCTCAGGTATGACCAAACATGGCATCTGATTGTTGATGCAATCGATATCAAGAATTAGATTGAAGGTTATTTGCGTCAAGGCATTACTCCCACTGTAGGCATCTGGGCCGTAGGGATTGAAAAAAAACAGCTAAGGGCATAGCAAGGCTTTGTTGGAGGCGTCAGACTCGCCAAAGCAACAGAACCAGTCTGATGCAAAATTGGGAAGCGGTTACTTTCAGGATTGAGGCCACTGATGTATGAACGCAGGGCCTGCCCCCCTGAACAATGAAGATATTTTCTGAGGTTCAAAGCTCGCCTCATCTCATGGACAAAGGCCTGCTCAGCACAAATCCATTGCAAAGTTGCAAACACACCCAGTACCTGCAATCTAAGGTACTTTGGGGGCAAACATTCAGGAATATGTGAGCTTAAAATGGCACAAGATGGGCTTGAAACACAACACTGAGTGTGATTCACGAAAAATATCCAAAACCAACACAGCAAATAATACATAGCATCTTGCCCCCTGCATTAAGACATTTAAGATGTAATATGATGATATATGATGTAGTATATTGTAATATTATTTGACATTCCATGACATTCCTCTCATATGGACCGGCAATGACCGGCATACGGATGTGACGCATGTGATCATCGTTGTGGCTCCTCTGGAGCCACAGCGATGCTCTTGCTGTCAAACTCCAGGTCCAATGCCTGCAGAAACTGCACATGTGCACCAAGGCTGCGTTTGATGTATCTTGATGTAATGCGCCAATGCGCAGAAACATGCGACACAAACACGAGTTTAAACAAGAGCACAAATGATGACACGCATACTTTTTATACACATGTTTTACAGTTTCAAGAAACTTGGCACTAGACCAGACTAGACCATAGTCGTGGGCGATAGAATTGGAGAAACATCTGGCGGCCAACCACTGGGCCATCCACACAAACCTGTGCACCTCGTCAGCTGTTGCAGTGCCTTGGGCTGGTCTCCTTCTCTGTCGTTCCGTGATGTGCTGTGCAAGTGTGCAAATAGTAAATGCGGTGCCATGGATCCACCTCACCACGATAAATGTACTCGGACAATAAGTATACATATAATTAAAAGACCATATAAGTATGATATGGATTGATATGGTCTATCTCACATATATACATGTGATTACATACATTGACATGACATGTGCATATTGAAATTATATGGATATGTATCTACAATATGTTTTAAAGGTTTGCAGAAGATACAGGATCTGCCGCAGTACCTATCCTATCCTAATCCTACCTTTTCCATTCTTTTCCTATAGCCTGTATACCCTTTCCCTTCCTATCCATTCAATTCTATCTATGTCTATGTGTATATTGGCGTCTTGACACCAGTCAGCCATGCAACTAAGCCACTGGTGGCCTCTGGTACATCTTCTTGGACCTTGGCGCTTTCAAACTCCACTGAGACTCGGGAGGCCTTCCTGCAGGGATTTGAGGAGGTGTGATTTTGGCATGTCTCATGACAGTTGCATGTATTGTATTACCAATGATTTTTTTGAACGTGTAGAGTCTAGAGATGTCTAGCGTCTAGATCCATGTAGATCCTACTCATATATGCATTATACAGTATATAATCAATAATAACCATATTATCACGCTAGTCATGTGGTCCTCGAATGTCCTGGAGACTTGGTGGCATGTCTCTCACTGGATCTCATGAGCGCCTTGAGCAAATTTACCCGAGATGACCCCAGGATCCAGCCTTGGAGACTCGGACTGAGCTTCACGGGCCGTATTGAGCTTCCTTAGGAGCGGTTTGAACATGTTTGAATGCACTTGGGCTGTCGTCACATAGGAAATCAATGGAAATGATAGGAAACAATAGGACGATTTGAAAGTACATCACTACTCCATGGATGCGATGGAGCTCTCATCTTTGATTCCTTGCTGACTTTTCATCTGGCCCAAGGAAAGCTATAGCCTGCTCGCATAAATTGAGATTTAAGTCATGCCATGTCATCCCATCATTGCGAATGCAACTTTAGGGCGCCACACCACAGCACTAGGTGCATCAGATTTGCGTAAACTTGGCAATCACGACTCTGGCATACTTTGGCCATTGTCTCTCAATGTCTCCCATTCGTAAAACATCCAGATCTATCAAGTCGCTTTTCCATCTGCTGCAACTCTTCAGTTCGCCCCTTAAGCTCTTGTCTCAATGCGTGGTTGTCCTGCAAAAGTGTCAAAGAAATAAGAAATTGTAAATCCACGAAAAGGCAACATAGACGTGAATGACGTGAGAATCACCTGCCCAAACTATGAGGGAACAAACGGCAATGAGTTGACCAGAAGAGAAACTCTAGCCCAATTAGGCTGCGTTTTCACACAGTGCCTCGATCCTTTTCCCTCTGCTTGGCTCCTCTACTACTCGGGCGTAATCCTCCGAAAGCTGTTGCATGTGTCGCTTCAACGCATCAAAGTTGTCGTCATGATCTTCTCCATCGTACTGAACGTCTTTCACTTCTTCGCCTTGATCAATAGTTCAGCCAAAATCGGAAATCTGAAACTCCCGTCACCAAAACGATTGTAAGGCAACAGTCAATGACTGGGTGTAAGGTAGTCTCAGCCAAAGCTGTGGGGACTCTTCTTTTGAGGCTCATTCAAGCAGTTGAATAGTCCCACCCGGCAAGCCAGCCTGAATAACTTCTTGCGCACACAAATTGCAAGTGCAAAAAAAATCATTCCACATTTCGACAACCCATGCCCCTGCAGGCATACTTCCAGGCTAAGTTTCTGAGGAAGCGAATCTCTGGGCTTAAATGTTGGCACGGCAACGCATACTCCTGCAGCTCACGTGCGTTGTCCTTTTCTTCGAACATATGCAGAAACCCGCATCCACTTACCGTTCTAGCAATGCAGTATGCATGGATTAAGCCCGGAGATGAAACCCGGAGATGTGACAAGCAATCACAAGCACTCGATGAAGCAGTAATCATTAAGCATTAAATATGGCTATAAGTTATAAGCATGAAAGGCATTGAAAGCTCTGAGTAAGTAAGCCGCAAGCATACCATGCTCAGTTAAGGGCGGGGTCGTCACGTCAAAGAGCAAAACTCATTGCCACTCCCAAACTTGCAAATGAACTGCAACTTGTTTATCTTCTTTTGTTGCCAAGTTCACCGTGCAAAACTAATTCTGACCACATCATTCAACTGCATTTCAGCCTGAAAAATCTACCATGATCCACCATGTATTTCCCAAGCATTCCCAGAGCACCCAAGATCCATCCCTGACCGCGCTCGCTCCAGCACTGTGGTGGCCAGCACTTCACGCTTTCGGCGGCTAAGGTCGTGGGCCCAGCTGAGGACTTTGGCACAGAAACCAACAAAGGCCTGGGCAATGATGTTCACCTCCAGGCAGTGGACATTGACTATGCAGTGGCCATGCATGGTTAATCAAATCATAATCAGATCATCAAATCAGAAATCTCTACATATTATATTTAATATATTATATATATAATATGAATAAACAGTATAGTAAAATCAGCTATGTAATGCCATGCAATACCACCATGCCCATGCCTCCGGATCTCTTTGTTTTGGATCTTAAGATCTGAAGTTCTCCACTCCTCGCCTCCATGGCACTAAGTTCACAGCGCTTGCACTTCGGGGACTCCGCCTCTGCCCTGGAGCCAGTCATCTGGACCTGGCGGAAAAAATTGGCATCGGACATTGATAGCTCTTTGAAGGGAACTCAAAAGACTCAAAATACAAGTTGCTACTTGATATCTACTTGATATCTGCTTGATACTAATCATGATTCATTAATGACTCATTAATTACTTGTTACATTGTTGGTTACTCATTCATGACTCATTAATACTAATTGTGCAATTCCTGCAGTTGTCTGTTTATTCCATAATAACTATATCTGTGTGGTTGACTGTGCTTGTGTGGGTTTATATATATCAAATCTAGTTTTGGCATTTTTGACCAAAATAGGATTGAATATGATCGAATCAAACCCGTTTGGGCAATCAAGAAGTCCACGCACCAATTTAGTCCATTCACAGATTCAAGAGGTAGGATGGACTGCAAGGAGTCTGAAAGGTGATGGGCACATCCCTTCTGAGATCCGAGCCGGGCGTGTAGGTGAAGCTGTCTCCGCCCGTGGTGACGGTGGTGCTGGTGGTGCCGCGGGCGTCCACTCAGTTCCAGGACCCTCCGGACGTCTTTCACTCGGCTCGGGAGCAGCGGACCCTCGCTTTGAGTCCCCAGGGCGGTGTTGTAGCGCGTCTGATTGCAAATACCAAACGCTTCCAGTCTGAGACCTGGCTCAGGAAAATTTCAAAGTTCCATAAACATTTTCACTTCATACTTACATGCGCATATACAATTATATACATGCATAGACACACACACACATATATATATATAAATATGGTTGCGAATCAAAATTGTGTATGGAACGTTCCGCGGTGTTCCGGACGTACAGAACGAAGAGGGTTTCGTAAATGGTCTTGTTCCGGACCTTTGGAGTGTGATGAAATATAGGCTTTACATTTACATATATATAATATACATATATATATAATATATATACATATATATATAATATATATATATATATATGTATATATATTTATATACATATATATATATACATAATTACATATATATGTGTATACTGTATATATGTAACGTATATAATATTCATCCCAAAGATATGCATGTTGAAGCTACTCACGCTGGCTGCCGCTCATTTTCACTTCTCATCTGCACGACATCCGTGTTGTACACCTGTTCAACGCAGGTTTGCCTTGCATGGCTAGTGCTCCTGCACTAGATAGGACACAACCGGTAGCCAGCGTCACCCACTGGCTACCATATGAAGCTCTCCAGACCTGTCACGCAGGTCCCACCTCCTACTCTTAAAACTCAGCGGTCCCTATGGGGTAGATTGTGTCCCCGCGTGCCAGACCCCAGGCTCCCATAACCCACGCGCAAAGGATGGCTTAGGAGCAGTCTATATGAGAACCTTCCAGGTTTGGAACGGGTATGGAACGGTATGGAACGGGGTCTGGAACGAAACGGCCCACTCCAGCACCACCACGCAGCACATCAAAATTAGCCGTTTGGAGTCAGAATAGCGCAGCAAACAATGCTTAGACTGCCAGCTGGCAGCAGCCAAGCGCATCTCTGCCATCAAACATCACAGCTGTGCCGCAGCAGGCAGCAACTGTAAGTGGTGCCGGCGCAAACCTGCCACAGGTTGACAGGGAGGGAGGGTTACAAGCAATCCATTCTTAGACTGCCAGCTGGCAGCAGCCAAGCACATCCCTACCATCACACAACAAAGTAGGTAGCAGCTGTAAGTGCTGCAGGCACAGACTTGCCAACGCAATCACAGGGCTTGGGCATAGTAAATGTATTCTTGCATGTATGCACTCATGCATGTATGTGCGCTCATGTATGTGCGTACAAACGTAAAATCAGATTGCACAATTCACACACATATATATATATAATATAATTATATATACGTATATATCAGAACGTATGGATCAGAGGTATGGAACGGATCCTTCAAACAGGTATGGAACGGAGGTATGGAACGGGGGTATGGAACGGGTGTGGTCCCGGACCTTGTTCCGGACCTTATAATTTGACTTGCACCCATATTTGTATGTATAATCATCTCTCTCTCTCTCTCTCTCTCTCCCTCTCTCCATCGCGAATCGCCATCTGGAACCATATATATTATGAATATTTTATAGAGATTCATACTGCATACTGTATTCACTTGCCAAAGTACATACGCACGTGCACTTGCTTTCCCAAAGCACATCTCATACTCTGTGTCTCCCCTTGCCTCTGTTTTTGCAATGTTCTGCATCTTTTTTTGATATCAGGCAATTTGAACTAAGACTCTGTAGGGTTCAGCAACTATGTTACCACTCAGTTTCCTGAAGTATTGCCAGGTAACCAGCCACCAGAGGCGGAGACAGCATCCGTCTTTCTGCTTCTGGGTGTCACAGCTCGATCCACTGCCATGTCCAAATCCTGTTCTGATGCGTGTGATTTTGCTTCTTTGTGTATCTTTGTGTCAAACATTTTCTGATCTTCAAACTGTCAACATCTGTCAACACTGCAGGGAGCCCTGCTTTGCTCATTCATGCTCATTCCATTGGATATTTCCTTCGGTACAGCACCGTCTGGAATCTTTGGGAGACTTAGGGACATGTAGGGACATTTTTTTCTTGAATTGCAAAATGTATCAAAATGTAGCATGAGGTGAGATTGCAACAAAGTGTCACCGCTATTTAAAGTTTCATGATTTACAAAATGACTGATCGATACAAACTGTACGGAAACGAAGCGTTGGATTTGCCTTGAGGTTCTGTTGAAGCATTTGCCTCCACCGAGGATCTGCAGGAATCAAGTCCTTAGTCCATCAGGGACTCGCAGCCCAGTGTCGGGTTTCAGCTTCCAAATTGTTATCGTTTCGATATGTTCCACCTGTCGAATGAATTCGAATGACTTGTTTCTCATCTGAATTCGAATTCCATCTGCTTCGATTTTCGCCCCTTTCAGTGCCTCTTCGGTGAGCACCGTCGGCACTGTGATGCTGCTCGGCGCAGGTGCCTCCAAACTCCGATGGTCCAAACATGTCCAAACCTATTGAAACCTGGCTTCAAGCGGGCTGAACTTAAAGTCTTTGGGTGCCTCTCTTTCGCTAAACTGATTAGGATTGATTAGGCCTAATTTGCATGCCAGACTTGCCATAAGTAGTGGATGTACATTGAATATTTGATGTATTTTCATGTTATTCGACTTTTGATACTTTGTATGGCCGTCGTTATGACCGTTGCCCCACTCAACTCTTCGAGCCTCGGCTTCCACATCATCTTGGGCCTCATCTGGCTCCTTTGATGCTTCGCTGGCCTGCGCTGGGCCTCCGCCAAAGCTATACGACGTGGAATTCTGATGGCGTGAAGGTCGTTACTAGTCGATGCTCATGGTTCAAAATGGTGAGGCGGTCTGAATTGTATATAATTGCTCACATTCTGAGAGCCAAACTCTGCAAGGTTTGTTTTCGCTTATCTGGCTTGTCCACTTTGGAAATGCGCGGCAGCACTTGCTTCCAGAGGCGCGACATGCTAGTTTCTAGTGTGTGCCGTCGTGACAGCTATTTCTAACAACATAACTCTTTAATACTTTTTAAACATAGGCTTGGGGACGATGAGTTTAGCAAGAGATGCAGTGCACAATTCTGGAAGCGATGATCTTCAGGGAACACTGGCACAGGTAGGTAGTCTTTCTCATCTGGGGTTGAGTCCATAGAAAGCTAGAGCCAAACAAAAGAAACACGCTCAGGTATCTCCCATGCAACGTGGGTGACTGTCATGGCTCTTTTTCTCATGGAGTCCTTCTGTCCACCTTACAGTGTACTGTGTCAACGTTCTTCCCATACGCGTGAGAATGTGTCCTCCATCATCGCCTCATCAAGGCACACTGAACAGTGCCCACAGCATTGCTTAGCCTCAACAACGTGACCTTGAAGGCGTCGTGCTGCTGCCAAAGCCTCTGGTGATGGCATCTTAGGCACCACCTTGCGACACTGGGTACTGGGCACCCGGAGTGACAACTGCATGGCCGGGGGGACCAATAGTATTGCCGTAGTATTTGTATTTGGTAACTTAGGCCTCTTGGGCAATGGCAAGTCTGAGTGCCAAGCAGGGAGCTCTAGAGTCAAGGTATGCTTTGCCTCGTGCGAGGGACATGCACATCTTTTGTGAGCGAACCGTGGTCCTTCAGAGTCACAGATCATTGAGCACACTTAAGTACTCAAGTGGAAGCAAGTCGGCAGAGAAAGCAACAACAAGGGTGGCAGGTGGCAAGTAACAAAACTCGTTTGCTTCAACGTGGTCTAGCACGAGCAGGGTCGAAAAGGCTGGCCTGGCCTTGTCAAATTTGGCACTGCCACTGCTCTCGTTTATTTCATATGGCAAAGGCATGTCCAAGTAGAACTTGCCCTCTACCTGCGCAGCTGGTTGCCAAAGAAAAACGGCCCGGTTTTGACCCTAAAACTCAACACTTCCTTTAACTTTAACGAGAAGTCTGACAATATTCTGACTATGTCTGCAAATATCTCACCGTCCTGATGAATCATCCCATTCCTAGCCACCTGCCGCATCCTGCGCAGCTTCTTCTGCTGCCAAGAAAGCTATTTATATATTCAATTATGATTATACACTTTACTTCGAATGATGCCCACCCTGACATATTGCTTTGACATTCTATCTGACATTCTATCTGGCATTCTACCTGACATATATCCTGACATTCTATCTGACGTGTATTCTGGCATTCTATCTGACATTCTATCTGGCATTCTATCTGACATACATTCTGACATTCTATCTGACATAAGGCATTCTTTCCGGCATTCTTTCTGGCATTTGATCTGGCATCTATTCTGACATTCTTTCCGGATTCTGTCTGACATATGTTCTGACATCCTATCTGGCAGTCTTTCTTGCATTCTATCTGACATGTGTTCCGGTCCAGGCGCATCCTGAGCTGGCGATATGGTGTTCGGGTCCAGGCGTGCCCCACAGCATCCGGAGCTGGCGATATGGCTCGGATCCATTCATGCCCAGAGTCCGACGAGCTGGCAGAAGCAAGAGGCGGAGAAGGTGGACGACCACGAAGGAGGAGAACGAGGAGAAGAAGGAGGAGTTATTGTACCTTTGTTAAGATCTAGAGAGCCTCACCTGGCAGATGGGGAACAATGCAAAGTGGAGTGCGAAACCCTTCAAACATCTTCAAACTATAACTTCGAGTTGCACACGGTCAATGAACGACATGGTTCACTCGTTGCACTTTCATGTTGCTGCCCGCCAAAACCCTCAGCACGCCTCGACAACGACATTATCGCACGTCACCTCCGCCAAACAAAAAGATGTAAAAACATGTAAAAACTAACATGTAAAATGATGCGACTTCATGTCATTCAGCCAGCCAGTGCCCAAAGGGTAATGTTTTGTCTTTCACATATGTCACATTGCCACATGCGGTCATGATCGACCGTGCGTTTGTGAAAAACATGCGCCAGGGTGTGTTGCTGACACAGTTGGTGCCTGCATCACAGTGCTGACAGGACACACAGACATACACACATACTGAACAGTTGGAATTTCTGAAAACATCAGAATATATAAATAAATGAATGTAAAAGAGCAAACAACAGAAAATGACCTCCGACTACCGAATAGATGATACCTCCATCTTAATGTCGCTGCTGCGCTTCACGGTGGGCAATTCCACAACCAACCGCAAATGCCTCCCGTGGAATTGGATTTGATCAAATGACATCAAATGGCAAAGCTGCAAGTGGAAGAACTCATTGGGACAAACTAGAGTTGCATGGAGTGGGTCTGTTTGAATTTGAACCCAATCGAGTCAATCTAGCAGCTTAGCATCCCTTCGTTTCGATCAGGGTTTTGACCAAAATTCTTTCATCCTGAACAATCATTCTTAGTTAAAACAAAGTGGGGCTGCCGAACCCAAAAGCTATCAAAAACAATTCGGTAGCTACAGCTATTTTAGGGTTTACTTTTAGGGATCCTCCCCTATGCAAAGATACAACCATTTAAGGTTTATTTTCAGGGGAGTTGGGGGGACTTGGGAGGGACATGGGGGCACGTAGCTATTGAATGTACACATAAAACACTCTCCTATGCAAAGATACAACCATTTATTTAGGGTTTACTCTTAGGGAATTTGAGGGGGACTTGGGAACTTGGGAGGGAGGGGACTAGGGGGCTTTGGAGGGACATGGGGGCACGCAGCTGCAGAACGTACACATGCCCATTTTTTTATGCAAAGATACAGCCATTTAGGGTTTACTTTTAGGGGGACTTGGGGGACTTGGGGGAAGTCGGGTGGGGGACTAGAGGGTGTGGAGAAAAAAAAACATGTAGCTGTCGAACGTCCATATGCAACACATCACCATGTATAGATTGAACCCCTTAGGGTCCACTTTTAGGGGAACTGGGAGGACACTGGGAGTCAGGGGGACCGTCAGCTTTTAAAGGTTCTTAGCATTTCAGGACCCATAAAACAGGGTTTGAGTCAATGGGGTATGGCCCAATATGGTTTGCTTTTACAAAATTGCAGAAAAAGACAAGAAAAGACAGAAAAAGACAGAAAAAGACAGAAAGAGCCAGAAAGAGACAGAAAAAGACAAAAAGAGACAAAAACAGACAGAAAGAGTTCGATCCAGCACATGTCAAGTCATGTCAGGTCATGCTGCAACATGCCGGCCAATGGTCGTTCAACTGTGGTCAATGGCATCATTCTTTTCAAGGCAGTGGCATGGCACAGAAGCCATGCATTCAATAGCATTACGAGGTTCAAATCACGTACCTCCCAAAGTGAAGGATGTTAAATTGAAATATGTCATGTGTCATTTGATGTACCTGAAGCACAAGCAAATCAAATAAATAAGGCAATGTGATTATGATAAGGCTCAGCTACCCCCCGGCGACATGTGACATGTCATGTTGCGCTGACTGACTGAATCTGATCATCAAATGATGGCAAGTGAAAAGAGAATCCGGGCACAATCCTGCAAGAATCATACCTGAGCAGAGCCATTGAGTAATGTAACGCCATTGTGAAAGACATGCATGCATTGCAAAGCAGTCAGTGGCTCTCCACGCTCCATGGGCTCAAGGCAAATGCCGCAGATGTGCGTCGCGGCCAAGTCAGCAGGTGGCTGGGGTGGACCTGACTTGGATGATGTCATTGGGGCAGGTGTCTCTGCAGCATGTGAGTCCATCTCTGCAGCAGCAGGAGGTTGTTCTTCACGACGACGACGATGGCTTCTCACTGGCGTATGTGGCACGAATGCTGCAGCGGCAGGCAGCGGAGCCGCGACAGCAGCAGGCTACGAAGCTTGACTCACAGGGGCAACAAGCTGCTGAGGCTGAGGCGGCGCTGCCTTGGGAGCTGCAAGATGATCAGAAGGCGGCTGCGGGGTTGAACCAGAAGCAGCAGCTTGCTCACCATTTCCTTCAACTTGCGGACCATTTCCAGCAGACTGCTGCTGCTGAGCACTACCAGTAGCCACACGAAGCATTGCCCCGACATCGCCGGAGGCAGCAGCCGCAGCATTGTCCAATGCCTGCTGACGACCTCGCTTCTTTTCGGCCTTCGCCATCCACTGGTCCTGCCACCCATATTCTTGAGCAATGGTCACCACATGTGTGTCGTTCAAATTGAGTGGAAGCTTCTCCAGAAATCCTTTCTTGAAGACATCAGCTCCACCAAAGGCAGCACACACTCTGTTGTAACCACGCTTGGCCACATCAGGAAAGTGCTCATAGTACTTGCAATCTTAGCCAAGGCATCAGACACTTAAGTCACCAACTATTTTCAAAAGCTTGATTGAATGTAAAAAACATAAACTGAAGCAAGGTTGATGAGACAAAGCACGGAGTTGCGTCAAGGGCGTGGTAGGCTTCACACGAGAGCAAATGTAGACAATGGCCAGCAAGCCTGTCACCGAAAGATCAGCAGTCCAGCTGGAGTCCAGCTCAAACACAGTCTGTTGCAAGTGTTTTCGGGGAATCTGCTTCACAAGGGAGTAGGACCGTGTGATTGGTGTCAGCCCATCGTCTGGAGCAGCTGCCGGAGCAGGCGCCGCCGCAGGTGCTGCAGGTGCCGCTGCTGCTGCCAATGGGGCGTCTTCTGAAGACGACGACTCCTCAGGTTGTGGAAACATGTTGGGCATCATCATCGGAAACAAGGACGCCTGCTGCTGGCGCTGTCGCTTGCTGCTGCGTCGAGACGACTTCGGCATGGCTAGGCAAGGTCGGCTATGAAATATGACAAAATGGGAAATATGAAATTTGAATGCTGGTGCCAGAAATCAGAAATTATCCATGGCAAATGAGCGAACTGCAGCACGACATTTGAAGTCAAATTTTTGAAGGCAAAACGCGCCTACCAAAGAGAAAATTCTAAAGAGACAACCCCCACCCCAAACAAAAAAGCAAAAAAACGCAAAAAAAAACAAAAAAACGCAAAAAAAAACCAAAAAACGAAAAAAAAAAGAAAAAAAATAAAAAAAAAGAAGAAAAACGCAAAAAAAAAAGCAAAAAAATGCAAAAAAAAGCAAAAACACGCAAAAAAAAAGCAAAAAAAAGCAAAAAAGAGCAAAAGAAAAGCAAAGATACGTTTCCAAAAAGGACAAAAAAGCAAAAAAAAGCAAAAAAAGCAAAAAAGAGATAATTTTCAGCCAATTCTGATTGTCAATAGTACTTTTCAATTGCAGGAGCTTGGACAGCATATACAGAAAAAAAGCAAAAAAAAGCAAAAAAAAGCAAAAAAAAGCAAAAAAGAGATAATTTTTCCAGGAAAAATTTCACAAATTGGAAACTCCCACGATTGGAGACTGGTGAGCAGATCTGTCAACTGAAGCACCGACGAACCTGAAAATGTTGGCATACAAGCAGTTGACGAGTCAGTCTAATGGCATTTTGTCCCCAAGCGGCTAATCTGGCAAAAGTTGGTTCAGATGCCAACGCTAACTCCGCAAACCCCATTCCATCGCCAAGGTTTCGGCTTTGGGTCAAAAATCACACGACCGCTGTTCAACTTGCGAAATTTGATCTCCTCCTGCGCCTTCTCACAATCGTTCGGATCTGGATGGCGATCACCTCAAGCAGCCAACAAATCCAATCTGATACGTGTTTCCAGTCGGCTGAAAAAGGCACAGGGGGGCATTTTCAAATTGAATATTATCAACGTGTCAAAACTTTGGGTGTCCTGGCTTTCATCTTTCTGTGTATCGTTTCCTCCCATGTCGTTCTTGTAATCTTCAAGCCCTTCAAACATGGTGTCACATTGTCGAATCATAGTGAAAGGTCTAGACGAAGGATCTCCATCTTCAGCAGATCTCTTGCCTGGGTTCAGCTTGCGTTGAATTGCGACATCTCTCCCGGGGCCAGTGATCGACATTTTGAAGGTCAAAGCGTTCTCATTATAGGCCTGGACTGGAGTCTGACAATTGTCTGAAGAAAACGGCTCAATTGATATTATGGAACAACTTAACTTGAACTGAAAACAGGTTGGCAAGAAAAACCACATGATGACATGTTTGAAATTTGAGTCTCAGACCTACCTCGGACAGAGGTTTGCCATTTTCCTCAACGACAACATTGTAGCGACCAGGCTTCCACTGAATGCACTGCAAGACATCCTTTGTCTCAACCTTCGTCCAAGTTGAATTTTGACAAGCTGAGGAATCGGAAGACATGGCTGAAAAAGCAACCACACTTACAATGAAGGCACGAATCTTTGAGCAGTAAGAATGTCGGTTCAGGTGCACAAACTAACTAACTTGAAAAACGGCATCGAATCGCACACATCATCATGAGAAATGTGACGACAACAAATCTGACTGTTGAACCCAAGCAGGTCCGCTCGGTGACAGTGACATGCTGCCAGGCAGGCCTCGGATACTGCAATTACATGAAACAAAAAACTCAGGACACGAGATTGCTCAGCCACATCTCTCACAAGTTTTTTTGCACGCCCTACCCCCCCTCCTTAGTAAGGTTCCTACTACCATCTCACCGAAGACCACTGCAGCCGATGCCACCTGAATCCATGCCATCCATTGAGAAAAAAGCGACGTTGCATGATCACAAAATGAGTCTGACTGAGTCCACACTTTCGGTCTTAGTGCGATAAATCACATCAAGCATGCTAAGTCTCTGTCTGAGGTCAGAACTGATGATTTCAGCAAACGTTGGCCATGTGTGACATTTGAAATTTGACATGTGAAATTTGACCATGAGCAGGAAGAATAAACACAAGCATCAATCAACATGAGTAGCTGGAACACTACGAAGGTGAACTGAAGGCAACGGCCAGACAAGTGCGAAGCTCCCGTGCAACAACAACAACAGCAGCAGCAACAACAACAACAACAACCGATACCACGCAAAACCAAGCACAACAAAAGTGGACAGTGTCGAATTCTCACGATTCTCAGCGATACTCAGCCAAGCATTGAGCATGACTGATCTTTCGTGTTGGGTGCGGGTGCTCCTCATGACATTAGCAAGGAAAAAGTTACAACTCAAATAACAAAAGCCAGAAAAAGACAGAAAAAGACAGAAAGAGACAGAAAAAGACAGAAAAAGACAAAAAGAGACAAAAAGAGATTAGCAAAAAACCCTACTGATACAAAACCCTGCTGAACCAACCCCTGTTTTACTGTTACCGAGCATTGGCATGGGCCAGCATGGGAATCTATTTATAGATTGAACAAACAAGGAAAGATGCCCAGACATTCAGGGGTTTGTTCAGGGGCACCCTGCTGTTTTGGGGCAAAACCCTGCTGTTTGAGTCGGAAAGGAGCTAAGCGGATGCAGGCACAAGGGAGCCAAATACCAGGGCACAAACGACACCGTAACCAAGGGTGCTTTCTTAGAAGGGCATTTCATCAAAGTGGTGGTTCAACAGGGCGTGCGTTCTGATTTTGCATTGATGTCATGCGTTAGAAATAGAAAGCAGCCTGGAGAGATCTAGTGGGGAGACACAACGGGAGGTATATAACCGCCAAAAAAAAAATAAAGGACCGGATAACCCCACAAGGCAACTTCTTCCAATAATGAGCACCAAATGTTGTAGCGGGGACGGGGAAGGAAGGAAAGACAAAGGAGGTGGTGGAGGACCGAGAAGTAAAACAAAGTTGTGTGTGACAAACTTGTATGTGAAAGATGGTGTGTGACAAAGAAAGATGGTGTGTGTGTGTGAGACAAAGTTGTGTGTGAAAGATGGTGTGTGTGTGTGAAAGATGTGTGTGAAAGAGAGCGTGTGACAAAGTTGTGTGTGAAAGATGGTGCGTGACAAAGTGGTGTGTGAAAGCTGGTGTGGCGAAAGATGGTGTGTGACAAAGTTGTGTGTGAAAGATGGTGTGCGACAAAGTTGTGTGTGAAAGATGGTGTGGTGAAAGGTGGTGTGTGACAAAGTGGTGTGTGAAGGATGGTGTGGTGAAAGATGGTGTGTGACAAAGTGGTGTGTGTGTGTGAAGGCTGGTGTGGTGAAAGATGGTCTGTGACGGTGTGTGGAAGATGGTGTGTGAAAGATGGTCTGTGACGGTGTGTGAAAGATGGTGTGTGTGTGTGTGACAAAGTGGTGTGAAAAAGGGTGTGTCAAAGATGGTATGTCAAAGATGGTGTGTAAAAGATGGCGTGTGACAAAGTGGTGTGTGAAAGATGGTGTGTGACAAAGCGGTGTGAACGATGGTGTGCCAAAGATGGTGGGTGACAAAGTGGTGTGTGAAAGATGGTGTGTGACAAAGATGGTGTGTGACAAAGTTGAGGGTCAAAGATGGTGTGTGTGACAAAGTTGTGTGTGAAAGATGGTGGTTGACAAAGTTGTGTGTGAAATATTGTGGTTGACAAAGATGTGTGTCAAAGATGGTGGTTGACAAAGATGTGTGTGAAAGATGGTGTGTGAAAGATGGTGGTTGACAAAGATGTGTATGAAAGATGGTGTGCCAAAGACGGTGTGTGAAAGATGGTGTGTGACAAAGATGGTGTGTGAAAGAGGGTGTGTCAAAGATGGTGTGTGACAAAGTTGTGTGTGAAAGATGGTGTGTCAAAGATGGTGGGTGACAATGTGGTGTGTGAAAGATGGTGTGCCACGCCTGCGAGGCAAAGTGCCGCGGCGTCACCGGCGACCAATCCCAGCCCAAGCGCGCCACCAGAGCCAGCCCAGTGCCATAAGTGCCACACCTGCCACGCAAAACGAAGGTAGATGTCTCCAAGTGCCACACCTGCCACGCAAAACAAAGGCCCTGTCGCCAAGTGCCACGCCTGCCACGCAAAGTGCTGCGGCGTCACCGGCGACCAATCCAGTCCAAGCGCGCCAGCAGAGCCAGCCCAGTGCCCTAAGTGCCACGCCTGCCACGCAAAACGAAGGTAGATGTCACCAAGTGCCACGCCTGCCGCGCAAAACAAAGGCCCTATGTCGCCAAGTGCCACGCCTGCCACGCAAAGTGCTGCGGCGTCACCGGCGACCAATCCAGTCCAAGCGCGCCACCAGAGCCAGCCCAGTGCCCAAAGTGCCACACCTGCCACGCAAAACCAAGGCGGATGTCACCAAGTGCCACACCTGCCACGCAAATCAAAGGCGGATGTCGCCAAGTGCCACGCCTGCCACGCAAAGTGCCGCGGCGTCACCGGCGACCAATCCCAGCCCAAGCGCGCCACCAGAGCCAGCCCAGTGCCCCAAGCACGCCTGCCACGCAAAACGAAGGTAGATGTCACCAAGTGCCACGCCTGCCGCGCAAAACAAAGGCCCTATGTCGCCAAGTGCCACGCCTGCCACGCAAAGTGCTGCGGCGTCACCGGCGACCAATCCAGTCCAAGCGCGCCACCAGAGCCAGCCCAGTGCCCAAAGTGCCACACCTGCCACGCAAAACCAAGGCGGATGTCACCAAGTGCCACACCTGCCACGCAAATCAAAGGCGGATGTCGCCAAGTGCCACGCCTGCCACGCAAAGTGCCGCGGCGTCACCGGCGACCAATCCCAGCCCAAGCGCGCCACCAGAGCCAGCCCAGTGCCCCAAGCACGCCTGCCACGCAAAACCAAGGTGGATGTCACCAAGTGCCACACCTGGCACGTGAAACGAAGGCCCGATGTCGCCAAGCGCCACGCCTGCCACGCAAAATGAAGGTAGATGTCTCCAAGTGCCACACCTACCACATGAAATGGAGGTGGATGTCACCAAATGCCACGCCTGCCACGTGAAAGGAAGATAGATGTCACCAAGTGCCACGCCTGTGCCACGCCTGCCACTCAAAGTGCCGCGGCGTCACCGGCGACTAAAAGTGTGTGTGAGAGATGGTGTGTCGTGTGACAAAGATGTGTGACAGATGGTGGTTGACAAAGATGCGTGTGAAAGATGGTGTGTGAAAGATGGTGGTTGACAAAGATGTGTGTGACAGATGGTGTGTGACAAAGATGTGTGTGAGAGATGGTGGTTGACAAAGATGTGTGTGTGTGATGGTGTGTGAAAGATGGTGGTTGGCAAAGATGTGTGTGACAGATCGTGTGTGAAAGATGGTGGTTGACAAAGATGCGTGTGAAAGATGGTGTGTGAAAGATGGTGGTTGACAAAGATGTGTGTGAAAGATGGTGGTTGACAAAGATGTGTGTGAAAGATTGTGGTTGACAAAGATGTGTGTGAAAGATAGTGTGTGAAAGATGGTGGTTGACAAACATGTGTGTGACAGATGGTGTGTGACAAAGATGTGTGTGAGAGATAGTGTGTGAAAGATGGTGGTTGACAAACATGTGTGTGACAGATGGTGTGTGACAAAGATGTGTGTGAGAGATGGTGGTTGACAAAAATGTGTGTGAAAGATGGTGGTTGACAAAGTTGTGTGTGAAAGATGGTGGTTGACAAAAATGTGTGTGACAGATCATGTGTGAAAGATGGTGGTTGACAAAGATGCGTGTGAAAGATGGTGTGTGAAAGATGGCGGTTGACAAAGATGTGTGTGAAAGATGGTGGTTGACAAAGATGTGTGTGAAAGATTGTGGTTGACAAAGATGTGTGTGAAAGATAGTGTGTGAAAGATGGTGGTTGACAAACATGTGTGTGACAGATGGTGTGTGACAAAGATGTGTGTGAGAGATGGTGGTTGACAAAAATGTGTGTGAAAGATGATGGTTGACAAAGTTGTGTGTGAAAGATGGTGGTTGACAAAAATGTGTGTGACAGATCGTGTGTGAAAGATGGTGGTTGACAAAGATGTGTGTGAAAGATTGTGGTTGACAAAGATGTGTGTGAAAGATAGTGTGTGAAAGATGGTGGTTGACAAACATGTGTGTGACAGATGGTGTGTGACAAAGATGTGTGTGAGAGATGGTGGTTGACAAACATGTGTGTGAAAGATGGTGGTTGACAAAGTTGTGTGTGAAAGATGGTGGTTGACAAAGATGTGTGTGAAAGATGGTGGTTGACAAAGTTGTGTGTGAAAGATGGTGGTTGACAAAGATGTGTGTGACAAATGGTGTGTGAAAAAGATGTGTGTGAGCGATGGTGGTTGACAAAGAGGAGGGGCGGAGGAGGAGCGGGCGGAGGCGGAGGCGGAGGCGGAGGCGGAGGCGGAGGCGGAGGCGGAGGCGGAGGCGGAGGAGCGGCAGGGATACAGAATCAAAAACAAGAACCCCACACAAAGATGTGGGGAAAAAGATATAAAAAGGACCTCCTCCTCTCCCCCCGTGGGGGTTCAAAAGGTCGTGGATAGGGAAATCGTATGAAATCGTTTGTCTACAGTCACTGCATTCTAGGGGCACATACGGGGAGGGTGTAGTGTAGTGCACAGCTTCCGGCTTTCAAATTTGAGATGGTATGAAATCAGCAAGGCTCAACGGCTCTGCAGGATCAAAATGCGTGCCAAACATTTTTTTTTGCCTCTCCAACATCCCCAGCCCACACTGTGGCCCACACCCCTGTAGCCCATTCTGGCTCTACAAAATTAGAACCCTGGGCCCCCGAGCCATTTTTTCTAAACCACATTTACTTTAAAGGAAGTTAGCCTGTACCTGTCACACTCGTATGCTACAATGTTTCTCTATAGAATGCCTCTTCTATAGAATGCACATCCGCCCAACCCTGCTCATCCCAACACTCCGAATCCTCTACATATAATTTGTCAACATCCCAAATGGAGAAACATCATCTCAGAATCTGCTTTTACACAACCCTCACTGATTTTACACAGGAAACATATGGAAACATGTAACATGTAGAAGAATACAGTAATTTCGCCATTTCTTTCGCCTAAAACACTTACGGAATAGTACGAGCATAGACTTGTCTGAAACCATTCCAAAACAATTCATGCCTGAAACAATAGCCTACAAGAGCCGACCTTTGGATGCAAAACCTTGATCTTTCCATGTCAAAGCTTCTGGTTCCGATACTCCAGATTGACTGCATCCTAAAGCTGTCGCTTCGAATCGCTGACATGCTCAACTGGAGTCAACTGGCAACACTGGCCTTGGAATAGAATTGACCGTGTTCGGATCTGCCCTGGCAGCTGTGGCACTGAGGGGAAAACTGCGAAAACACATGATCATAAATCATAAATGTATCATAAATGCAAAGGAATGGACGGAACTGAACTGCATTTTTTGCTGTTGTATGTGGCCCTGACAGATTCATATCACTGTCGTGGTGGTATTCTGGTTCTGGGCCTGAAGCAATCCTTGGGTTTCCTTTGAAGGATTGATGTACAAATGTAGATAAAATGTACTCATGGATCTGATGGCCTTCTGAAGGAGAAATTCGACACGGACGGGGGGACCCAGTGATGTAAAATGATGTAAGGATATGTACGGCATTTGTTCGATTTGCTCATTCTTGTTCCAACACCCCGCCATGGTCTGCGTGTAGCTGCTCGCCTCCCGTTCACCTCCATGAAGTCTGAAAGGTCAAGGTGCCCCGAATGGACCAGCCTAAGCAAAGTCTAGGGAAATGGGTTCCTTTCCCTTCTTGCCAAGTCAGTTGGATGAATCCTAGGCAGGAATGTCACCGCCTATGCGTCCTTCATTTTGGTCAGCTGACTGCTGTTTTGAAATGTGTCTTTCACGCACGTGATTCATGTAATTTACGTGATCATACGTGATCCTTTGTCTTTTCTGCCCCTTGGGACGCGTCAAGTCTTGTCAGGTGAAACCGGGTTGGTCCTGCACCTTTAGGTGTCTGGTCCCGCACCTTTAGGTGTCAGGAAGTGAGCACTCATTGCTGAAAAAGTGATGATCACATTGTCACAACGTGATCAAAAACATCATGCAGACAGCACGGAACCTCAGACTTGGCTTTGATCTGTTTCTTCGGTGTTGGAACGGATCCTAACAACTGATGAACGATGTGAGAGTTCTGATGTCGCATCCGACTTTCGGGTCCCGAAGGGTAAGTGAGCCGAGACTGGAGTGGAGGGCGAACTTCCAGCTGCACCACTGCGGCGAGTCCGGGATGCTGGAGGCCCGAGCTTTTGTGTCTTCCGCTTGGCTCCGGTGTCGCCTTCTGATGCCCAAAACCAACTGAACGATTCGCATGATCAAAGGAAACAAAACACCAGACGGAAGGAAACCGGGAAACAGACATCAAATGTTCCTTCCGCAGGGAAATTCCAAAAGACTACATTTAGGATAGGTAGTAGTGATTGTGATGGTGTGATGTTGTTATCGTCATTGCTGTTGCTGTTGATGATGATGACGACGGCGATACATCCAATATTTTCACCAAGAAAAGGCATTTGTTTTCACATTTCCGATTCCTCAGTTCATTTAGCGACAACCATGAGAACAGCTGGCAAGCTGCATGGCAAACCATGCGTGGCAAATAACTCGAAAAAACGATGGAACGGTGGCAATATCAATGCCGAAGTGTGGCGGACGAAACCCTGCATGAATCTGTCCACTAACATCAAATGATATCAAATGTTTTTAGAATCCTTTAGGCAAAGGAACTTTTTACACCGAGTCCCTTGCACACACAGAAAAAACGCACACAGCTGCTTTTACACACGGGATTTGGTTACACACAGGAAACTTTTACACAGACTTTTACACACACACACAGACATATACACACACAGACACACGCACATTTTTTTAGACAAAGACGCAGGGGCCTTTACCCACAAAAACTTTGCACACAGGCGCTTTACACACAGAAAACTTTTACACAAAGGTGCCTTCTAAAAACAAACCTCTTACGTGCAGAAACTTTCAAACACAAGTGCTTTGTCACTCAGACAACTTTTATGCACAGAAATTCGATACACGCAACTGCTTTTGACATAAGAGCTTTTACACTTTACACACAGAAAACACTTCTACATAAACAACTTTTACACATAGAAACTCTTACACAAAAAGTGTTTCATGCAAACGCTTGTGCTCGCACAAACAGTTTTACACACAGAAACTTGCACACAAAATTGCAATTATCACCTCAGGTTTTGACGATCCGCACGCGTTTCGTGCGAGACGGTTGCGTTTCCCAAGCGTTGATCCGCATTGCGCTGCCGCCTCTGAATAGAAAACTTAGAAGGCTTGGTTTGCTTGGGTGTTTCGAAGAAAATCTACATATACACCACCATAACATACAGTTCTAGATGTCTTATACGACTGCATCTGCACCTGCATCTTATATAGCAGCTGCGTCTTCACACTCGCACACAGTACATAAACTTGCTGCTGCTTTTTACAGCTTCACCTTAACACCGGCATCTATCCACAACTGCGTGTACAAAGTTGCAAACATCCTATACAACTGCATCTGTCCACCTGCTTCTAGACATGTGCAAGTATACCTACCACGCCTTTGACACATGCACCGATACACCTACAAATCAACACTTCAAATCATCTTATTCAGCTGCATATATACAGTTGCATGTGTCTTAACATTATACAACTGCATCTGCACCTGCATCTATACACCTGCATCTCCACACACCTGCAAATATGAAGTTGTGGGCTGTGGTAGGCGACTGTACAAATGCAGATGCATTTATATACCTGCATGAATATCTATATTATGTATGCGCATCTAGACCTTCGTCTATGCACCTGCATCTGTGCACTGTGCACACCTCCAACTAGAAAGTTGTAGGGTGTGGTAGGTGTCTTGGACACTTGCATCTATGCCTGCGTCCTCCTGCATCCATACACTTGCATCTGTGCACACCTGCAGATATAAAGTTGCAGGATGTGGTAAGTGTCTTGTTCAAGCGCCTGCAAACACCTGCATCTTTACATCTGCCTCTAAAAAACTCAGTGCTTTGTAGATGTGTTGTTGTTGTTGTTGCTGTTGCCGTTGCCGTTTGCCGTTTGCCGTTTGCCGTTTGCCGTTTGCCGTTTGCCGTTTGCCGTTTGCAGTTTGCAGTTTGCTGTTTGCTGTTTGCTGTTTGCTGTTTGTTGTTTGTTGTTGTTGTTGTTGCTGTTGTTGTTGAGGATGAAGATGAAGATGAGGATGAGGAGGCGGAGGACGACTACGGTGAAGACGACGACGACGGCGATAATGGCCATGATGATGACGATTCTATCTGCGTGCATGTGTTGGTGATGTTGTTGTCGCTGTTGCTGTTGCTGTTGTGGATTTTGATGGTGATGATGAGGATGATGATGACGATGGTGACGGTGATGATGGTGACGATGATGATGATGATGACGATGATGACAGTGGATGTTGGCAGCCGCTCTTTCGAAGGAACCCTTTGCAGGTGCTTTCAGGATCTTTCAGGAATATATAAAATTATCAAAACAATTTGGAAGAAACCCACGATGACACGAAAACAAAGAGAAGGAGGACAAACCAATCACAAGCAAGTCACGCTCACGGTCCATGTAGTGCGCCCAGAACACATCAGCCTTGGAAGCACTCGACCCGGTGGATAAATCTTGGTGCCTGTTTCGACGCTGCATATCGACTGGCAGTTCGGACCACTTTTTGACCATCTCGTTGGCATCCACTGAAAAGACCTCCAGTCTTCGCAATGAAGCTTGCAGGTCAGCAACCGCACGTTCCAGTGCAGCATTGATTTGGGCACTGTGAGCGCCTGACAGGCTTGACGCGCCTGACGGATCTGACGGCAATGTAGTACTACCAATTTTCCCGACCAGCAACTGTCCAACCTCCTTGGATGGGTTTATCTCCACTTTTTCTTCAACTTCCTTGGAGCTGTCAGGTCCAACTTGCTCTTCGTTCGCTGTTCTGGCTGCAACCGTGAGGTTGTCTTTCTTCTCGGACTTCGGTGACTTCATCTCCTTCAAACCCTTCACTTCACCGAAAACCTTGTCTATCTGAAGGGCCAGGTATTTGAAACAATCTTCGCACAAGTCATACAGATCCTCCTGAATCTTCATGGTCTGCATCAAATTGTATTTGATAAAGCGAGGTGCTGTCTTGGAGTCATGTGCCCAGCGGCTCAGTGGGCCAATGAACTCCGCTGCCTCTATAGCTCCAGATCCATCCAGATCAATCATTTCAAAGAGCATCTGCAGGTCATTTTCATCAATGTCCATCACACGCAATCGACTCTGGAAGTCCGAATCTCTCCGCGCTCCTTCAATCAACTCTTCCAAAGTCACCTGCCAGTTTTCCATTGTCAACTTGTGTACTTCGTGACGAGCAGCAGGCTTGACAACATTGATTCTTTTGACCCCAAGTCAAAATCAATGCTAAAGTATGCTAAAGTGATGTTCTGTGGCATATGGCCAGGCATGGCTACATGCTACAGTGTTGCGGCATGTAACGGCTACAGCTCGTATAACCATGTAAACCCCAAGAACAGTGCCAACAGCGTTCACAACACAAACGCAGAGGTTTAAACGAACAGGCACAACACACACACACACACTCACACACAGCACACACCCACACGCCCGCGCGCACGCACGCCGGCCTCCTCGCGCCCGCACGCCCGCACATCCGCACGCCGACACGCACCAGACAAAAACATGGTAACACACAGGGCCATCGTTTCTGGTTTTGGCCTGAGAGGGTTGGAACTTCTGCATATGTCTCCACAACTGGTGACTTCCACTGAGCACCTGCTTTTCTTGATTGTTTTCTTCTTTGTCCATTCGCTTTTGACATGCTTCACACGCGGCACCCGTAGGATCCCGTAGGTGTTTCTTGGCAACCCCATCATGAGCGGAGCATGGGCGTAGCATGCGCTGCTGTGTGCATGTGCACATGGTGAGCATAGCACGAGCGTAACATTCGTGGTTACAGCGCCTGTGGAAGCGGGGCGCTTTTGAAAGAAAACATCATGGATGCAATCTTCAAACAGAGCTTTCGGCACTGCATTCTTTTTATCAGCCGAAGCGCCGTGCTCCAACTTTCTTGCTGTGCTTTACGCAGAGTTTCCCAAATCATCCATAGGGAATACCCAAGGGCCCAAGGGCCAATATCTTGAAATTTGAGGACAAAATCTTACACAGAATCTTTTACACACAGAAACTTTGACACAGAAAAGTCTTTACACAGAGGAAATTTTTACACAGAGGAGCGTTTACACAGAGGAACTTTTACACAAATACACGTTTACACACGAGAAGTCTTTACACAGAAGAAACTTTTACACAGAGAAATTCTTACACAAACGAAAACTTTTACACACAGAAACTTTTGCACAGAAAATTTTTGCACAGAGGAACTTTATACACACAGACGCTTTTACACAGAAACATTTACACACTGGAGCTCTTACACACAAACGCGTTTACACACAGACACTTTTACACACAGAAACTTTTGCACAGAAAGGTCTTTGCACAGAGGAGCTTTTACACACACGACGCTTTTAACACGCAGAGAAGCTTTTACACAAACACTTTTAAACACAGGCGCCTTTACACACAGGAACTCTTACAAACATAAGTTTGTCTTGTTTTACACAGAAACTTTTACACAAAGAAGCTTTTACACAGAGAGGCTTTTACACAGAGAAGCGTTTACGCAAAAGCTTTGGCACAGGTGAACTTTTCCACACAGAAGCTTTTACACACTGACCCGTTTACGCACAGAAGCTTTTACACACAAACGCGTTTGCACACAGAAGGTTTTACACACATTACACAGAGGAGCTTTTACACACAGATGCTTTTGCACAGAAAACCCTGGCCACAGAGGACCTTTGCGACGTCGCAAAATCGTAATTTGACGCCAGTTTTGGACGCATGTCACGCCACAGAAAACCCGCATTTCACCACACGTTTGTGCGTCTGACACACGCGATCTCTGCAGAAGTTTCCCTGGAACAGTCGCATTTCACCACACGTGTGTGCGTCCGATACGCACGATCTCCGCAGACTCGTCCCCCAGGCAAATTCGCATTTCACCACATGTTTGTGCGTTCGGCACACGCCATCTCCGCAGAAGGTCACGTTTCGATGGACAGGGCTGCCCCTGCCACCTGGAAGAGAGAATTTAGAAGGACTTAATTAAGAAGTTCAAATACAAGCAAACCACCTAGAAGTTAACTCCGGTGAAGTTAGCTCCTGTGTAACAACTCCTGTAAAACAGCTGCTGCCTAAAACAACTGTGATGATGTATGTCATGCATGTCTGTGATGTGGATGAAGTTGATGTATGGGATGTTGATGAAGTTGACGGAGAGGATGTTGATGATGTGTGCGATGTAGATGAAGTTGATGAAGATGATGTAGAAGCTGCATGTGGTGTATATGTAGATGATGTAGGTGATGAAATTGAAGTAGTCGATGTGGATGATGTGATTTTGGTGATGTAGAGAGAATAAAGTAGGAGATGTGTTGTGTAGATGAAGTGGGAAGTTGAATTTGGCGGCGGTTCTTTGGAAAAAAACCCTGCGCAGGAGCTGTCGGGAAAAATGAAAAAACAAAGCATCCTAAATAAAGGGCCAAGAAGATGTAGCCCAAAACCGTCCCAAGCACCAGCTAATTGATGGAAACTATGAAAAAAGATTTCCTTAAAGCGTCGTCATGCGGGTTCTTGGTTTGGCCTGGTGCCGTGTCTGTGAACAAGAAATTACTGTGATCAGCCCTGGCTCCAGCCATCATGCAATATTTTTTTGGGGGATGTGTTGGCATGTTGGCCGCATCTGTTTTTTTTCCTCGCGCCTTTTTGCAACTGTGCGCGAGTCAGTGAAACGACAGGCGGCTGGGCCCTGTAAGGCTCAGCGCCGGCGAGGATCGTCGCCAGAGAGGGCTCCTCACCAGCAGGGAGGGCCGGCGCGATCCAGTCGCCACCGAGGGCCGTGGAGCAAACAGCGCGCTGGACGGCGACGCTGAGGTGACTCCACCACCGGCGCCGCCAGCCGCTACAGGCGGCAGCGTGGACGGCGGCCGGCACGCGGGGGGCGCGCGCGGCGACCAGGAGCTGCATGTGTGGACACAAAACAGACGCACATAAGCGTTTCCAATCAATTTTCAACTCATTTGACAGGAACTGTATTGGCTGGACGCGCGGGCACTGGCTGCGAGATGCCTTCAATGTCACCCGTCCAGGCTCAAATTAATTGGTACTGATGTAGATAGAGGCACTGGCCAAGACGCCGCAAAAAAAAAACAACAGGAATCTTCACACTCCCGCGGAAAAAAAAAGCTTTGGCGTTGAGATAGGGCAAACTGGGCGCAAAGTGTCTATGAAAAATCGGAGAGGTGGTTCCTGGCTTTGCCCCATGCCTTGTCAATCGCAAAAAATGAAGCAGGTACGGGTGGTTGATCAAACAGAATCAAACCACTCCTGTAGCTTCGTTGGACTGGAAAAGCCAGGCCCACCGCAATTCAGAAATAAACGGGTGAAATTCCTTGGCGAAAGGCATATAAAGGCATAATCAGCAGCATCTTTTGAAATGTTGCGCGCACGCGCGCGCACACAAACACCGGAACAACCACACACCAACATGCCACTTCCCCCTTTGCTTTTATGTATAATTTTGTTTAGTACGCATGCCAGACCATCCCAGCCAACAGCGAGCCCCACCAACTGATACGCCTGGCCGCTACCGTCCGCATCAATCCTCGAGAAAAGTTTTGCCAATGTCTTCCTATCATGTTGAATCTCCTGGGCGCGTTTGGAAATTCATGGTGGGAGATCTTGCTTGTCCACAACCTTGTACAAATGGATTATTATGCATTTGTCAAAAAGTCAATTTTGGTGGGTTCGGGTCATGGATGACATAGGTGCCGGGTGTTGGTCAACAATTGCCCAAGGAAAAAATGGTCCCGAACACCTGAACACGCGAAATGTATGCAGAAAAGTCTCGTCTTCCATCTCTTCTGCCAAATTCTGCATATCATTTTGCCGAGCATCGGCAAATGTGTCTACTACCTTAGCGAGACTGTCTTTACGGACGGCACCCTAGCTCATCCCCTTAACTGCAAGGGTGGGGTAGTGGCCCGCCTGTCCGCACTGCCTCCATAAAATGTGACATCCGCTATCTCTCAATAACAACTTTCTTCGAGTGACCCCCACTAAGTGGCATTCCATGTGATATATATTCTGGCAATCTGTTTGGCAAAATTTCTGGCATGTATTCTGACATCCTCTTCGGGATCCTATCTGGCGCCCTATCTGGCATTCTATCTGACATTTATCTGGCATTCTGTTTGGGGGTTTTCTCTGGCTCTCTTTCTGGCATGCTGCCTGACATTCCATCTGGCATTCTTTCAGACTTTTCACCTGGCATTCGATCTGACGCATACACACACTAGACCAGAATGAAGTGACCTGTTGGGAACTGAATCCAGATTGGCGTGCCAATGTGTATCACCATATCCTGACCATATCAAATGGGTGTCTTCGTTGGTAGCGGTCCGAAATGATCTGCTGCTACCCCCTGCAAAAATAAAGTTTTATCGTTCAGGTGTTACACACACACATATATATATATATACATATGTTTGGCACTCTATCTGACATATATATATATACGTACATATATTCTTGGATTCAATCTGGCATCCTAATCGTCCCCTTATGTGACATTCCATCTGACATTCTATCGATTATTTCAAATTCACCTGTCTTTCTACCTGACATTCTATCCGGAATGCTTTCTGGCATTCTATCTGACATATATATGTGAAATTATATACTATATATTCTGACATTCTATTTGGCATTCTTTCTGGCATTTCTTTCTGGCATCTTTCTGACATTCTATTTGACATTCTTTCTGGCATGTGTTCGGGCCTATGCGTGCCCAAACTGATCCGGAGCTCGCCATAGGGTTCGAGTCCTTCGTGCATGTCCGTGCCCAAACTGAGCCGGAGCTCCCTATACGCCTCGTGTCTGGGGCGTTCCCAAACTGAGCGGGAGCTCGCGATAGAGGTCCGTGCGTAGCCAGACTGCGCTGGAGCTCGCGATGAGCTTCTGACGTCACCTGCTGTAAGCTCAGAGTCCCACAGTCAGGACAAGCTGGCAGAGGGGTAGGAGGGAACGACGGGGAGAGGATAAGAGGAGAGGAGATGAGGAGGAGTGAGGTGTTGCACCTTTGCTAGCATTTAGTGCAAGACGTCCTCCAACACTGCAAGTTGCCATCGTGAAAACAAAGCTTGTGTGCGAGACCCCCTCCAAAAAGTATCAAATAGTGTACTGACATGTAATGACTATGCTTTTCTTGTATTTTCGCTTGCCTTCTCTTGTCTCTTGTTCTCTACTTACTCTGCTCCGCTCTACTCTGCTCTACCCTACCCTTCTCTACTCTCCTCTTCTCTCTGCTCTGCTCATCTCTGCTCTACTCTGTTCTAGTCTTCTCTTCTCTGCTCTACTGTGCCCTTCTCGAGTCTCCGCTCCTCTCTACTCTGCTCTTCTCTGCCTTCTCTTGTCTTCTCTACTCTGCCATTCTCTGCTCTACCCTTCTCTCCGTCCTCTTCTTTCTACTCGCATCTTCTCTCTACTCTGCTCCTCTCTGCTCTTCTCTTCTGTCTACTCTGCTCTTCTCTACTCCACCCTTCCCGACTCTCCTCTTCTCTAGTCTGCTCTTCTGTACCCTTCTCTTCTCTTCTTTTACTCTACTCTGCTCCTCTCTACGCTTATCTACTTCACCCTTATCTCCTCTAATTACTCTGTTCGGCTCTATTCTGTTCTTCTCTGCTCTACCCTTCGCCAGTCTCCTCTTCTGTGCTCCTCTCTATGGTCGGTGCCAGAATTATAGAACGGAAGTTGAGGAGTACGAAGGTACGGTTATTTACCGTACCCTGTTGTTCTATAATTCTGTTTTCCTCGGAAAGTAGAAAAAAAACGTATCTGAATTTACTAACTTTTTTCGTCGTTCTATAATTCTTGTCGGAGCGCTGTTGTTCTATAATTCTGTTTTCCCCCATTTTTCCCACATTTCCCATTTTCGTTCTATAATTAATTTTTCCCTCGAACGGAAAAATCAATTATAGAACGGAGAAAATTAATTATAGAACGAAAATTGGAAATGTGGGAAAAATGGTGGAAAACAGAATTATAGAACAATCTATAATTAATTTTCTCCGTTCTATAATTAATTTTTCCCTCGAACGGAAAAATTACTTATAGAACGGAGAAAATTAATTATAGAACGAAAATGGGAAATGTGCGAAAAATTGGGAAAACAGAATTATAGAACAACAGCGCTCCGACAAGAATTATAGAACGACGAAAAAAGTTAGGAGTAAATTCAGATACGTTTTTTTTCTCATACCTTCCGAGGAAAACAGAATTATAGAACAACAGGGTACGGTAAATAACCGTGCCTTCGTACTCCTCAACTTCCGTTCTATAATTCTGTTTTCCCTCATTTTTCCCACATTTACCAGGTGATTTTCTTTGATTTCATGGTGATTTTATGGTTTCATGGTGATTTTATGGGATTTCACGGTGATTTTCTTAGATTTCATGTTGATTTTATAGGATTTCTAAGACCCCGGAAGAGGTTCTATAATACTATAATTAATTTTTCCGTTCTATAATTATTTTTTTCTTTCGACGGAAAAATTAATTATAGAACAGAGAAAATTAATTATAGAACGAAAATGGGAAATGTGCGAAAAATGGGGAAAACAGAATTATAGAACAACAGCGCTCAGACAAGAATTATAGAACGACGAAAAAGTTAGGAGTAAATTCAGATACGTTTTTTCCCGAGAGCGTCTGAGCGCAGGGTTCTTCCAATAGTGGGGGTCTGTATCTCATCTTCTCATCTTCACACCTTCTCATCTTCACATCTTCTCTCACACCTTCTCATCTTCACATCTTCTCTCGCACCTTCTCATCTTCACATCTTCTCTCCCACCTTCTCATCTTCACATCTTCTCTCACACCTTCTCATCTTCACATCTTCTCTCACACCTTCTCATCTTCACATCTTCTCTCACACGTTCTCATCTTCACATCTTCTCTCCCACCTTCTCATCTTCACATCTTCTCTCACACCTTCTCATCTTCACATCTTCTCTCACACCTTCTCATCTTCACATCTTCTCTCCCACCTTCTCATCTTCACATCTTCTCTCACACATTCTCATCTTCACATCTTCTCTCACACCCTCTCATCTTCACATCTTCTCTCACACCTTCTCATCTTCACATCTTCTCTCACACCTTCTCATCTTCACATCTTCTCTCACACCCTTCTCATCTTCACACCTTCTCTCACACCTTCTCATCTTCACATCTTCTCTCTCTCTCATTCTCTCTCCTTTCTCTCTCTCCTTTCTCTCTCCTTTTTCTCTCTCTCGCCTTCTTTATCTTTCTCTCTTTAGGCCGAGGGTGGTACCGGCGGTGAGTCACGAAACGTCAACCCTTTCGCACGAAATGAGGGTCGATCGTCAAAAACTGAGGAAAAATCGATTTTACTTGTGCCGGAAAAACTCGAGAGGTAAAATTGCGATTTTACTTGTCCCCGAGCAACCCTTTCGCACGAAATGAGGGTCGATCGTCAAAAACTGAGGAAAAATTGCGATTTTACTTGTGCTAAAACAACCCTTTCGCACGAAATGAGGGTCGATCGTCAAAAACTGAGGAAAAATTGCGATTTTACTTGTGTGTAAAAGCTTCTGTGTGTAAAAGCGTCTGTGTGTAAAAGCGTCTGTGTGTAAAAGTGTTTGTGTGTAAAAGTGTTTGTGTGTAAAAGTGTTTGTGTGTAAAAGCGTCTGTGTGCAAAAGCGTCTGTGTGCAAAAGGTTGTGTGTGTAAAAGCCTCTGTGTGTAAAAGCGTCTGTGTGTAAAAGCGTCTGTGTGAAAAGCGTCTGTGTGTAAAAGCTTGTGTGTGTAAAAGCCTCTGTGTGTAAAAGCGTCTGTGTGTAAAAGCGTCTGTGTGTCAAAGCGTCTGTGTGTAAAAGCGTCTGTGTGTAAAAGCGTCTGTGTGTAAAAGCGTCTGTGTGTAAAAGACTGTGTGCAAAAGCGTCTGTGTGTAAAAGCGTCTGTGTGTCAAAGCGTCTGTGTGTAAAAGCGTCTGTGTGTAAAAGCGTTTGTGTGTGAAAGTGTTTGTAAGTAAAAGCCTATGTGTGTAAAAGCGTCTGTGTGTAAAAGCGTCTGTGTGTAAAAGCGTCTGTGCGTAAAGTAAAAGCGTCTGTGTGTAAAAGCGTCTGTGTGTAAAAGCCTCTTTGTGTAAAAGTGTTTGTGTGTCAAAGCTTCTGTGTGTAAAAGCGTCTGTGTGTAAAAGTGTCTGTGTGTAAAAGCGTCTGTGTGTAAAAGCGTCTGTGTGTAAAAGTCTCTGCGGGTAAAAGCCTCTGTGTGTAAAAGTCCCTGTGTGTGAAAGAGCCTGTGTGTAAAAACATCTGTGTGTAAAAGCGTCTGTGTGTAAAAGCGTCTGTGTGTAAAAGCGTCTGTGTGTAAAAGCGTCTGTGTGTAAAAGGCTCTGTGTGTAAAAGCGTCTGTGTGTAAAAGCATCTGTGTGTAAAAGTATGTGTAAAAAGCGTTTGTGTGTAAAAGTCTCTGTGTGTAAAAGCGTCTGTGTGTAAAAGCGTCTGTGTGTAAAAGCGTCTGTGTGTAAAAGCGTCTGTGTGTAAAAGTGTCTGTGTGTAAAAGAGCCTATGTGTAACAAGCGTCTGTGTGTAAAAGCGTCTGTGTGTAAAAGCGTCTGTGTGTAAAAGTGTCTGTGTGTAAAAGCCTATGTGTAAAAAGCGTCTGTGTGTAAAAGCGTCTGTGTGTAAAAGCGTCTGTGTGTAAAAGCGTCTGTGTGTAAAAGCTTCTGTGTGTAAAAGCGTCTGTGTGTGTAAAAGCTCTGTGTGTAAAAGCGTCTGTGTGTAAAAGCGTCTGTGTGTAAAAGTGTTTGTGTGTAAAAGTGTTTGTGTGTGTTTGTGTGTAAAAGCCTCTGTGTGTGAAAGTGTCTGTGTGTAAAAGCGTCTGTGTGTAAAAGCGTCTGTGTGTAAAAGCGTCTGTGTGTAAAAGCGTCTGTGTGTAAAAGCGTCTCTGTGTGTAAAAGTCTCTGTGTGTAAAAGCGTCTGTGTGTAAAAGCGTCTGTGTGTAAAAGCCTCTGTGTGTAAAAGCGTTGTGTGTAAAAGCGTGTGTGTAAAAGCGTCTGTGTGTAAAAGCGTCTGTGTGTAAAAGCGTCTGTGTGTAAAAGGCTCTGTGTGTAAAAGCGTCTGTGTGTAAAAGTCTCTGTGTGTAAAAGCGTGTGTGTAAAAGTGTGTAAAAGTGTTTGTGTGTAAAAGTGTTTGTGTGCAAAATCGTCTGTGTGTAAAAGCGTCTGTGTGTAAAAGTCTCTGTGTGTAAAAGTCTCTGTGTGTAAAAGTCTCTGTGTGCAAAAGCGTTTGTCTGTAAAAAGTTCTGTGTATGAAAAACTTTACAAAAATACGATGCAAACTATTGTCTTGTACTAGTCATATATTGTCTTGATACTACTCTTCTCGTCTGCCTATAATACATCTTTAATATAGTGTCTCCATACTAACAACAGAAGACTCTGCTCCTCTACGCTCTCGGGCCATCCGTCGTCTAGTTTTTTCATACCTTCCGAGGAAAACAGAATTATAGAACAACAGGGTACGGTAAATAACCGTACCTTCGTACTCTTCAACTTCCGTTCTATAATTCTGTTTTCCCCCATTTTTCCCACATCCACCAAGTGATTTTCTTAGATTTCATGGTGATTTTCTGAGATTTCATGGTGATTTTATAGGATTTCATGGTGATTTTCTGAGATTTCATGTTGTTTTTGTGGCATTTCATGTTGATTTTATGGGATTTCATAGTGATTTTATGGGATTTCATTGTGATTTTATAGGATTTCATGGTGATTTTATGGGATTTCATGGTGATTTTATGGGATTTCACGGTGATTTTCTGAAAATGGTGGTTTTATGGGATTTCATGGTGGTTTTATGGGATTTCATTGTGATTTTATGGGATTTCATGGTGATTTTATGGGACTTCACGGTGATTTTCTTAGATTTCATGTTGATTTTATAGGATTTCTAAGACTCCGGAAGAGGTTCTATAATACTATAATTAATTTTTCCGTTCTATAATATTTTTTTCTCTTTCGACGGAAAAATTAATTATAGAACAGAGAAAATTAATTATAGAACGAAAATGGGAAATGTGCGAAAAATGGGGAAAACAGAATTATAGAACAACAGCGCTCAGACAAGAATTATAGAACGACGAAAAAAGTTAGGAGTAAATTCAGATACGTTTTTTTTCATAGCTTCCGAGGAAAACAGAATTATAGAACAACAGGGTGCGGTAAATAACCGTACCTTCGTACTCTTCAACTTCCGTTCTATAATTCTGTTTTCCCCCATTTTTCCCACATCCACCAAGTGATTTTCTTAGATTTCACGGTGATTTTCTGAAAATGGTGGTTTTATGGGATTTCATGGTGGTTTTATGGGAATTCATAGTGATTTTATGGGATTTCATTGTGATTTTATGGGGTTTCACGGTGATTTTCTGAAATTTCATGGTGGTTTTATGGGATTTCATGGTGATTTTATGGGATTTCATGGTGATTTTATGGGATTTCATGGTGATTTTATGGGATTTCATGGTGATTTTATGGGATTTCATAGTGATTTTATGGGATTTCATGGTGATTTTATGGGATTTCATGGTGATTTTTTGGGATTTCACGGTGATTTTCTTAGATTTCATAATGATTTTATGGGATTTCACGGTGATTTTATGGGATTTCATGGTGATTTTATGGGATTTCATGGTGATTTTATGGGATTTCAGGGTAATTTTTGGGGATTTCACGGTGATTTTCTTAGATTTCATTGTGATTTTATAGGATTTCTGGGACCCCGGAAGAGGTTCTATAATTCTATAATTAATTTTTCCGTTCTATAATTATGTTTTCCTTTCGACGGAAAATTAATTGTAGAACAGAGAAAATTATATAATTATAGAACGAAAATGGGAAATGCGGGAAAAATGGGGGAATCAGAATTATAGAACAACAGCGCTCCGACAAGAATTATAGAACGACGAAAAAAGTTAGGAGTAAATTCAGATACGTTTTTTTTTTCATACCTTCCGAGGAAAACAGAATTATAGAACGGGTCCGAATCCGTGCGGAATGGGGATCCGGAGGAGTACGAAGGTACGGTATTTTCCGAATCCGCGCGGAATCGGGATCCGGAGGAGTACGAAGGTACGGTATTTTACCGTACTTTTGTACTCCTGGCTCCGTTCTATAATTCTGGCACTGACTGTACTCCGATCTTCTCTACCTTGCTCTTCTCTTCGCTGCTCTACCTTTCTCTATATACTTCATTCTAGTATGCTCCTCTTAGATGCCCGTAACACGGAAGTTACTCCCCTATTTGAAGAAATTAGAATATGTAGTGCGCGCGCTGCTTGTCAAGCAGTTGCCACTTTTCTCGCGAGTCTCAAGAAAAACCGTGCTTCTCAAGTCTTTCGTAATTGTCTTGCGTGCCTTGCTGCTTTACGTCAAGCACTTGTCTCGTGACTCTGAATGCAATACCTCTTCTACTTGTGACGTCTGCACTTTCCTAAATTCTCCCCGTCTACGACTCGGATCACTTTATGACTTCAAAGTGTGCTTGCTGAGGCATTGGGAATGCTTTACATGAGGCTCACGGGCACATATCAAGTTGTGTATTTGCAACTGCTTAGAGATTGCAGGACTATTGGTGACCACATTGTTCAACATTCATTGTGCAGGTGCTAGGTCGGAATGCGGCTGTATCTACAGTTTGCACATGTTGGCACAATTTTCTGTTTTCTCCAGCCATGGCCAGCCCATGTCTTTCAACCTGGGGAGAAATGCCCCTCCCTGCCCCTTACAAGGGCCAGCACGCACCATAATACTCTCAAAATGCAGCCGGGCTTCGACTGCCACGATCAGATTCAAAACCCCGAAAACAAGCGTCAAGGACGAACCCATAAAGATAATGGCAGAGCCAGGATATGCTTGGATCAGAGGCACAGCAATCTCGCCCCAACCATCACCTGCATCGTTTGCTGCGCTGATCTGCGAGCTGACTGGGCAAAGCATGGCAAATCCATCCAAACAACAATCTGATCATCATCAGCGAGCTCGTTAACAATGAAGAGAAACAGTCCAGGTTCCCGCAGATCAAGAAACGAATTGAATAGATGGATGGATAGATAGCTTTAGATTAGAATATATTAGAATATTAGAAGAGATGAGATGAGATAAGATTGGGGTTGATTGGATTATGGTAACCGACAGAATTATCAGCACCTGCCGTTCCAGTTTTTCATGTTTTTTCTCTACTATAGCGGACGAGCACTTAGAATCTGCAAAAACCATTATAAATTTTAGAATCAGTTCTCACCTTGCTTTAAACAGTTCGGAATGCACTTGTAATATCGAAATAAATAGCTAATTTTACGCTAATATCAACATCGGACCATATATCCCACTAAAACCATGACTCCAAGCCTCTCTCTCTATCCCCATGCCTTTTTTTTGGGTTTCCCCATCAATCTATGGTACTCTACTGGACTGCCGCATGAATACATCAGTGTATGGGTTCGCAAATCCCAGTAGAAAACGAGCAAAACTCCCAATACATCAACACAACAAGAACACGGCTTACAATAACAAACTCAACAGTAAACTCGTTGGTTCGGCACCTTCTTTGATGGACTATCAGTGACAATGTGGTTGTGACCATATTCTAAGATATTCTAAGTGCATTCGCTGCCCAAAAATGCACAGTTTTACTCAAGCAAAAACAACAAATGCCAACGGGTTGGTACTGTAACATGCGTGTTTTGCAGAACCAAATGCAACAATTGCAAGTCTATGTGGTGATGTACTGAGATGGTTTTGCAGTAACGAACTCAACTGCAAAGGTTTCTATTCTTTGTCTTGCTTGATGTACGAAGCGACTATGTAGTTGTGGCCATGTTCTAAGTGCATTTACTGCCCATAAATGCACAATTATACAGGCAAAATACTGCAAAACCGGTTGGTACTGTACCATTGTTTTTTGTTTTTTTTGGTATTGTACGCGGCTTGTCTTGCAGTAACTAACTCAACTATAAACTGTTCGGTTCTGTATCTTGCTTGATTGACAAAGTGACTCTGGCAGTTTTGTGCATACTCTAAGTGCATTTACTGCCCAGAGATGCGCACTTTTACACAAGCAACAAAAACAACTGCCACTACCATGCGTGTTTTGCACTACCAAATGCAAGAACAGTAAACCATGTGGTGCTCTGCTGAAATTGTTGTGCAATCATGAGCTCAACAGTTTCATTTTTTGATACGGTACCGTGCTTGTTTTGCAGTAAAGAACTCAACTATAAACTGTCCAGTTCTGTATCTTGCTTGATGGAATAAGGGTCTTTGGCAGGTGTGACTATATTCTAAGTGCAATTCACTGCCCACAAACGCACAGTTTTACACAAGCAAAAACAATAACTGCCAACCAGCTGGTACTGTACCATGCGTGTTTTGCAGTACCGGGTGCAAAAACTGTCAATCATGTGGTGCTCGGATGAAATCGTTTTGCAATCATTGGTGATGTACTGAGATTGTTTTGCGACAGCTGCAATTTCTTGGCAATTTACCTTGCTTGTTTTGCAGGAATTAACGAACCCAACTGTATGTTTCTTTTCTTTGCCTTGCTTGATGTACAAAGTGACTATGTACGAACCCAAGGCACAAATTCAACAGTTGTGTTAAAAACCACTGTGGGTTTTGAGATGCCTCGAAAACGGTGGTGAAACACACGATTTTTGTGGATTTCACTTAGTATCATAAATGAACATCTGAAATCTTCTAGTAAGTGTAGGGAAATATTCTAAGTGTAGGGCTCGTTTTTATTTAAAACATTTTTTTTATTATTCTATATGTGAGTTAAACCATTTTGACTAAATTGTATTAAAATGAAACTATTTTTAGCGCAGTAACGTTCAACATGGAAGTCGGGAATAAAAACATCTAACTGCTGGTTCTCTAGTGTAATTGAGTTTTCCCCACAAGGGTTAATAACCAAGAATGATGTTTTTATCAATAACATTTGGCCATTTCCAGGGTTTTTCATGGTTTTCCATAATTCTGTCGGATGCTTTTGGTTGTTTCTAAAATTCATATTGCCCCTGTATTTTGGGTAAACCCGGCTAAAACTCCTCAGAATTATAGCTGCCGACAGAATTATAGCAAAACATATTTTAGAAAAGAAGTTAACGCATCTGATCTCTTTTTTTGTTTCTCCGTCAGCTGCTGTATACCGTATTTTTCCATCATTTTCCTTCCTTTTTTTTAAAAAAAATATGTCGGCAGCTGTAAATATAATTATATATGATTGCAGTAAAATTGATTCTAGAGTATATAGATGATACTCCCATATCAATCCATCTCAGCAAGCACAGTAATGGAGCAGTGAATAGTGTGTACGTCGCAATGGAATGGCGCGGTCCAAGGTTCCCCTAATGTTCCTACTGATGCGCCGCAGCGACATTTAATTTGGTGGTCTTGTTCCGCATTGAATTCAACGAGCTACGCTGAAGCCAGCGGGTGTTGCTTGGGCAATGCCACGCTGCTGCCTGCGCGCTCTCATTCTCCTTTTTCTCACTTCAGGTTTTGGAACCCTGCGCACTTCTCACTTGTCTTAGCTCAAGCCACACAGTCAGACAGAAACAGATCATGCTTTTACACTTCTTGAAGCGGAAACTCCTGACGTATCTTTTGCTACTGTATCAAATACATTCAAATACTTGTCTTTGCCGAAAAACAAAGTCAACTCAAAACAAAATGCTCAATATGCTTAATATGCTCGCCTGCAATGACGGTCTGGAACAACAGCAAGTTAGCTTCCATGACTGAGGTCATGGATCGTTGGCAGCGCATTCCACATTCGTCAAAAGTGCCAGACACAGCCTGCAATTCCTGCAGCAAAGGATTTACAGTTTCCACCATTAACATGCTCCAGACGGTCATCGCCATGAAGCACAACAGGAAGGACCACAAGAGGGTCTTGGCACAAGTTGCCATCATAGTGGCTAGTTTGTGGAGCTCTCGAAAAGTTCGAAGCTTCCTCAAAAAGCGGGTCAATCGTAGAATCCTTCCAAGCCGCAGTGCACGCACCACGTTCATTCCGCTCAACGGGTCGTCTGGAACAGCTGCACTGACAACTAGTTCGGCAATCCCGCTCAGAATCACTAGAATGTCAAGAAGGACCGCCCAATCAGTCAGAATGCCAAAGCCTCCCACAGCAAGGTGGAGAAAAAACTCCAAAGTGTAGACTCCGAGGCAAACGTTCGAGATGACCAAAAATACAGTCGGCGTCTGTTCCCCTTTCGCTCTCGCATCTATATCCCTGCAGGTGCAAATTGCATCAACGACAACCTGACAAGCTTGGAAGGGAACGATGCAGGCAAGCCAGACAAGCTTCTAACATTTTCCGCGGGAGTCTAAGAAAAAAAAGAAAAACTGGCACACACTTCTTCATAATGAAGCAACCATCATAACAATGAAGTTGATAAAGAGGACGCTCCGCAAGCATTTTGAGGCCATTCGTTGCAGTCTTCTGAAGATTGACAGTTCTGAGGAGCTCTCCTCTGAATTGCCTCCGACAAAATCCTGCAGTGAGGGGCAGCCGAAGTAAGGCAAAAACTGCCCCAACAATTGGCTGGACCTTCACACACCATGACCATACAGAAATATGAGGAAACAAAAACATGAAAATTCATGGAAATTGAACAAAGAGGCGGAATTGACTGCAATCTTCTTCTTGCGGTTGGACGATTCTGCAAGGCTTGCTAGCTGATAGAAGCCCAGTGATACTTCACTTGTGCGCAAGCCGGGCGCCATCGCGTGAAACCCTAACGCAGTGACACAGTCCTTTCTCTATCCTCACAACATCCGTGAACGGCTGTGAGCATGTTCAATTCTCACACCTGTCATGGTCAATTGATGTCAATCGTCGTATGTCGCTTCTCTGTGTCTGTTCTTCATTCTGTGCATTTCTGCGCCCTAATCAGCCAAAAAAAGATGTACCAACGCTGGCCTTTCTTTTTGCTGCACGGACCTGCATACACTTGGAAACAACATGCCTTTGTCCCAAAGTGTTTGTGTACAGTTTGCCGTGTCCATCTATATATAGAGATTCTTTGTGGCCGACAAGCGCTTGGATTCGCATGTTTGCATGCGGCGCAGTCGAATCTCTCTTCAACTGGTTTTCTCGCTGTTGACACGTTTCGTTTTCAAAGTCATGAGCCTGTTATAATCCGTTTCCACTGCGATACTTTGATCTCATGCCGTGGAAGATGCAGGGAATCGTGCAATTCGATGTAATCCTGGCTCGTCGGCCATTTTGATTGCAGGTACTTCACTAATTTAAGCACCCCAAGGCCCCAAGGGTTTTAATTTATATAAATGTTTACAGATTCAACAAAACGGACAAGCCAGAATTAGGCCCTTTTGAAAGCAGGGCATCTCTGACAAGCAATGTTGTCTGATGTGCATGAATTTGAATTGGTGAGTTAAGGAAGACACGATTGCCGCGTTCAGCAGCTATGCAGCGTTGCAGCAGGGTGTTTAGTGACGTTTTGTGAGAACATCTGGGAAGACTCCGCGCCTCTCTTTGCAGAGCCATTACAGTACAATCTTATGGATGAGCACCACAAGCAATTTCCCCACCTTCCCATCACACAGAGAAACACCCAAACACATGTGCATACTGCTTTCTTGGCATATCTTGGCATACATATTGCGCATATGGAATTATATGGATGCATATGGACTTCCATGTTGTCATCCACCATTGCATTTGAAGGGGCACCATCTATACTTAATTTATCTTAATTTATCTTAATTAATTTGATTTCATTTGATTCCTGCCTGCTAAGTGCTGCACCTCACCATACTGTACAGTGCACCTCTAGCGAGTCAGAGCGATCAAAATTCTGAAGCCCAGAATTCATCTGCACTAGGCTTCGGAAATGGAGTCTATGTACACGACTACGATGAAGATATGCGTGGAATCAGCACCTGCTGTTCTGGTCCACTTCTAAGTGGCGATGGGAAATAGGGGAGATTGGTTAGAGAGAGTTGCCGCACAACACATCTCAGTCTGGATCCTGACTCATGAATTGTTTTTGTTTTCCTTGCAAACATTTGCAAATCCTATTTTCGGGCTAGTCTGTAGAGTTTTGAGAGGCTCGCTGCGCGGATCGGTGAAGCTCCAAGCATCACACAATGTGAAAAGCAGACTCGGTGTCAGCATCTGCCAGCGTCTCCACTGCTCCGTCAGCATCAAAAAGAACCTCCACAAGCTCAACGTTGTGGAGAGTCTGGCGCTCGAACTTCTTCACTTCCAAGCAGCTGCCGTGATACAAGATTGAGTCCTTAGCGACGTGGGTGCTAGCAGTTTCCTAATGTCTATGCTTTTCACCACAACCTGTATGGAAGTTGGGAAAATGGGACAGATTAATTCACGGCTCTTTGGAGTCACACAAGCACTCACGCAGAGAAATAAAAGCTGGTTGGTGCAAGCATGCGGCATTCAGGAGTGACAGGGAGACATAAGAATTGTTGGCAAATAATCGCAGCTGTTTCAGCATGTTTCAGCCAAGCATCCCCTTCGCGCAATTCCATAGCGGGTACGACCTGGACTCACGGACAAGACTCAAACACAACCTGGACATGTGGACCAGACTTGAACGTGCAGGCCTCCCATATTCACACCAAACACCCAAAGAGGACTTCGACTTTCTGTCTCTCCAGGCCGGGACTTCCGCTTATACTATGGTATTAGACACTACGTTCTACATTGCAAGTACTTGGATTTACTCAGCAATCCTCTCTCATTGAAAATTACAATAACACACTAGCAAATGGCCCATTTGCAATCATACTGTTGCCCACTGTGCCCACCTCTTTCTCCCTCGAAGCACGGGCAACACGTTGACGTGCAGTGATGCACAGATTTGGTGCATCCCCCTCCAAGGTCAACTGAATCACATCGCACTGCTGGACATGTTTGAAGGTCACTGCTTCCACCTGGCGTAAGTTTGACCAATTTTGACCATCATGGCTGCAAAGTACTGCAAGTTTAACTTTGCCATACTGCAGCATCGCCATATCGCAAGATATGGCAAGAACATCTGAACATTGCACCTCAAGCCATCCCCCTGTAGCGGCACGCACGGAACAGTTGGGCCGAAGATCTTCAGCAGCAACAGGAGGGCCTTCTTGCAGACTCATGGCTGTTCGCTTTAAGAAGAGCTGTGGCAGCGGTACCTCTGGCCACAAATGGAAATCCCTTGCGTCTTGTGGGCGACGTGGAGTTTCTTTTAGATTTTTAGTGAGAGAGGCTGAGGACTATCAGAGGACAGTGGGAACTGTTGCAGAACTCCAGAGGGAATGTGTTATGGGATCAAACCGATTCTGCGTGTTGATGAGCAAGAGTCTCTACTTGTGATGCTGGCTCGTTGCAACATAAAGCAGGCCTACTTGGCCACAAATCAAAGACGAGGAGACAGGCTTGCATGCTCGGCACAAGTCAGCATCAAGAGATCCATTGCTCAACACAAAGACTTAAAGAGAGCCGCACCTCCTCAAGGATCCAACTGCCCATATCCGCCATATCCTACCTATCTATCAATCTATCAATCTATCAATCTATCAATCTACCAATCTATCAATCTATCTATCTATCTACCTATCTACAGTATCTATCTATATCCACTATCATCTATTATCCATTTACTCTATCCATTTACTTTCAATTCACCCCCTTGCCGTGAAATCCATCTCAAGTAAGCACAACTTAGCCAAGCAGCTGCTTGCGCCGAGATCACGGAAAAGGAATGTTCTGAACTGGGGGTGTCTGTGGCCAGCAACGGCTCTTGAAGCGACGGCCTGAACTGAGGCGACCTCAGGGGCGCAAAAGGGCAAACCCTACCACTGATGCTCAAGCGCACTTGCTAAGCTGCATAGCATAGACTGCGGTGGCCCTAAAGATAGGTTCCATATGATTCCATGACTAGCTTAGCTTGGCCATGGGATATTCATGCCTTTGTTATGCCCGATTGCAGCAGGTTGCAACATAAATCATTCACTATATTCCATTCTTTGTCAATCCTTTCCAGCCCAGTTCATGCGACATAGTAATCTCTCTGAAGTATGTGAATACAGTTAATACATGCTAGTAAGCTGCTAATACCTCATTTGTCCAAGGGCCTCAGCAGCATTGGATGTGCTGCCATAAAGGCAATGCCCATGCAAATGCACAACAGAACTTCCTCCAAAGATTTGGCTTCCGGAGCATATCGGAGCATTCGGGACAGCACACATCCCCAGGGTTTGCGACACATACAAAAAACAAACTGACTGATACACGTACAGTATATCGTCTGCTTTTCATGTATGTCTCGGTGATGTAACTTAGTCACAGTCAGTGATAAAGGATGGATAGGTGGATGAATGGATACTGAAGATGGATGGACGGACCGACGAATTTTGGATCTATTGACATGCATTAGAAACAAAATAGTATAATATATAATTATATATATACCAGTAGTACCGCACAAGGTGGTGGCGGAAGTTTCAAAAATAGGAAACCTATAGGAAAGGTTGGTTGTTGCGACTCACGGATGGCAGAGCGAATCCACTGATGGACTGAAACGTGATTGATTTCTCTCATTTTTTCTCTCTCTTTTGCTCTCTTTCTCTCTCTTTCTCTCTCTTTCTCTCTCTTTCTCTGATTAACTACCTACCTACCTACCTACCTACCGATCTATCTATCTATCTATCTACCTATCTATCTATCTATCTACCTATCTATCTATCTATCTCTCTATCTCTCTCTCTCTCACTCTCTCATCTGTCTATCTAGCTTTCTATCCATCTATGCATCTGTGTGTCTATCTACCTATCTACCTATCTATCTAACAATCTATCCATCTATCAATCTATCAGCCTATCAATCTATCAAATCTATAAAATCTATCAAATCTATCAAATCTACCAAATCTATCAAATCTATCAAATCTATCTCATCCATCTAATCTATCTTTCTTTCTTTCTTTCTATCTTTCTATCATTCTATCATTCTATCTATCTACCTATCTATCCATCTATCTATCTATCTATCTATCTAGCTATCTACCTATCTATCTACCTATCTACCTATCTATCTATCTGTCTATCTATCTATCTATCTAACCTATCTAACCTATCTAACCTATCTAACCTATCTAACCTATCTAATCTATCTAAAAAATCTAATCTATCTAATCTATCTAATCTATCTAATCTATCTAATCTACCTAATCTACCTAATCTAGCTAATCTATCTAATCTATCTAACCTATCTAATCTATCTAATCTACCTAATCTATCTAATCTATCTAACCTATCTAACCTATCTAACCTATCTAATCTATCTAATCTACCTAATCTATCTAATCTATCTAACCTATCTAACCTATCTAATCTATCTAAAAAATCTAATCTATCTAATCTATCTAATCTATCTAATCTATCTAATCTATCTAATCTAATCTATCTATCTATCTAATCTATCTATCTATCTATCTAATCTATCTATCTATCTAATCTATCTATCTATCTATCTATCTAATCTATCTATCTATCTATCTATCTAATCTAACCTAACCTAATCTAATCTATCTAATCTATCTAATCTATCTATCTAATCTATCCATATCTATCTATCTTATCTATCTATCAATCTATCAATCTATCAATCTATCAACCTATCAATCTATCAATCTATCATCCCCCCGCCTTCCGCATGAATCTCCCCCCCTCCCCTTCATACATTTCCATCGAATGTATGAACGGGGGGGGAGCAGGTAGTCAAGCCCGGCGACGGAAAGAGGCTTGAAAGAGGTGTCAAGAAGATTTATTGAATGAGACATGGGGGGGACCTGCTCTGCACCAGCACAAAACACTGTTTGGGAAACCCCAAAAAAATGTATTTCTCTGGGGGGTGAGCTGCTACTAGGAACTATTAATTCATTGCAGGTTAAAAATCTTAAAATGTATGAAACATAAGGGGAACCAGATCATTTACTGCAGTACTCTGGATGAGATGAGACAAAATCAAATGTATAGAATATAGGGGGGACTGAGTGGTTTCTGTAAAGTACTGGAAATGTATGAGAGTAAGGGGAGACTATGTTGTTTCAACCTCAGTGCAGCCCAACATAGGCCGTTCCAAGCCCAATTTCTTCGCGCTAAAAATAACGCAATTTTCAGTGCGAAGAAAAGGGCTAAAAAACTGGCCCCGTATAGGCCCAACATGGCGCACATATTGGAACCACCTGGACCCTTTACGACCCTAGGATTCTCCTGGATGTGCCCTGCCCACAGTACCTGAAATGTATGGCTGCACTGATGTGTAGGCACCCCCCCCTTCATGCAAAAAAAATCACATGCTCTGGGGTGTGTTGGCATGCGTTGCCATTCTCCCTACTACTGGATACTATTGGAACACATTGGAACCACCTGCAACCTATACGACCCTAGGATTCTCCTGGATGTGCCCTCCCCGCATACCTGAAATGTATGGCTGCACTGATGTGTAGGTACCATCCCCTTTCACACAATATATTCACATGCTCTGGGGTGTGTTGGCATGTGTTGCCATTCTCCCCACAATTGGAAACTACTGGAACCACCTGGAACCTATACTATATACGACCCTAGGATTCTCCTGGATGTGCCCTCCCCGCATACCTGAAATGTATGGCTGCACTGATGTATAGGTACCCCCCCTGTCATACAATATATTCACATGCTCTGGGGTGTGTTTGCATGCGTTGCCATTCTCCCCACTACTGGATACTATTGGAACATATTGGAACCACCTGGAACCTATACGACCCTAAAAGAACCGTCCTGGATTCTCCTGGATGTGCCCTGCCCCCAGTACCTGAAATGCATAGCTGCACTGATGTGCAGCTACCCTCTCCCTTTCATATAATACATTCACATGCTCTGGGGACCTCTGGGGTGTACCTGAAATGCTTTGCCATTCTCCCTACTACTGGATACGATTGGAACATATTGGAACCACCTAAAAACCTATGAGAACCGTCGTGGATTCTCCTGGATGTGCCCTGCCCCCAGTACCAGTCGGAGGATAATGAGGACTGTGGGCTGGTGAAGAAAAGTGAATCTCTGCAGTTCCTTTCGGCAAGGTCAGTACCCTGTGAGTAAGACTGTTGAAAGCATCTGACACCATAAGACTTTGGATCTCAATGTTTGATAAAAAACAGAAGTTGAAAAGCTATACGGAATGGGCAGGGTTCGATTAAATCAACACACTTCAACCATCTTCAACCCAAGGCTCAACCTAAAAAACATCCTTTCGGTACCGAGCAATCCTTAAAAAATGTTGGAAAAAGGCACCCTAACAATAGATAAGAATCAGCAACAACTACTGCATACTATTGCATTTAATACATTTAGGCTTCTCAAGACAACCTTCACGTATAATGAAGGTGCGGCATGGAACTGCTGCTGACCGCCCAGGTGCATACATTCATGGTACTTCATCTGCGCCCCCCCCCCCTTCCAAATTTCGCACCCCCCCTCCAAATTTGGGTATTAACCCATGGGGGCCTCCCATAATTTGGCAAAGTTAGATTTCAGGGGGGGGCTCAAAAGCGTCGTGCTATTTCGTAAGATTCACCAGGAAAACTCCATGACATCAAACATCCATGGCCTTGCAAAATCAATGTATGAAACCGCCTCCCCACCTTTTTCTAAACAAGCTTTTGAAGCCAAATACTGAAAATGTATGAGGACCACCCCCCGCCTCTTTAGGTAATCTCTTAATTTTACCCCCCCCAAAAAAAAAGTTCATACAAAAATACCCGTTTCAGAGTGGGGGGGGCCCTGGAAATGTATGAAAAATTCCCTAGTACACCACCCTCTTCATACATTTTAAGGGGTGTGGGATTATCTTTCTATCAATCTATCTGTCTATCTATCTATCTATCTACCTGTCTATCTGTAAGCTTGAAAACCTTGCTATTCTACGAGACTTCTTCATTTTCAAGTTGACAACATCAAAAACGCAGCACTTCTGCGAGACTTCCTCATTTGTTGTAGTTGACAACATCAAAAACGAAGCAATTCTGCGAGACCTTCTCATTTTTTGAAGTTGACCACATCAAAAACGAAGCAATTCTGCGAGACTTCCTCATTTTTCAAAGTTGACAACATCAAAAACAAAGCAATTCTGCGAGCCTTCCTTCAAAAATGGAAAGTTGAGTGCAGAGCTAACAGCTTCGTACCAATGAGTTTTGCGATTTTTCCAGTCCACCTGTCTAAACTACTCTGAACTACTGCCACTACCACGAAAAAGTGATGCCAAGTCATACGAAGTGCTGCACCTGTCATGCAAAATCATCTCAGCAAACCTGAAGATCTGATGCTCCAAAATGCAAACCCTCTCAGGAAATCAGCGCCCTGACCTCCTAACATCTCTGATGAACATGTCTCTTGTACTGCGCCTGCCACGCGAAATGCGTCTTTGAAGATCCTCTTCAAATGTCCCACGCCCGCCATCGCGTTTGGACATGCTACAAAACCCTCACGTTTTGCTCGCTTTTGACAAGGTGCACAATCTCTTGCGCCTGCCACGCGAAAGCACATCTGAACGTCATGTGCTTCGCGCCACAACGGCGTGCACTTTTTCGACATCTCAACTTCCAAAAGTGGTCCGTAGCTGGTGTGCTTTGTACATTTTGACTTCGAAATGTGCTTCGCGCCACAACGGCGTGCACTTTTTCAACATCTAAACTTCCAAAAGTGGTCCGAACCTGGTGTATTTTGTGCATTTTGACTTGCAAATGTGCTTCGCGCCACAACTGCGTGCAATTGTTCATCTCTCATCTGGCCAGATGGCTCCGCACCCGCCGCTTTAGCGAGGCTACTTTTCGACCCTCTGGAGCCACAAATCATTGGAAACACATGGAAAAACACAGTGTTTCGCGACTTTCCTACCTTTTCGCGCATCTGCATCTTCTTTCTTCTGACTCTTTCTCTTCTCTGATCTGCTCTCTTCTACTCTTCTCTTCTCTCTGCCTCTGCCCATCTCTGCTTTTCATCTGTCCATCTTGTCGGAAGTTTGACTTCTAAACTTCCTCCGATAATCACATATACTATATCTATATATATATATACGTATATATATATATATACATGCACATGAGCCGTTGTCGAAACTCATTGTTTTCGCTAAGCTCCCGAAAAAACGGTATCACTTTTGGCAGGGCCCTATCGCTATCCATCGTTTTTCTATTTTTGAAGAGAAACGAACAAATCTACCTAACGAAAAGAAGACCAAAGGAAGAGGAACGGAAAAGCAAAAATGGAACAAGATAAAGGAAAAGAGACGGAAGAGGAAAGGAAGAAGAGCAAAGGAAGAGAGGAAAGGAAGAGAGGAAAGGGAAAAGAACGCATGTGATCGCATGTGGATTAGACATATAGCAACACGACGCCAGTACCGTGTCTGCGTGTGGAACTGCTTAAAAGCTCCTACATGTATACATTGAATCTTTGGATCATGCCAGAAGGCCTTAAAACAAATCTCACAAAACTTCTTGACACATCTCGGGACACTTCAGTGACATGTCTGCTACGACAGCTGCTACAGTATGATGATTTGTGATGGGTCCTGGATCAACATCCACTTGTCTCGACTGTGCATTTCTGCGGCGACATTCGACTGCAATTGGGACATGCTGTTCATTTCTGCAACGAGGCTGGAACGCAATTCGAACATCCTCCAGCATGTCCGAACGAGGGCTGCCAACATTTGCGAAAACATGTCTCAGAAAAACAGGAAAATTATGAAAGGTCAAACCGTCAAACCTCTGCCGAAAGTTCCAAAATCTCCAGGCATCCCAAAGGTGGGTGCTTTCAAACTTTTAAATTTAGCCTTTGACACCCATTGACATCCTAAATCATCCTAATATATCCTAATGTTTCTAATCACAAGTGGTACAAGTTGACAGCACAAAATACAAAGCAGGCTCCTCTCATCCAAGGAATTGATTCTGGCTTCGTTGCTCTCACCCTTATGGAGCTGAGCCTTGGTGCTCCAGCTACAGTGACCACAGGAAGCCCAACTTTTGGGCAGACCGCAAGACGTCATGTTGCGCGTAGGGACATTTCGTATACTATCCACACACACACAGCACTGGATAACTTGGGGGATGCTGGGATCTTTCATTGGTAACAGCTGCGATGATTAGACTTCAATAGGCGAATGTAGGCCGTCATCGGTCCACCTCTTCCAAGCAATCCAGAACACCTTCATTCACGAACTACGAAGCTATAAGTTGTCCAAACTCCAAACTATGAATGTTTGAGAAAACTGCCAGAGCACTCTTGCATTGTTGTAAAGTTGGAGGCATGTTTCGCGATGTTTTGCGGCATCTCAGTATTTCAAGAAAGCACGCTCCTGACTTGAAAACATTTGAGTAGGACTGACCAATGGTTCCGTGATGTTGGGTGTAGCTGGTGATGAATGTCCAGCAGCTTCCAGCTGATTCATCTTGGTGTCAGTGTCTGCTATGAATTGTCCGAATTTGGTATGGAGATTGTCAATCTTCTTGTCCTCATCTTGGTTCTTCTTGGCAGCTTCCTAGGCAGTGCAAGAATCACAGTTTAATCAACCATCTGCTGTTGGAAGAATGTTTCACGAAGGCTACCTCTGCAGTGTGCTTCATTCTTCTGACTCCAAATTGCCATATAGATTTGCATAATTCAGATGGTGTAAGGAAAATGGGTACAAATCACATCGCGCACGGCCGGCTTCTTGTGATGTTTCTGTGTTACACTCTTTCTCCTGCTGACCCCAGAGCCACCAGTCCAGTAGACATTTAGAGCAAACAGCCAAATGTCTCTTTGGAAAGCTTGCATTTCCTTTGTCGCAGAGCTTTCATTCGAAACTGATGAAGCACCCCTTTCATTCTGCAGCAGCTTTTGTTGAAGTCGTTGGTTCGTCTTGTTGACTTGGCTGACTTTGCCTTTGAGCTGGGCAATCTCCTCTTTCACTCTGTGATGAGAGCGATTCCTCGCAGTTGCTGCGGGCCATGTCGTAGACCAGTTTCTGAAGTCTTGAACTGGACAAATGAATGGGGTCAGTCACATGGCACAGTGTTTGACACTCGGATGGGCTGATGGATGATTCAACCAACATATGGATTATAGACGATTATAGCCTGATCTTCTTGCACAAACTTGCATATACTTTCTACGTCTTGGGCATAAGTTGCCAAGGGTCAGCATCTTTTCCATCTTCACATCCATTTGCTGCTGCATCTGCAGCAGTTTGGCCAGATGGGCCAGCTGCTCAATTTTGTGAGCTTGGCTAGCCTCACCTGTTCGTTGGTTGATAATGCCGTGACAAACATAACACTGCCAGCATCACACAAGATCAAAATGATGAAGTGAGGTGTTAATGTACGAGTCAGTATGAGCATGGTCTCTTCAGAGCTTGCCCCGAGGGCCAATCGATGTCAACTCAAAGGAATTCAAAGGACCTTGTGCCACAGCAGCACCAATAAGTGGCAGCTCTACTTCTGCCAAGTCCTGCCAAAGAGGTCGCTGGGAGTCCAGTGCATCAAAGTCGCGAAGCATCGTGCCACAAGTTGCAGTTCAGAAAGGGACTATTGATCTCTGGGTGTTTTTCGAACCAAACACAAAGGGCAAAAGAATGGGAAAAGGATGCACCATGATGCAACTTCGAGACAGAGAGAGTGGTATAGGCATCAAGTGGTGCTCGGCAGCAATGCTGACAACATCTGAACAACCTTAATCATTTTGATGAATTGACATTGAAAACCATATCTCAGTCTCAGCATTCCATGGTCAAAGTCCTCCGCTTCGCCAAGCTGGTCACTGTGCTGGTTGACCTGGTCACTGATTTTGACAAAACTCAGCAGCTGCCCGATGAGAAAGATGTAATAGAAAGGTTGCATCGGCTGCAAAAGCTTGATATTCTGGCTGACATCTGGCAATTTGAAACCTCACAGGATGCTACAGTACAACCGTGTACATTGGAAGACTAGCAGTGGCTTGCAACAAAATGTCAGCATCTTGGCCTTTTGGCGGATTTGCTTCAAGCTCTTCTGAGTCATCTCTGCCAAGTTCCGAATCCTCAACTCAACTCCGTTGACGAAGTCTTTTGTGATTCTTTCGTTTGGGATGCCCTCACTTGCTCTCTAGCAGGCACGAGATCCATGCAACAGGCATGTAAATGTATGCCCTAAGCAAGTCATGAAGTGCAACATGAATTGGTGTTCACTCTAAGACTCATTCGAATAGTCTACGTACTTGGGAAATTTTGCAAATGATTTTTGATGTTGTCTTTTTTGAGAGCGGGGGACTGTCAATGGGAATTTCAGGATCCTAAAATGGAGGTACTGCACCATAATATAAGGCCATATTTTGTTGGGATATTCCCTTACATAGGCCTTGTATATGGTACTGTAGGTACCTCCAATTTAGGTTCCTGAAATGGCCATTGAGACTGTGGGAGTGCGCTTTTTTGTTAGTTTTACAGCAAGTTGTTGGCGCTAATTCTTCATACACATAATCATGCTTAATGTCTCTGCCAAAATGTTCATCCAAATGAAGATGCCACCAGCCACAACAAAAATAAAACATACAAATTTGTCGGTGGAGGGAAAATAGTATTGAGACATTACTACACCCCAGTAAGCCAAACCATTATGAAACAGCTGCAAATGCAACTCTTTAAACACCCACGCATATTATAAGGCATTCATCTACAAGATCTAGTGTTCCCTTCGCAACAGTTATGTAATTACTCATTGCATAATTTAATAAACCGTTCATTCATAAGTCATAAGCTGCAATTTTCCTTCGAGGCAATGCATTACAGTACTTCTTTCAAGAAACTTTGCACAGCATGTCTCTTTGAGAATTGCAAAAAAAACACTTTTACCGCTAAAGGAACTTTGCACAGCTGTCTCTTTGAAAATGACTTTGGATTCATTTCAATTCAATATCGCACTCCCTTTTATAAGGGGACTGTACAAAATGATACCACTTTGCCACTTTATGCAAGGAATGATGTGACTTCATGCAAGGAATGTCATATTCTTGAAAAAATCTTGCTGCACAAGGCATGTATTGGAGGATTTTGATTCGAAAACAAACTTCAAAGGCCATGCTGAAACTTGTTTGCTGATTCTATTTTCAAGTCTTGGCTGTGCTGTATTTCCTCCCATGGTTTCAAGTAACTTTCTGGGGTGGTGCCCAAAAACCATGAGAAAAGAAACTCAAGCCATGAGAAAATCAGCAAAAAATGAACATCATAAGATGTGACTGAGTAGACATGAGCCAACCACTCATGGACCTCCATTAGTTTGTTTTTTTCCCATTGATTTTTCGAAATTTTGGGCAGAAGTTGCAAAAACATCGAGAGCACCAAAAAAAGCAAACAACACTAAAAAACACAAGCCAATGGACGTCCAAGAGTGGCTGGGACAGAGACTTTTTTAAAACGAATGTTGTTCTTTTTTTGTGTTTTTTCTTTTGGTTTTTATTTGGTCAAGGTTGCACGAACTAATTCATGTGTGGTTTGTGATCAGAAAAAAATGAGGTGTTTAAACTAAGTGATACGCAGAAAAATTGTACTCCCACAGTCCCCTGTTCCTCTTTTTTTTGGGGGGCCGTGTGGGACAAGAGCGTTTCATTGAAGCCAGCTCAGGTGCTCCCGTCGATTCTCATCCACCTTTTCGGACAGGACCTTGAACACGTGATGCCAGGTAGATACAAAAGATATAAACAGACCACAAGGAACACAGAGGAACCACAGTTGTGCAAGGGAAACAAAGGAAACAAACACAATCAAGAATGGTACAATCACTGAAAATTTCCGCCAAAACCGGGTTGAAGCTTCCTTCACACTGCACTTCACTTGCGGTTTTGACCGTAGCAGTTCAGTCCCAAATATACAAACACATGCAAACAAACTCTTTAATCTGCATACGCTGCACGTCTTGATATATTTTTACACCTGCATTTGCATTAGACGCATGTCACACAATGTAGTTCAACGCAATGAAGTGTAATTTCATGACATGTAATGAAGTGTAATGCACTGTACTGTCTTTTTTTCCCACCGTGCTTGTCGCACAAGCCGATCGATTGAGATGTAAGATATGGTCACGGATTTGTCTCCAGGCCATTGAACTAATGTAATATCATTTAATGTAGGATGTATGATGATGTATGATCTGTAAATATCTACATACTTACTGTAACTGACGCTTCAAAACATACATGCATACACAGGCAACGTCTATATCACACACGCGCACACACACATGTATATATATAATATATAATATATATATATAATATATATATAATATATATATATATAATATATATAATATATATATACGCCTATGTACATGCACGTATGCTGTCGTTCTTGATCATTCTTGAACGAAAGCTACAGGCCCTGCCTCGATCACCTCAATCAACTGTCCATTGATGAAGTGTCGAGTCTCCTCAATCGTGAATGCAAGGGGCAACCGGAGAAGTAGCACATAGGAGCAAAGAGTTGGGTAGATGGGGGCGTTTGCCCGAACCTCAGCGCCTTCTTGATGAGCTCGATCATGTTCATGTTCGATGAGTTTGTTTGGATATATTGTATAGACTTGCTTCATTGAAAAATGTGATTTTCGCTGTGGTGGCAAGCACATTTTAAAATCTTTACATCGTTGTCCTTTGATGCTAATTCTGGTTTTGTGTAAGATGTTTATCGAATTCTCCACCAACTCCACTTCCTTTTTTCCCACACTGCCAGGTGAGGGTCTCTGGATTCTAATATTTCTTTTCCTTTCCTTTCCTTTCCTTCCACCTTCCTTCACTCGCTGCCATCACTCCCGTCTTCTTGCTGCGCTGGGTGAGCGCTGGACACCATATCGCCTGGCTCCCCATGCTATACACGCTGGACCTGAACACCATATCGCCAGCTCCAGATGCTGTGGAGCACCTCTGGACCCGAACAGCACGCCTGGACCCGAACACATGCCAGAGAGAATGCCAAAGAGGATGTCAGAATATGCATCAAATAGAATGTCAGATGGAATGCCAGACATCAGATGGAATGTTGGAATAGATGCCAGATAGAATGCCAGAATGAATGCCTGAAAAGATGCCAAATAGAATGTCAGAGTATATGCCGGACAGAACGTCAGGTAGAATGACAGAATAGATATGATATGCCAGATATAATTTGTGTACTTCCAAATGGTATGTCAGAAACTATGTAAGAATAGTGTGTCACGGGAGGGATCACTCAAAGAAAGTAATTTCAAACATACATGTTGAAAACAACTCTTACAGGGGATTGCACTTTTTTCGTTCTCAACTGCGAACGACAAGTATATAATCGGAATTGGATGGGCTTTGCCGCATGGCTTTGCCTTCCGCGCACTTGTCTACATTACGATAAGAGAGAGTAGAGAAAAGTGCCGGAGGGCAAAGCCCATCCAATTCCAATTCCCCTGCAAGAGTTGTTTTCAACATGTGTGTTTGAAACTCAACTGCGTCCCTTTTCAGTGAGCCAAGTTGGATCTACATAAATCTACATAATATATGCCTGCTGGGATGAATGTTGTCTCTGACAAAGGCCATGCAGCATCATCTGAGTCTGCAAGTACAAGAGGAGAGTGGTTAGCGTAGCATCGTGTCTGTGTGCATGTGCAACAGGACGTTATTGCACCCCCCGATCATCTTTGATCTATATATTTCGGCTTGATTGGAGGAGGGTTCTCTCCTGCATGTGATCCGTAGAATCGCTCAAGTGATCCAAGTCAGGATCCATCGGTCAATGTATGGAACATTATGGAACCCATCATAATCTCCATAACATTCCATAACTGTAACCACCATGCACAAAGTGGGTTGTCCGTGGTTGTCCCTTATCACTTATCACATATCTAATCTACCACACATCCGCTTAATACCATCAGCTACCTGGCAGGGACCCTGGATCTTACACTGTAGACCCTAAAAACGGGGTCTGAAGAAGAGTTACATAGCTAAATCACGTAAAACAATCTCAATAGTCTAGACCCTTCGACCTTACAGATGCTGAAGGTCTGAAGACGTTTACCCATGCGCCAAAATAGCAAAAAAATGTTCCAAACAACATGTTTTCTCTCGCTCATTTTTTTCTTCGCTGCTGTCACAAGTTTTTCACATTTGGAAAAAACTTATGAAATCTTATGAATAACACTTGGGAAAAAATCTTATCAAATCTTATGAATAACAATTTGGAAAAAATCTTATGAAATCTTATGAATAACGATTTGAAAAAAATCTTATCAAATCTTATGAATAAGATTTGGAAAAAATCTTATGAAATCTTATGAAAAACAATTTGGAAAAATCTTATGAATTCTTATGAATAACAATTTGGAAAAAATCTTATGAAATCTTATGAATAACACTTTGGAAAAAAAAAACTTATCAAATCTTATGAAAAACAATTTGGAAAAAATCTTAAGAACTCTTATGAATAACAATTTGGCAAAAAAAACTTATGAAATCTTATGAAAAACAATTTGGAAAAAAGATCTTATCAAATCTTATGAATAACAATTTGCAAAAAAAAAATCTTATGTAATCTTATGAATAACACTTTGGAAAAAAAACTTATCAAATCTTATGAATAACAATTTGGAAAAATCTTATGAAATCTTATGAATCTAGCGTGGCAAGGTCTAGAAACACAATGGCCAGCAAAACCAATCTCTGTTGATCAAGGCCAGAAACGCTGTCCAGACCTTTGGACAAACTTTGGAATCTAGCTTGGCAAAGGTCTAGAGCTACAATGGTCAGCAAAACCAACCTGTCCTGATGATTGCCAGAAAAGCTGTCCAGACCTTTGAAAAAACAAGATCTGCCTTACATCTTCAAAGTTGAAAATTATGGGACATCCATATATCATGTCCAACATAGACACGCTCAAGGGTCTATAGTACCTTAAATGCAGAGGGTCTACAGTGCTCCTGGAAGTACTCTAGACCCTGGGCCCCTGAAGCCTGGAGGCCTGGGTACTCTAGACCAATGTAGTTGAGGGGATTCCGTTTACACATCCGTTTACCATTGCAGTAGCTAGGGTAGTGGATTCGAACATCAAGGCCAGCCCTCGTCCTGAACCTTTTCGAACAGCTGCTGATCTGCATCCGACAGCCTCAGCCATGAGTGGAACCAGCTACCATCAGCTACTGGTACCATCAAATAGCATCAGCTACCACTGGATGATGTGAATGTCAAAGTTTTTGAGAGAAATGCCAGAGATATCCAGAGATAGATGATGAGAGATTCATAGAGATTCGATGTAGTTTCACATCAAATGCAGAAGGAAATGAGCCGTATGCGAACAGAGACGACAGTACTACACATGAAGCGAGAGTAAGATCGGCGGTAAAGTCCACTACCAAGCCTTAAACTTGACACACTGTGCGAGATCTCATTTGGTGTGTTGCAATCCTTCGGCGCACTTCAGCTGTACCCGTTGCAGACTTGACGAAACTGAGATAAGTCTTTAAGTTGATTCAATCACTGTTTCCGAGGGGCACTTGTATCTCTTCTTCTGTCGCCAACTGTCCATTACACAGTGCCAGGAGTGCCAAAGCATGCCACAACGTGGCTGGCATCATTGCTCAATGATTGTTCTCTGGGCAGCTCTGCCGCAGTCTGAGTTTGTATCGATGCTATGTAGGGAAATGGTCCACAAAGACCTCAATGATTGTGGTGATATTCTCATTGATAACTATTGTGATATCGTTTATATTGTTTACAATTATTTCAACACCTCTCCCTGTCTCTCTCTCTGTCTCTCTCTCTTCATGGCCCGTCGTGGGGGTTCTACACCTGTAGTCTGTAGGTAGCAATTTGCATTTCCAGCGCAGGCAAATCTTCAAAGTAGCATGGCTTTGAGCCCAAACCACATCACAATGTCGATGCAATGGGTTTAGTATGGAGAGGAAAACAAGAATAATCCAACCTATGCTTCTCCTCCTGAATCAGCAACCAGAAAACACAACTTCTGAAGCCCTGAGCTTCATGACCGATGCTGTGGAACACGTATTCTGCCTGGAACCACCTCCTGCACAGCGAAGGTTCAAAAGTCATGATCAACCACGAGGTACCCAGGAAGATTTTAATGATTTCTAGTGTCATGATACTGGACAAGTGGCCAATGTGGCAGCTGTTTGCGGCCTTTTTAACGACGGACTGAAACTTAGAATACCGCCGTGTTTGTCAAGAATTTTGCGGGTGCCACTTTGAATGCCTACATTTTGGGCTCACTTAGAATGCCTCCATCACCAAAACATTCAAACCTGCGAGCTGGACTTTTATGGGGCATTCTAAGTGCGCATGATTATCGCCATATTTGGAGACCCTTTCAATATCTTTTTGGTCCGAGGCATTTTAAGTTTCAGTCCGTCGCTATTAGAGATATAGACTTAAACTCTTGATGGTATATATAATTTATTATATAATCCCCTGTTTTGGTGTGAATATGCTAGTTGTTGCCCTCTAAATCCCATTTGTGAGCTTCTGGCGTTTCGACCACATGGCTGAAATAATTCCAAAAATGAATTATATATAATAACCTGCTAGCAGCTAGAATAATTTCAAAAAAATATAAAAAAAATAACTTGGAATATACGGAGAACATTAGCAGTTAGAATATTCCAAAGTCACATGAATCCATTCACCTCCTTGTTCTATTTAGCAACTATTTAGCAGCTGTTTAGAAGCTATTTAGCAGCTATTTTGCATTGATTCAGCAGCTATTTAGCAACTATTTAGAAGCTATTTAGTAGCTATTTAGCAGATTTTAGCAACTATTTAGAAGCTATTTAGCAATTATTCAGCAACTATTTAGAAGCTGTTTAGCAACTATTTAGCAGCTATTTAGCGACTATTTGGCATCTGTTTAGCACCTATTTAGCACCTATTCAGTAGCTATTTAGCAGCTATTTAGAAGTTATTCATCACCTATGTTGAAGCTATTTAGAAGCTACTAGAAACTGTTCAGCAAACTATTTAGCAGTTATTTAGCAGCTATTTAGCAACTATTTAGCAGCTATTTAGCACCTATTTAGCAGCTATTTGGCAACTATTTAGTAACTATTGAGCAGCTATTTAGAAACTATTTAGCAGCTATTTAGACGCTATTTAGCAGATTTTAGCAACTATTTAGAAGCTATTTAGCAGTTATTCAGCAACTATTTAGAAGCTGTTTAGCAACTATTTAGCAGCTATTTAGCGACTATTTGGCATCTGTTTAGCACCTATTTAGCACCTATTCAGTAGCTATTTAGCAGCTATTTAGAAGTTATTCATCACCTATGTTGAAGCTATTTAGAAGCTATTAGAAACTGTTCAGCAACTATTTAGCAGCTATTCAGTAGCTATTTAGCAGCTATTTAGGAACTATTTGGCAACTATTTAGAAACTATTGAGCAGCTATTTAGAAACTATTTAGCAGCGATTTAGAAGCTATTTAGCAGTTATTTGCAACTCTTTAGCAGCTATTCAATAGCTATTGAGCAGGCAGCTACTTAGAAACTATTTGGCGCTATTCAGTAGCTATTTAGCAGCTATTCAATCTATTTAACAATTACTTGGCTACTATTTGGCAGCTATTTAGCATGTATTCAGCAACTATTTAGAACCTATTTAGAACATATTTAGCAGCTACTTAGCACGTATTTTTGCAGCTATCTAAAAGCTTTTTAGCAACTATTGTGCAGCTATTTAGTAAGAATTTGGCAGCTATGTAGCAGCTATTTAGCAGCTATTGAGCAACTACTTAATAACAATTTGACAGCTATTTACTAGCTATTTGGCAGCTAGTTTTGAAGTATTTAGCAGCTATTCAACAATTATTCAGCAACTATTCGGCATCTATTTAGCAGCTATTTAGCATTTATTCAGCTACTATTCTGCAACTCTTGAGCAGCTATTTAGCAAATATTTAGCAACTATTTAGCAGCTATTGAATAGCTATTTTGCAGCTACTTAGCAGCTGTTCAACAGCTATGTAGCAGCTATTGTGCAGCTATTTAGCAGCTATTATTTGGCATCTATTTAGCAACTATTTAGTAACTATTTAGCAGCTATTTAGCAGCTATTTAGCAATTATTCAGCAACTATTTTACAACTACTTAGCAGCTATTTTGCAACTATTTTACAACTACTTAGCAGCTATTTAGCAACTATGTGGCAGCTATTTAGCAACTATTGAGCAGCTATTTAGCAGCTATTTAGCAACTATTGAGCAGCGATTGAGCAGCTATCTAGCAGCTATTTGGCAGCTATTTAACAGCTATTCTGAGCCCGTGACCATCTGCTTCCGAGACTGCTTCAAAATGCCCCGGGAGCTGGGGGCGAGGGGGAGTGAAAAATCACTGCGTTGAACTCAGGCCTGCCCCTCCCCTTGCTGAAGCAAGAGTAACTCAGCTAGCTACCGCGAGCTTTCGTGATGATGCAAAAAAATACTGCGTGAAACACACACACATGCCTGTATATGATATCTGATACCAGTGGATGTCCATGTGTATAGATATATTATATAAAATATACACGCAACACGCAAAGCGGTGGAATGTTGCAAACAGTTGTGGATGATGCACTGCAAAATCAAGTTGCTAGACAGCCACAGTCGTCAACGGCAAATCTAGCATTCAATGAGGAATAGCCGAGCATATGTCAATGTACATTTCAATACCATCTTTTTGCCAGCACATGCACACGAACCGTTTTGAGAAGCATTGTCTTGCTGATGGCTGTCCTTGCCCTTATCCACTTTAGAAGTTTCCTAAGCCCACTGCAGGTTCAAGAGTCGCGCAGTTCCACTGTTTATCATACTGTCATAACTAAATACGGCAGTGCTGCTCTGACAGTACGAAGCCATTTTTCTGTGGACACTCTTGACACTCTTGACAACACTGCCGCTCTCATTGGACAAAGTATTGTTTTTGAAGATTAAGTGGCCTTAAAACGGCTCCAGGCTATACCTGAGAATGGTTCAACAAATTCAACAAGTTTCAACACAATCAAAATCCTCCTTTCCGACCTCACAGACTGAGAGTGCGGCCTCCTCTTCCTGGGTGCAGTTCCGGTACTGCAAAAGGTTGTCATGTGACATTGGATTTGGTGTCAAAATATTCAGTACTTCTATCAGCACATGGATTCACAGCAATCAGCTCCAAGGAACTGAACAAACCACTAACAAACTCACCCAATCTATTTAGCTACAAGAATTACGACAACTTACCAAAAAAAACGCCCTGACGTTGTTGGTTCATGATGGTTCATGCTAGGGTGCCTTCAGGCAGCCTTTTGGCAAGCTGATGATCTTCATCTACTTCGAGCCACTTTTCTTGTTTGCAAAATCCCATGGCATCCGATAACAATGCAGCGCTTAGAAGCCCTTCTTAGAATATCCTCAGTATAGCACCTAGAATTATTGTATAGGCCAAATGTATCCAAATGTATCCACATGTGCCAACTTGCTTTAACTTGATTCAAATTTGGGTTGACATCTCAACCAAGGCTCTTTACCCTCCTGAGGGACTCCAGACATCTTCTTCCGTTTGGCCTCTTGGCCTCATCGCTGGATGTCCATGCAACTGGTATGGAAAGAGTTGTGCAGTGATTTTTCCAAACCTTAGGACTCTTCTGACTTTTTGTTGCAACTGTTGAAGGCAACTATTCAACTGCTTTTGACGCTTTTCGCTGAGACACAAGGAGAGAGAAAGAGAGAGGCAGAAATACTTAAGTAAATAGGTATTCTATACACCTTATACCTATACATATATACACAGTACCTGGACGTCCATTTGTACTAGAAAAAAGTGACACAAATTGAAAAGTTGTCGTTTCAACAATTTCGATGACGTTCACAAAAGAAGTGGTCGCCTTCCAAAAAAGTAAACGATCTTGCTAGTGTATTTTTGCAAAGTGTACTACTTTTTCAAATTGCGCTCGAGTTAGGCAAAATTGCGCTCGAGTTGTGTTCTGTTTTTCTACCCGTTTGTGCTTGGTGCCCCTAAAAAGTAATACGTTTCAAAAACACGATACGAAGATCACTATTTCAACAAAATTTGAACGATTTGCCATATTTCATGCGTTTTCATGAAAACTGGTACGAAACAATTTTTTGTAGTACGGTTGGATGTCTAGGTATATATATTGATGCATGCTATGGCATATACGACACCATGAAGTGATAAGTGATAAGCTAAAAACTTTTGAAACCATGATATGTTCCCTGTGCTGGGCATCGTGTGACATGCGATTCTGGATGCAGAGAATTGCTCTGCGTCACATGGAAATCTGAGAAAACCCGTTCACGAAAATTGGTTGGAGCGTGTCTCAGTACTTGGGGCTTTGAAGGGGTAGACTTAGTCGTGTGACATTGTGTCACTATGCGCCCACTATGCTCGACTCTGAAACCAAAATAACCAAGTGGCGCATCTCTTTCAACTCTGCTGGTGTGATGGCGTCCTTGTTCGGCACGGTCTTTGGTGCCTGCGAGATGCTAAGTCCAAGGATAAGGTATGATAAGGTTTACCATCAAGATCATTATATCAAATTTATCCGTAAGATTGCAGCGACAAGTGTATGATTGTATAAGTACTTAAAGATATATACTTAAAGCGTGGTCAAAAAACTGGGCCTGAGACTTTGCACCTTTCTTTAACAGCTCTGCTCGAACAGACCTAGCAAGACACAGGCCTGCTATTCAAAACTGATTCGCCGCACTGTCATGTACAGTAATGTAAACGCGTACTGCTGCCCAATGCCATCCAATGCCAAGGCATCGTGGACCCTGCTGCACCACTTGTTGGTATGGGCTGGGAGCACGGCATTGGCATCGGCTGACCTCCTTTGCAGGCCATGCGCTGCATCACCTGAGCACCCCATCGCTGGTCCAGGAGTATCTGGGGGCATCACCGAGTCTGCTTGCATGAAAAAGCAGCAAAGTGCGATTGATTCTTGACATTAAAGTGTCTTGCTAAATAACCTTTGCTGATGCTAGAGCTGCCGCAGTACAAATTTGTTGCGAAAACAGCGCTGCTCTGAGCTAGGAGCTTTATAATCTTTGCTAACCTCCTCGTGACCTTTCAGAAACCTCAGCAATGAATTTGCATCCTTCTCGAGATCTTCGCAAATGAGCCATTGCTGCATCTTCACATTATAAATTATAACCGTGCGCTGGGATGGCTGCATTGTACTTGGATACTTTTGGACTGCAGTGCCAGTATGTGCGGTCAATTGAGTTCACTTTTGTACCTGTGTGCAACCATACAGGTCTTGAGGAAGTATGAACAGGCTCTAAGCCAAACCAAGGTGCTGTTGCGACAAACCGTCAGCTGCAGTGTCAATCAGAAGCTTCAGGATCCTTGCCCAAAAGGAGTCAGATATTGAATGTGATCAGGCTTTACCGCGGTTTGCAGCCTTCAACCGAATCGATATTGAATGTGATCACAGCAAATACACGCCTCGCTGATGTCAGGTGTGTTCTTGGTTGACCACTCTAAAAATCTATACGGGTCTGCTTTTTCAGCAGAGATCATCCTCAAAATAGATCAAACATAGCATCCCTGCTGCACACATCTTCAGATCATCACGTACGATGACATACTATGACATACTATGACATACCATGACATGCACACACACGCACACATCGCCTTGTCATACCTGCAGCAGGTGCATCATGCGGTGCATCTCCAAACACTCCAGCCCAGGCACTGCGAGTTCTGTGCCGCCCGCTGGAAGGTTCCAGTGCTGACAGCAAAGTCGCAGGTCATGCAATACTCATCCTGCGACAAAGTCACGCGGTACCACAGGGTGCCTTCTCAAATTTTGTCCCACTCCCTCGGTTCTCTGGGCTGGGCGCAACAAGTTCCCCAGCTTGATGGTCATGCAATATTATAAGATATCATCAAATCATAGCTGTCGGCCACTAGTCTCTCGACTTTTCTGCCTACTCTTCAGAGTTGAGAAATGTGTATATATATATACATGTGTGTGTACACACTATACATGTAATTATAAACAAATATGATCAAATCGGTTTATCTTTCGCCGCCCATGATGCGGGGCAACAGTGCCTCTTGTGAAGGCAAACTCAGTTACTGCTGCCAGTTTATCATGGGTTACTTCATCATATAGGCTTTAGTACTGTAATTATATGTAATTCTATTATAGCACGAGCAGCATCACAAATAAAATTGTCCCACCAGATTGTTATACTTGTATATACTTGTGGCGCTGGGCCATCCCCTCCAAAATGCGCAGAAAATGCGCATTCTGGTTTGCCGCGTCTTTCGCGGAACTTCCGTGGAATTTTCCCGAAAAACTCCATATACGCTGGATGTATCTGTGTACTACTAAACTCGAACTCGCGCACATCTTTCGCGAGTACTTAATCATTCTGCTTGTGAGAAATCGGCAAGAAAACTTTCGCAAAGGGGTAGAAACATGAGTTTGACGGTCATCGCAATCAAGATTTATTACAAGGACCCTCATGTGTGTGTGTGTGCGTGTGCGTGTGCTTGTGCTATACAATGCTATACATAGCTCTGCAATACTTCGGGTTCCACATGAATCCACATGGTTCCACCCATTTTGGAAGCACCGCAAGGGCACCTTCTGATCGCGATCAGGTCGTGGAGGTGAAAGGCTGTAAGGCAGGTGGACCTGTTCAGCAACACTTGGAGGCCCCGAACATCCAAGATGATCAGCCTAGCGTTGTCCTGAATTCCGCAATGGGGATTGCAATGTTTTGCATTCTAATATGTTTTGCGCACATGACTTGTTGATTTTTTTTTGTGATGTTGATGGCTAATGAATGACATTCTATGCGGGCGCGCGCACACACACACTTGCATATATAAATATAGCGTACTGTAATATAGTTATTCAATGTTATTTATATAAATGTTATACACACACACATAACACCAGATTGAAGCAATAATTCATGACACGCAAAGCAGCGTAAAACCTCCACATCATACGTTCAAGGGTTTGGGCCCGCCTGCTGGCCCTCACCACTCTCCGCCTTGATGAGCTGCATATCGTCTAGCCTGTCTGTATGAACCTTAGCAGTGCACGACAGTAAAGGGACTCTATGGGCCCTGTCCTTGAGATTTGGATTGAAAGAACATGAAAGACAACTGTCTTCGTGGGGCTATCAAATTATTGGCAGATTGACATGAACTCTTCAAAACCTAAGCACTTGCTTGGTGTGCATTGTCCATGCCAGGTCTGGGCGCCTGGCAATGTTAATAAAACATTTCTGCTTCTGGCCAGTTTTGAAGCCGATGCTCGTCTTCACCTTAGCAGTAAGAGCCAAGGAGGCAGCTCAGGAGCTCAGGGGCATTTTTTGATTTCATCCCCAGTGCGGCTGATTGCATTGTTACCTAGGACCTAGCTTCTCACTCTCAGCGTCAGCAGAATCTGTATGACCCAATGTGATAGCCTCTGAAACTATCTTGCACGTCCTCCTGCTCTTCATGTGAAATGCAACTTGCGTGCATATTGCATTCCACTAGCATTGCTTGGCGGGCAGAGTTCACTCTTTTCGATCTCGCAATCTTCTGCACAGCAGGACTGAGATGATGGTTTGGCTGAGCTACAGCCAGGTTGGGATGACTGCAATCACTGCAGCTGTCAACGAGTATCTGTCAACATTTTGTGAATGCAATGCGCTGCAGGTGAACATGAACCTGTCTCGTCACCAAAATTTGGGCAAGAGCGTCATGGAGAAAAAGGCTTGCGAGTGATACAATTCACACTCCGGTTTTCAGAAGGTGCCAAGTCAGGCTCACCGCAGTTTTCATGGGATCAAGATTGAGTGGCCACTTTCCCTATGATAGTGGCTGGTGTTGGATTCTTTCCAGCCGTTCCTTGGCAGACATTGCATCAATCCCTCAAATCAAGAGAGCAAGAGCTTGAAACATGAGCATCTCAGTTGCGAATTCCAGCCAGGACCAACAACAAGCAAAAGGCATCAAACGGTTTTCACATGTTTTCACCATTCTAGACCACCGACCACAATGTGCGGCGGAAACAAACGAATATCTTTGCTTAAAATTCTCTGAGGCGAATACGTTGTTGAGTTTCGTCGAGATGCGCTCTCAACCTGAAACAAATCGCACCAGCAACGTCCATCGTCCAGCTCCTACAACCTGCCTGATCTGCCTTTGCAGCGACCACCTCCAACAACCTCCAACCACCTTCAACGCTGCGAAACATATCAAAACATGGCATTGCTATGCCAATGCTATGATCACAGGCAAGCAGCTGTTGCAGGCTCAACATTCGCACGTGCATTGGCAACTCCTCGCCAGACTTGGCATAGAGCTCCTCCAGTCTGGCATCACAGCAAAACGACAAATACACTTCTAAGACGTTCCAGCATTTTTCTTGCAGACCGCTTGGATCCGCTTGGACCTAATATCCAAAGACTCTAGACTGTAGACTTTACAATTATATACAATTAATTATATTATATATATTAATATTGTTCATGTTTTTTCATGGTATCATGTCACAGCATCACCAAGATGATGAAGTTTGCATCGGCAGCCTGAACTGTAAGCATACCCATGACATCCATTGACAACCACTGGCCAATCGGACCTGGGCAGCGAGCAAATGCATGGCAAAGTTGCTCCTCCAAACGGCCCAAGAGCATGTCCTTTTCGCCACGCTCCTGCAAGCTTTTCACCTAGCCAGGTGATGCCAAATGCACACAAGTCTTCAAACAGCCAACACTAAGCAGTCAATACATGGGAACTGATCAAAACTCCTTTATCCGGGCACGGCCATTCTTCGCGAATAAAAATGATACTTTCGCGAAACTTTCGCGAACCCCATGTTTATCTTAACCAATGTTGGGCAACAATGCCCCTTATGAAGATTCATTCATCACCTGCCACATTACACCAAATTCGCTTCTTGAAAGTCTTGTAAACATGCAGTTAGCATCACAGAAACCCTTCTCAGGGCAGATTGTTTCTGATTAGGTATCTCTTTGAAAGGCTTTCTGGGCCAGCTTCTTCAAAGGCATTTTGACTTTTGCCCACTCCTTCGCAGAACTTCCGCAAAACTTTCGCGAAAATATCCCTATCCGCAGACCCCAGCCATCAGCAGGGGGCGCATCAGAGGAAAAGCAAACATCACGGGCCTTGGCGTTTGGCTCTCGCAAAGCCTCACTTTTGGAAGCTTGGCTTCTGAATTTCAGGACCATCGTATTTGATCGTATTTGGCTGTGGCGAAGCCTCGCCTTTGGAAGCTCGGCAGCTACCTATGAAGGGAAAGGTACATGTCCGGAGTACAGCACCACATGGTGAACTGAACCTCAGAACCAAACCGAAATTCTCTGGTAGCCTTCTCCGGCCGGACCCCGGGTGGCAGGGGGTGGTAGCCCTTTACAAGTGGTCTATGTACAGTATACAATAATATACAATGATTCATGATCTCCAACTTTCGCAAAATTTACGCGAATAAAATTGTTTGCCTTCGCGAACTCGAAAAAATATTCCCGGAGGGTATAGGTATATATATAATATAATTTGTTTTTATTTATATTTCATATTATATTATTTCTAAGTGAATTTGCGTCTGCGGCTTGATGAAACCATGAAGCCGACACCAGAATGTACCAAACAAGATACCAACAAAAGTGATCAAAATTGCATGTCTTGCTCCAAGATGCCTTGCTTGTGTTGCCAATGCCGCGTGCCATAGACACATCTTGTCGCTCTTGGGCCTTTTCAGCCGCAAGCTGCCGACGGCGCTCGCGCTCCTCGCGGTTGAAACTCAAAACCAAAAATAAATGCTTGGAACCACGGTACATAAATGATCATGAATGTGAATAAGAAGTTTCATAGTGTCACCATGTTTCAGGGTGTTCATCGAAATTTGAGATGTTTCAGCCATATTCCCCTTGGTTGGACCTCTGGAGTCAGCGCTTGCATCTCCACGGCCATCATCTGCGGCCGCGGTGCGGGAGTGTCGACGGAAAACTTTGGACCCTCCTGCAGGTTTTGTCCGTCCGCAAGTTCTGTCCGCTAACCGGGAGCCAGTAGTGGCAACATGGGTGGCAGGCTGCACCATGCTGCACCTCTTTCCAAACGTAGGTAGCACAGTCCATCAAGGTCCATGTATCGTGCGAGGACTTCAGCTTGACAGATTAGCTGCTTAATTAGATCTGATTAGCATTGATGAGCTACTACTAGTGGCTTTGCGTGGTGAAAGACGGCGTCAAGTGTGAGTGTCCTTGTCCATATCTCGATACCTGGATTTGAAGTTCCATTTGCAGCAGCAGAAGCCAGACATGGCGGCAGCTAATTCTTTTACATTATTAAGATGCGTTGATATGCTTCCATTTGCGTCAGTATGCATCAGCTTTAGAGGAGCACAGTGTTCTATGTGCTCTGCTTCCATTGAACGCACCCTCCATCCATTCTTTCGCAAAAGCAGTTATTCTGCGGCCACACCAGGGCAGTATTGAATATGCCCGGAGGGTCACCACAGGCTACAGTACCAGTTGTTTCCTGGCATTTTGGCATCCTTTGACATGTTTTTTTTTCCAAAAAAAATCTGCTGTTCAAACCTAGAATCCCTGGAACCTATTCTGCAAAACCAATGCATAAGATATCGGGGCATCCCCTGGAAGGCATCCTCCAAGTCATCAAAGTCATCACCCGAAAAGCTTCATGGCATTGGGCAAGTCTCTGGATCAAAGGTAGGCCATGCCGAGCAGAATGGCAAACCAGTCTGCCATCGATGGGATGAACTTGCTGTACTATCGCATAACATGTCAACTCACAAAGAAGCCTTGTTCACCCACTAGCCCACTACTTCTTCAACAAATCCAAAGAGGCTCGCAATGATCTTGTTTTGGAGGCTTTGGTCTGTACACGCTAGATATCTAATTAGTCAAAATTGATGAATTTGATTGCAGCTTACTTAATATCAGGATCCCCAACAAATGTCGACAGATTTGTACAACGAGTGACGCAAAGGCCAGGCTGACAACGAAGGAGCTGCTGTCCTTCTGGCATTTCTCCTTTGGCCTGGCGGGGCTCAGTTGAACATCCTCATCCAGCTTGGCATTTTCTCACGAATTCATCAGGAACTCGGAACTCTATCCTAAGTGGCCTCAAACATCATCAGTAAATTATCAAAGTGGTTGCACTGCTGCACCTTTGACATCCACCCCTTAGGGCCTCGATCTGGGCCAAGTAATCCAAGTACTCTTGTCGATGAGCAGGGTCTGAGACCTCCCGAGTGTACCTCAAATAAAGCAAAGCGACATAAAGCAACCATGGGTCCCATGGGTTGCTGGAAGGAAAAATCATTTGCCAGGTGTAGGGAAAGCGGCCACTGAGCAAACAAGCTCCCGGATCGTTGGAAAAGTGTCCAAAATGACAAGGCTGGTAAGGGAGGGCTAAGCAAAATCGGACAAACTGCCTCAAAAAGCTGTCAAATACCCGGAGCCCATCAGAGTTCATACAAAGTTTCGAGACCTCCTGTGCGTGCGTGTGTGTGTGTGAGTGTGTGGGAAATATTACATGATTTGCAAGGTCCTCCAGTCCACCGGCACAAAGACCCCTTGAAAAACACCTATGAAGCCAACGAAGTTATACACTATGAACAGTATATGAACAGTATATGAACAGTATATGAACAGTATATGAACAGTATATGAACAGTATATGAACAGTATGAACAGTATATGAACAGTATGAAGTCTAAACGTTATAAATCATTATAAATCATTAAAATCATTATAAACTTACTTAGCTCACGAATTCCCACGGCTCGGATGCGGCTTCGCGGCTCATCGATATGGTCGCGAAACTGCTTCTGCTTCATGGCCTGGACATCTGTTGACATCGGCTTTGCAGGTCGAATTCTACGTCTTTTGCGGCAGTAAGGTTGGGTCCATGTGGGCCATCTGAATTAACAATAATTAACATTGATTATCATTCCTAGACTAAAACACTACATGCCATCACAATCAGCATGCTATCAACTACAACACCAGCTCCAGTTCCCAACCCGAATCCATCAAAAGGTTACTCCATAAAATATACTCCCTTGGCATCCCTTGGTCCATTTGCACCCTTGACTACTTACAACATGTTGCGCAACACACCGCCTTTTGAAGCTTGGATATTTCATCCTTGCGGCTGGGTGCATTGCGGCACAAACACTGAACGCGAGTGGAAGTTGCATCCGAAAGCAAGTGCATTGACATGCCCCAGCAAGGTCTTAGCAAGTCTGCTGTGGAGCTCAAGATATCATCAATCAAACGCCTTCAACACACCTTTCAGAAAAGAGTCACTTTTCAATCAATTTAACCTATATATAGGTTATATTACAGGATCTACTAATCTACGGTCTTCTCGCACTCACTGCACACCGAACCCGGTATGGAGCTGCTTGGAGCTGCTATGACAGCTATGAGCGGCTCCTGTGTGATGCCCTTCATGTCACCATAGTCCCCTGGAGCTCGACGCTCTGGGCGGAAGGAGGCCATGGTCTCAGGCGGGCAGGAGGATGAATGGATATGATTTACATTGTTTACATTTGTTTAGTTTACATAATGATTTGATATGATATGAGTATTCATATGTCATATATATGTATATATGAGTAATGTGAGTGATATTTAAACAATTTTTACAAAGAAACTATTTCAACGGCAGAACAGAGTGGCTTTGGCCCGGCCTCCTCCTCCGCAAGGGACGCACATGCACTCGGATTGGAAGCCACTGCTTGAGCCAAGCCACCAGAACACAGCAAATATCAAATCAAGTTTGCTCCGGCAATCAAAATTTGCAGGAACAGTAGGAACTAATACAACAATCAATGTAGCCATGAAATATATATATATATTCGGGAAGGAACATAATTCATTGCAAAGACAATTCACAATGACACCGCCATAGAACTGATTGGCTACCTACTAGTCATATCTAAGCCCCAAGCAGGCACAACAGCAAGGCACCGCGTCTTCCACAGCACAACACATGATCAACCCGTACATATCCCAAAACATGGGAATCACAAGCATAATGAAGGAAAAGGTACGACATCCTAGAACCATTTTGTGCTGAAAGGGTGTGCAAAAATCAAAAAAAAGAAACGACTTAAGCTTTTCCCTGTATAGCTTCTGTAAACATCATAAATTCAAAGTCAATGGGAGCCCCCAAACCTACTCCACCTCATGCCAACGACACACTAGTTTCTCAATCAGTTTGCATCTATTTGCCATCTCGTGGATGAAGAAATTCAGCTGGTTAACATGTTTAGGAGTTCAACCGAACGTGGCAATGTGGCATAGAACCCTATTATTTTTGCATATTAGGGCATGAAAAGCAAACCACCCTTGCATGCAGCATTTGTATGTATTTGTATGCATTTGCACCTTCAACTTGGCACATCGCTCAGCATCACCCGCTGACCAATAACTTTTTCAAAACTGCCCGGCAAAAGGTGGCGAGGCAAAAGTATCCTATGCATCTGATGTCGCTTCACTCCAGCAGCGAATGAAGCGACCCAAGAGGAGCACCAATTGACTTGGCACCTTACAAAACTGATGCATCGGCTTTTGCAATGCACGGTGCTGTTCGATTCTGATTCAAACAAAACACACGTTGTAGGTTGCAAGGTGTCTAAGCATATGAGCATGTGTGGCGTGTCCTTTTTAAAGTGGCTCCGTGAGATTTCCAAGTCACAAACTGTGCCTCTGTCAGTGGTTTTCTGATCGAAAACACTGCAAATATCGGCAAACGCTCTCAGGTGTTCAAAGTTCTTCGCCTTTCTTCCTGCAAAAAGCCAGGTGCAAATACGATCAAATCAAATATGATTAAGAGTAAGCCGTAACGATCGAACACTACTTAAATACTGAGACGAGCGGCCAAACCCAGGTACGAGAGTGAAGTATGAGTCACCATAAACTTGACCACCCGTCATGTCAGAGGGTCTCTTGCAGCAAAAAAAACCTAACGAACGTGGTGTATGCAATCCCTCTACCCTCTACCCTGCCACAGTTTGCTGCAAGTGATCGGTATCTGCCATATGCCTTGCTTTCAGGATCTGCTTCAACATTTTCAGCTCAGAGGCCCTTAGAGTTCAGGGCGGCCATTCTCACAACCCCAAAAAGACCGGACATATCGAGCAAAACGTACCACAACATATCAAAACAGTGCCTTCCGGGTGGTCTCCGTGGCAAAAACACCGCAGCGAGTACTTCATCAGCTCAGAATAGCTCAGATGGAAAGCAGCCAAACAGCTGGCGATACAAGTCCACAGCATCACTATGTTGCCAGACACCTTCTCACGCACGCCAGCCTTCAGCGTGCCTACAATAGACAAGAAACACAAGTTCAGCTGGAGGTTCATCACTGCACTTCACTGAAATTTGAAATCTTGCAGGATGATAGCCCGCTATAGCCGGCTCATGTCCGCGATGCACAGTGCAACCTTTGGCCACCTTGGTTCTTTGATATAATCTTGATATCACCCTGCCGCCTTCTGTCTCTTTGGTGAGCTTGGCAACCTCAAGGCGGCATCAAGATTTGGTGGTCCGAGCTCTGTGACCGCCCTGGGTACTTGGTACTGGTGGTTCGAGCTTTGCCATTGAACTGTTGTCCATCGAACTCTGAACATCTCTGAACTCTCTCTTGTTTCGTTCTCCATCAGCTGTACAACATACCTTGCCTGAGCTTCCAAATCTGCTACAGGACTTTTGGCCTCGGCTGCGTTTTTTTTCCCCTCCATCATCGTGGAAATTCCATCCATGATGGCAATTGAGACATATTGAGACGCAGTCTCAAAACCGAAAAATAAAATCTTCATGTGGTCTATTGTGTGTCAACCCTGTCTGGTGGCATGATACCACCAAACTTCCTATGGCATTGAAACTGAAAGATCTGAAAGTGCCTACAGCACAGCAGGAAATGACATCATAAACTCATAAACCAGGAATAACTGGAATAACCATGCAGGTTGACGGTTATATAAACAATGTTAAACATGTTAAATTCGTAGCCGTGAAGACCCAGGTCCGGAAGCTCAGTGATTTCTCTTTCGGCCCGAAGGCCAGATCCGAGCAGCCCATTTCTCCAACAAGACCACCTCTTCAGGCCTAAGAGCATAGCGAGAGCATACAGCGTGCAGTGCGTGCAGTGCACACCAAACTGTTTCCACATTTTCCACTCTGTTTCCACTTCCAAATCTCTACCGATAGGACCGAAACGAATCGGAAAGTATTTGCTGAGTTTCCTGTATTTGAAGCTCCGAGCAAGCTGCCCATGACCTACCAGCGTTTCAGATTTCCGTGCAATTATTTATTTGCCTATTCTCTCCCCCATCTTTTCCGTCTTTTCTGCTGCTTCCTTTCTTGCTCCAGCGCAACCACGTCTCAAGTTTGTGCAACGCATCAGCGCTGCACCTTGCGAACTTGGCACTGAACCACTCAGCTGTGCCCATCAAAACCCAGAAACACTCACGTTTGAAACAACTTCACCTGCTAGGTGCTCTTTTGTGCTCTTTTGTGATTTCTGAAAGCAACTGGCACAGGTTGACGCCCCAGCTAGCTCTTGGTCCGCGGTACCAATCATTCGGGCAAAGCCCCAAAGACAGAATGCATCAGCGCATCTGTGTCACAACATACCAGTACTGAAGCGATGGTTAAAAAATGCTACAGATTGCTACAGTACAAGCACTCATATTTGCTGTTCAGGCTGAGACTTTTGCAGTGACTTTGCCCCTAGTATGCCCAAGAGCTTGTTCCTTCACACACTGCCAATGCAACACCGAAAAGCAGAATCTCATCTGATTGCAATTGATTGACCAGTCGCAGTGTAGCAAACAGATCTTACATGATTTTACCAAGCCGCCATTTTGAGATGCGTCAAACTGCCCTGTGAATCCTTTGCCAAAGTGACAGAATTCAGAGCACAATCCCCGTTTCGGCAATGCACAGATTGCTGGCAGTGACGTATTCATTGTGCGACGGACGGGATAGCTTTCTCTTCGCGGACCCATAGGGCTTGGCAAAAGAACCTTGAACAACACAAACTGAAGGAGCTTGCTATCTTGGTTCAGCCCTCGGTGCTATCCATCGGAAACTGCACCAGTTATATGCCTCTCAAAGATGCCACTGTCAGACCTTGGAGTACATGGGGGATGTTGTGACTTTCAAATCGCAACTGGGGGAAACAGTGGTAGTTGCGTCCGTCAGTCCCAGTTGTTAAGACTGGTAAAGGGATTTGTGGTTGACAATTTCGGCTGTCAGCCTTGGGGCCAACGTGACATTGCAAGAGAATGATGTTTGAAGCCATGAAATATCCAAATATTTGTGCACGTCGCTCTGCGCATGTTAAAAAAGTGACATATCTCAATGGTGATTGGTTTAAATGTCTTCTCCCGAAACTGTGCACAAACCATCTCCGCTCATTGACTTGACTCCACATGCTCATATCAACACAGCAAACCATAAAATATGATAATAATAGTTGCGTCAAGAGCCAATAAACGCCATATAATTATAATGTATTTATATAGACGTTTTGCTGATATGCGCGCAGGGAGTTTATATGCCTACATGCATGTTGCAGATTGCTCATATTTTGGCAAACCTGTCAGCATTTGCTGCTGGGGAATCTTGGGATGTTGGATGCACAGCTCAGAACAAGCAACAGTGTAAGCCGGGCATACTGCTGGTCATCGTCACTTGTTGAGGTCCTGAGGCCGATTCGCATTGATTCATGGCATCGCGATTCATTGATTCTTTTTGTCACTGAAGTTGAACAAATTCAAGCAACCAATGGCAACCGTTTTCCGCAACGGTTTCCGCACTTGGAGGTGTTTTCCTTAAAATAAAGAGATCTGAGTACTAAAGTGATCTAAAGTGCTGGCCAAGTCCACCAGGCATGACTCTTTAGTCACATCTAAGTCACATCGTCACAAGAGGGGCGTGCCAGTTGTCGCGCCTGTACCTTCATCATCTTTTCCTGAGCCTCTTTAAGCTTCTTTTGCGTCTCTAGCATCATCTGTGCCATCATCAGCATTGGATTCATTGGAGCCTTACATCAAGCAGTGCCAGGGCCAAAATGCATCAAACATGCATCAAAAACTCAAAGCTTTGAGCAACCGGTGTATATTGAGGGCACAAACAAACACACACACACACACACACGCAGACAGTCTGTGACACGTTGATATTCATAGAACATTAGCAATATCAAGATTAACATTATATAACACCTATAGATGTTTTATTGTTCTCATAAAGTCTATATAATTACATAATGACTACCGCTGAAATGTTGTAGCAATGTGTATGCGTGCACAACCTATCTACTACACAGCAGCAAGCGGCCTCCATGCGAAGGGAAAGGAATACCTTTTGATCATTGTATATCCAAAGGTATGACTTTATATGACTTTATGATCGTTCATGTTTTCGCTCTCCTGTGTTGCTGTACGGTTGAATTCCTTCACCGCGGGTTGATGTGCTTGGCATGGATGCTATGCCATCCACTTGGATATCTTTGGGTCAAGCTCAGCCCTGACCTTTCTGCCATGCAAACCTGGTTTTCACCAACATTGGGATTTTGACGAACTGCATTTTATAAAATGTTTGGACATCTGTTGAATTCTAATGAATGTTGTCGCTTCCTTACAATCTTAATGCTTCCTTGGATTTCCTTGGTAGTTTCCTTGTCCTTGGTTTTCAGCCCTGACATCATTTGACATCTAGGCCATCTGCAAAGTCACAACTTCCATCAACTTCCATCAACTTCCATTGGCGACAAGCAGCTCCAGCGCCAGCACCACCAGCGGCACTGCTAGCGGCGTCGGCATTGAAGAATCCTGGGAGGAGGACCAAAAGATACGGGGTGAGACTGGGTCTGAACATGTCTGATCTGTAGGGCTGATATGGGCTGATATGGGCTGATGGGCCACTATTGGATACCATCGGTGCCCTGGCTGGAAACTTTTTCTCACTCATGTTCCTGCAGCATACGCGGAAGTTTCTGCTTGGCAGGATTGAAACTTTCGACCCCACCAGCTCCGCACACCAGGTCCACTTGGTCTCAAGTTTGAATATGTGCCCATGCATTTGCATTGAGTCTTGTCAACATTTGTCAACTAGACTAGACCAAGATATTTTTTTAGAATGGAAGTGTGATTGGTTTCCTTGAAAGGCGTTGTTGGCCTGGCAGCCAGATATCGTAGCAGCTTGCAATGCTTGCATTCCCCTGTGTCAACAAAAAGACCTTACGCAGCTTACGCATGAAAGGACAAACCCACTCGTGAGTTTGAGGAAGAACGCCATCCAAATCTAGTGGAAAAGGACTTGACACCGCGCTGAGTTTACAGTGATGTTGAACGAACATTGCCTGAATTATATTGCAGTGTATTGCATGTTCTGTAAAGGCTACGGCTAAGGCTAAGACATCACTTGCGCCTCCACAATTTCATCACTTGCGCCTCCACATCCTCCACATCACTTACGCCTCCGTACATCACTTACGCCTCAATCAGCTTTTCACCTGCGCCTCCCATGACCTGATTCCCATCACAGAACGCGGGATTCTTCTTTTTGCTCATAGCAGCTCCGCGTCAATCAAACACACGTACATGTTCGTCGTCGTTGTCGTTGTCGTCGTCGTCGTCGTCGTCGTTGTTGTTGTTGTCGTTGTTGTTGTTGTGGTCGTCGTCGTCGTCGTCGTCGTTGGTCATATCCGTGCTTGACACGTACCTCCGCTGTGACCTTTGGGGTTTGGGGTGGGGTGGAGGGGGTGGGGGATGGGTTAGGGGTTGAGGGTTTAGGGTGGGAGACGTGGCCAGGGTTTGAGGGTGGAAGGTTGTAAGGGTGAGTTGTGCTTCTTGGTGTTGCGTGCTGGGGTTAAGAGATGGATCCTCCGACATAAGAATTAAAAGCCACATCCAATCAAAAAAACATAAAAAAACAGACATAAGAGCCATCGGAAACCACACGTTGAAACCACTAAGCCGCTGCGTGGCTTCTGTAAACATATTTGAACGAAATCATGATGCCCCAGCTTTAGCTTCACAGATCTTCACAGTTGCTTGTCATCTCCCATCCCCCCTGTTGCCATTCGGGTGGCCCGGAGCGTCACCTGGCCCTTGAGGCGCCATTGAGTGACTCGAACTACTGGCACTTCCACTCGGTGCGCCTGGGAGCTAAAAGCTGGGTTTACCCCTGGGTTTACCCCTGGGTTTACCCCTGGGTTTACCAAGTGACCCAACGGTTTACATTTTACCAATTTTACCAATAGATTTGCTAAGATCAACTGAGATCATCTGAGATCATGAAAGTAGAATCACTGATCTCCAACCATCCAACCATCCAACCATATCCACTGAAATGGATTGAAATGGCAAATGCTGGTAGTTGGTGGCTATCTGTCATCAGCATCCATCGACTGTGCGTGAGTTGGGCCAAGTATGGCCAAGTCAGATTGTCTTTCATGATTTTTCATGTGGATCTTAATATATGTCAATGCGCATCATATCTTTTCACTCTGCGAATTAAAGCACAAAAACATCTGTTTCACCTGCGAAGAAGCTGCCCATGCTGCTGGACGGCTCCGAGCTTGCCATTGACCCACCTTGTCAGAGGTAGATGGGCTCCCCCTGCCCGACCCTGACCTAAAATGATCTATATAAATATAATTAAATGTATATCTATAAGTCTATAAGTCTATAAGTCTATATAAAGATGAAACAAATTGAAAAATGATGAGAGAAGAATGGAGAAAATCTGAATAGATCTCATAGATTTCCAAACCAGAACAGTGGAGTTCTATGGAGTTGTTGTTCCGGGTATAATTCGGTAGGTCGGCAATTTGGAAACCTCTGAGCCACAGAATGGTAGCCCTGCACTTAAAAATATCTTGAGTCTTAAAGGATTTAAACATCAGATGTACTGTACTGGACTCTCTGCTCCCATGGCTTTCATGCATTTCTATGCGTCGGCTTGACCACAGCAGCGACATCCCCTCCTGCACTGCTGGTGAAGCCTAGGGTGAAGCGTTGCAGATTGAGCAGCAGCACTCGTCTTACAGCTCTTGGCCCCGAAGCTGTCCATGTCCAAACCACTATATACAATAACTTGTACTTGGTTATGTCATCATCGTTCTTTCTCTCTCAACTGGAACAAGGCGGAGGTTCTCATGCAAGCGTATTGATCTGGTTTATATATATATATATTATATAATTACCGGTAGCTGGAAAAGAGGCACCCTGTGAAGAGACATTGACACGTCGTCATTCGTCAAGCGGGATCAGAATCGCAGAATGTCCGCAAGATACAATATATCAATTGACAGTTGCTATCAGTTGCTTATATCATCTTATATCATCTTATATAATCTTATATCTTATTCTCACATGGTTTTAAATTGCTACAGTACTGTATCGTACTTTAAACTGTAAACCATTCATGCTAAATCTTGGCCAAGTAAGGCTATCGAAAGACAGCAGCCATCGCCAGCCAGAAACGTCTTTGGTCCAAGGCGCTTCCCATCGAATGGAAGTCTTGAAATTGCGACGAGCCACCACCACCTGGTCACATGATCATCATGATCTTCCATGATCTTCCAGAAGCAGCTCTGCCACAAGGTGAGGCACGGTAGAACAATATTATAACATATTATAACCGCATCTCTACATAGGTGCTGGATGTATCTGGATGTGATGTTCTGGCCAAATCTCATAAGTGTTTTACAAGACCCGACATGGGTCCTGGACATTATTGCACACGCACCGAATCAAGTTACCGGGACTTCTGGCTATGGAATGGGGTTGGTGGTGGACGGTGATAGACCTAACGACGTAATGCACAGCATGCCATAGTCTTTCTAATCTTTCTATAGCTGCTATAGCTTTCTTGGCAATGCGATCTGAAAGATTTCCGAGTGTCTCCAAAGGCTCTCAAAAGTGTGATCGTCAGTGTCTTGGAAGCATTGGAAGCTGCAGGAAATCGGTGGAACGGAGTGCTGATGCGAATACTTCCGAATCTGAGGTCAACCGGGACAGGTCTCAGAGTCGAGAAGGGAATGATGGGAATGGAGATAGATTTCATTTCTCATATTTCTCCCACAATGCCAAAATACGGAAACGTTTTTAGCCCACTAATTTCCACAAAACGTGCAGGTCTTGGACTATCGATCAAAACGAAGGGTTGCCTGCTATGACAGCCCATGACAGCCCTCGTCTGACCAGGTGCAACTCAAAATATCTTTGGGCGCGGGACGTGTGTCCGTCATGTAAGATTTGCAAGTCATTCTTCCAATAGCAGGGTGCTTCACTACAGTATTATTTAATGATATTTAATGTATTACTGTAGTGGGCAGTCGTTAGTTTTCGCCGACATTAATTAGTTTCTCATAGTTTGTCATGTTTGTCCAATTGATTTCTGATATTTCTGTTCTTTCAACTCCCGAAGCAAAAGTCTTGCAATAGCATCCATTAGCCTTGTCTCGCCGGTTAGATGCTCAAGCAAGTACCACAAGCGTGGCGACTGGCTTCACCACAAAAAACATACAGAAAGAACAAAAATCACCAGTCTACACGCCAAATGGATGACGTGCTGACATATCTGACATGTGCTGCTGAAAACATTTGGCACTGGATGAGGCACCATATCCATAGCCCGCTTCCGGTGGCAAAGCCACACCAGGCATATCGCCTGGTCAGGGGGCTTGCCGAGGAGAATTGGGGAGGGCGTCATCGCCAATGCTGTCAGATCTTCCGGATTTTCCGGATTGGAAACTCAAAAAAACATCTGCCATGATCCAACTCCCAAGCTGCAAAACCATACGCAAACTAAAGCCTTGTGATGTACGACATTGTCCGACACATTTTCTGGGACAGGCTTGCCCGGCATGCCCTCATAATGTGTCATACACCTCACCTTCAAAGCCCTGCTCAGCCGCCATGAGCGCTGCCCTGCGGGCACGTTGGGCTTCCTCCGCTTGAGCTCGCCTGAGATGTGCAAATCGGTAGAGAAACAACAGGGGCAGCGATTGGGTACAGACTAACAGTTGACTAACATATCTAACATAGACAACACGTGACAATACATAGACTAACTGCAGATTAACCATGATTAACCCAGGACTACCAGGGCGAGCAGTTGCAGATGTTGCTAGAGAACATATCATGGATGCTCCTAGTGAGTCAATTGGGCTGCATGGTGAGGCTATGCAAACACTGGCATGGTCGAACCGAAAATTCTCGAGCCAAGGAGCTTCATAGCTTTCTGTTCCGCCTGCCCAGATGAGGTCGGCGGCCACACCAAAATCTCTTGAAATCTCCGTGCCAAGAACTAAAATAACGACACCATCATGATCATCATGGCAGTTACAGTAGTAATTGCAGAGTGATGCGCGATAGACTCTACCAATCTCTACCATCACCTCCCCGAGTCAGGGATGCCACGAGAAGATGTCATTTTGCCTCCTGGTGGAATGTCCTTTAGGTGAAAACATAGGGATGAGGTTGGTGCCATTTTAGTCCTGATTGTTCGTTTGTGTGCCGTCTATGAACCAAACAACCATGGACAAAGGACATCCATGATTCCGATTCAGCAGAAAACGGCAGAAGATTCCCAAAGTATCACATGCATTGGTCATTTCCATTCATATTGCATTATATTGCAATATTATACGTTTTACTTTTACCCTTCAATCATTACAGTATGACTCATTTAATCTCATTTATGTTTATCCTCTCATTATACATCATCAATGATCAATCATATTCAATATATTCAATCATCATATATGCAGCTAGATACGAGTACTGCTAGCAACACCATGCGCCTGTTTCTCCTTCCGGGCATCCCGTCGCTCGATCTCCAAATCCACCTAGAGGCCAAAACGACGACTACCCAAACCGCTTCACATTAATCCCTTCCCCCTATTACTAAACCCCCCCAAATAATAATTAAAGGACCGGATAATCCCACAAGGCAACTTCTTCCAATAATGAGCACCAAATGTTGTAGCGGGGACGGGGAAAGAAGGAAAGACAAAGGAAGTGGTGGAGGACCGAGAAGTAAAACAAGGTTGTGTGTGACAACGTTGTTGTGAAAGATGGTGTGTGAAAGTTGTCTGTAAAAGCGAGCGTGTGACAAAGTTGGTGTGCGACAAAGTTGTGTGTGAAAGATGAAAGATGGTGTGTGACAAAGTGGTGTGTGAAAGATGGTGTGATACAAAGTGGTGTGTGACAAAGTGGTGTATGAAAGATGGTGTGATACAAAGTGGTGTGTGACAAAGTGGTGTATGAAAGATGGTGTGTCAAAGATGGTGTGTCAAAGATGATGGGTGACAAAGTGGTGTGTGAAAGATGGTGTGTGAAGGATGGTGGGTGACCAAGATGGTGGGTGTGTGAAAGATGGTGTATGACAAAGTTGAGGGTCAAAGATGGTGTGTGACAAAGTTGTGTGTGAAAGATGGTGTGTCAAAGATGGTAGGTGCAAAAGTGGTGTGTGAAAGATGGTGTGTGAAAGATTGTGTGTGTGACAAAGTGGAGGGTCAAAGATGGTGTGTGAGTGTGTGAAAGATGGTGTGTGACAAAGATGGTGTGTGAAAGAGGGTGTGTCAAAGATGGTGTGTGAAAGATGGTGTGTGACAAAGTCGTGCGTCAAAAATGGTGTTGGACAACGATGGTGTGTGAAAGATGGTGTGTCTGTGACAAAGTTGTGTGAAAGATGGTGTGACAAAGCGGTGTGTGAAATTCGGCGTGTGACAGAGTTGAGTGTCAAAGATGGTGTGTGACAAAGTGGTGTGTCAAAGATGGTGGGTGGCAAAGTGGTGTGCGAAAGATGGTGTGTGACAAAGTTGAGGGTCAAGGATGGTGTGTGACAAAGTTGTGTGTGAAAAGATGGTGTGTCAAAGATGATGGGTGACAAAGTGGTGTGTGAAAGATGGTGTGTCAAAGATGGTGTGTGACAAAGTTGGGTGTGAAAGAGGGTGTGTGAAAGATGGTGTGTGACAAAGATGGTGTGCGAAAGAGTCTTGAAAGAAGGTGTGTCGAAGATGGTGTGTGAAAGATGGTGTGTGACAAAGTGGTGTGTGAAAGATGGTGTGTGACAAAGTGGTGTGTGAAAGATGGTGTGTGACAAAGATGGTGTGTGACACCAGAGCCAGCCCAGTGCCATAAGTGCCACCCCTGCCACGCAAAACAAAAGTGGATGTCGCATGATGTCGCCAAGTGCCACGTCTGCCACGTGAAATGGTAGGTGGATGTCGCCGAGTGCCACACCTGCCACGCAAAGTGCCGCGGCGTCACCGCGCGACCAATCCGGTCCAAGCGCGCCACCAGACCCAGCCCAGTGTCTCCAGTGCCACACCTGCCACGCAAATGGCAGTTGGATGTCTCCAAGTGCCACGCCTGCCACACAAATGGCAGGTGGATGTCGCCGAGTGCCACGCCTGCCACGCAAAGTGCCGCGGCGTCACCGAGATGTGTGACAAAGATGGTGGTGGACCAGATAGCGGTGGACAAAGATGTGTGTGAGATGTGTGGGAGATGTGTGTGAGATGTGTGACAAAGATGGTGGTGGACAAAGATGTGTGTGAGATGTGTTGTGTGAAAGATGATGTGTGACATGTGTGAGATGTGTGTGAGATGTGGGAGATGTGTGTGAGATGTGTGACAAAGATGGTGGTGGACAAGATAGTGGTGGACGAAGATGTGTGTGAGATGTGTTGTGTGAAAGATGATGTGTGACAAAGATCTGTGTGAGATGTGTGTGAGATGTGTTGTGTGAAAGATGATGCGTGACAAAAAGTGTGTGTTGGAGGAGGCGGGCGGGCAGAGGAGGCGGGCGGAGCACTCGGGATACAGAATCAAAAACAAGAACCCCACACAAAGTTGTGGGGAAAAACTAGGGTCCATCTCCAATTTTGGAAAATTTCAGATTGGCAAATTTGACTTTTAATTGATCCCCTTTAGAAAACAATTTAGAAATAAAGCTACCATTTGTGGGTTTCGCCCCTTATAATTATAATAAAAACGCGTTAACCCGGGGGTGATTTTTTATTAGGGTCCGTCCGAAAATTTGTTTTTTATATTAGGGTTTTAATTATTAGGGGGAAGCTTCGAAATCCAATTTTTGGCAATATTTTCATTGCGTTATAAAAGGAAATTAAATTGATTTTGAAATTGTTTTCTTTTTAAAATTCAAGATTTAAACTTATTAATTATTAGGGTCCACTTCGAAATCCAATTTTTGGCAATATTTTAATTGCGTTACAAAAGGACAATTACAGTAATTGATTTTGAAATCGAACAAAATATTATTTTTAAAAAAATAAGGGTTTAAATTTATTACTAGTGTCCGTTTCGAAATCCAATGTTTGGCAATATATCAATTGCGTTTTGAAAGGAAATTTAATTGATTTTGAAATCGAAACAAATAGTGTTTTTATTAAGGGTTTAAGTTTATTAATTATATACTTTATTATTAGGGTCCGCTTTGGTTCCCTATCATTATAAATACCACCCTAATATCCCCTAATAATAAAAACTACCTGAGGTGTGTATTATTTGGGGGGGCACGCGTTTAGTATTAGGGGGAGAGGATTACAGATATCAAAGGTATGAAAACCAACAAACACATTAAACTTGCACCACCGTAGGCCCCAAACAGTGGGTGGAAACAAGACGTGTTTTTGAGGAACGGGTCAAAAACATGGCATGAGAAAGCATTAAGAACCCTTAACCGCACACTCTTTGGGAAAAAACGCAAAATGAGACCACCCGCCACAAAGGGAAACAAGAAGAGAGACAAGCTGGGAGACAAGATAGGAGACAAGACCTTGGGAAGGCGGACACACCATCCAACACCAAGGCGGACACCTTAAGAAAGCCTGAAGAACCCCTAACAGTACACTGTTTGAAAAAAATGCAAAATCAGACCACCCACCACAAAGGGAAACAAGGAAGACCAGCTGAGAGACAAGCTGGGAGACAAGGGAGACAAAACCGCGGGAAGGCGGACGCACCATCCAACACAGAAGGTTACAGGCACACATGTGGGGAAACAACGGGGGACAAGGGGAGACAAGACCTTGGGAAGTGGGACACACCGTCCAACACAGGCACACGTGTGGGGAGACAATGGGAGACATGGGGAGACAAGGCCTCTTGAAGGCAGATACCATCCAACACAGGCACACATGTGGGGAGACAATGGGAAACAATGAAACGCAACCGGAGACAACGGGAGACGGGGAGACAAGAAGGGAGACAATGGGAGGCCATTGGGTGGACAAGGGGAGACAATGGAAGACAAGTGGAGACAAGACCTCGGGGAAGCGGACAAACCATCCAACACAGGCTCACATGTGAGGAGACAATGGGAGACAAGGGGAGACAAAGACGTCGGGAAGGCGGACGCACCATCCAACAAAGGGAAACAAGAAGGGAGATGGGAGACAAGGGGAAACAAGACCTCGGGAAGGCGGACACACCATCCAACACAGGCAGACAAGGGGAGACAAGACCGCGGGAAGGCGGACACACCATCCAAGGCTGAGGCACCATCCAACACAGGCACACATGTGGGGAGACAAGGGGAGACAAGACCTCGGGAAGGCGGACACACCATCCAACACAGGCACGCATATCTAGGGAGACAATGGGAGACAATGAAGAACAAGACTTCGGGAAGGTGGACCATCCAACACAGGCACACATGTTGGGAGACAATGGGGGACAATTGGAGACAATGGGAGACAATGGGAAACAATTGGAGACAACCGGAGACAAGGATAGACAAGAAGGGAGACAACGGGAGACAAGGGGAGACAAGACCTCGGGAAGGCGGACACACCATCCAACACAGGCACACATGTGGAGAGACAATGGGAGAGAATGGGGAACAATGGGGGACAATGGGAGACCAGGGGAGACACCTTGAAAAGGCGGGCACACCATCCAAGCAAGGGAAACAAGAAGGGAGGTGGGAGACAATAGGGGAGACAAGACCTTGGAAAGGCGGACACGCCATCCAACACAAACGCATATTGTGAGGAGACAATGGGAGACAAGGGGAGACAAAACCTCGAGAAGGCGGACACACCGTCCAACACAGGCAGACAAGACAAGACCCCACCCAACACAGGCACACATGTGGGGAGACAATGGGAGACAAAAAGGGAAGACAAGACGTCGAAAAGGCGGACGCACCATCCAACACGGGCACAAGTGTGGGGAGACAATGGGAGACAATGGGCTCAATGGGAGAGAAGGGGAGACAAGACCTCGGGAAGGCGGACACACCATCCAACACAGGCACACATGTGGGGAGAGAATGGGGAACAATGGGGGACGGGTGGGGACGTGGAGACCAGGGAGACAAGACTTCAAAAAGGCGGGCACACCATCCAAGAAAGGGAAACAAGAAGGGAGGTGGGAGCAATGGAAGACGACAAGGAGAGACAAGACCTTGGGACGGCGGACACACCATCCAATAAAGGCAAACAAGAAGGGATACAGTGGGAGACAAAGGGAGACAAGACCCTCGGCAAGGCGGACACACCATCCAACAAGGGGAACCAAGGCGGACACCTTAAGAAAGCATTAAGAACCGCTAACAGTACACTGCTTGGGGAACAAGAAGGGAGACAAGGGGAGACAAAAGGGGAGACAAAAGGGGAGACAAGGGGAGGCACACACAAGACCCTCGGGAAGGCGGACACACTATCCAACGGGGAGACAAGGGGACACAAGGGGAGACAAGGGAGACAAAGGGAGACAAGGGGAGACAAGGGGACACACCATCCAACAAAGGGAAACAAGAAGGGGTACAAGGGAGACAAGGGGAGACAAGGGGAGACAAACAACCCTCGGGAAGGCGGACCCACCATCCGACAAAGGGAAACAAGAAGGGGTACAAGGGAGACAAGGGGAGACAAGGGGAGACAAACAACCCTCGGGAAGGCGGACCCACCATCCGACAAAGGGAAACAAGAAGGGAGACAAAGGGAGACAAGGGGAGACAAGGGGAGACAAGACCCTCGGGAAGGCGGACAAGGGAAACAAGAAGGGAGACAAAGGGAGACAAGGGCAGACAAGGGGAGACAAGGGTAGACAAGACCCTGGGGGTTGCGGACACACCATCCAACGGGGAGACAAGGGGACCCAAGGGGAGACAAAGGGAGACAAGACCCTCGGGAAATCTCGGGAAGGCGGACACACCATCCAACAGCAAGGCGGACACCTTCAGAAAGCATTAAGAACCCCTAACAGTACACTGTTTGGGGAAAAACCAAACACTCTGGAAATCTCTGGTAGCATTTGCTTAACGGCAAGGTTTCCTCTGCTCATCTGTGATGCGGAACGTGCCTCCTTCTGGAGGTACTGAAAGCGAAGAACTTGAGTATACGTTGCTCGGATGTCACCTCCATGTGGTCTTGCACTAAAAGTCGTTTTTTTCCGAAATGTCGATTTAGAACACATGATAGAAGTTCCGACTTCCTGCAAATAGCAGGACACATTTTCCTAAACTTGCCCTGTTGGAGGTGCATTTGGGGGTGTAGAATAGGTTGCGCGGAGTCATGGCTTTTCAGTCCAAGCATCCCACTCCGTTAAATAGTCTTCCCAGAGCCAAAACGTACCAGTTGCAAATCATGTTTTGCACTCACAATTGAGCCGTGATGCTGGCACTGTACGGTCCACGCTTCTTCTTGGACATCACCATGTTTTGATAGTTTTCCTGTCGCACCCGGAGCCGTCAGCAATGCACCGGACAGTTCTGATTCATATAGATGCATGCTGGATGATGATGTAGCGGAGCGGAGTATTAGCGGGTTTACATGCCAATTCTATTCCATTCTTGTTAAAGAGCCCCACAGTTTTGTAAACTGATTCATGTGTTCGCTTGAGCTTTTTCTTTTCTTGCAGGGACAAATTCCACTGCCCAGTGCCGCATGCAAACAGTAAAAATGTTACAAGCAAGGCTACTAGTAGGAGAAAATGAAAGCTCACCGAAGTGACTCCCTACGCTCGGAATCCTCATATTGGAATTGATATTCATGAGGTCAGGTGAAAGGTAAAGGCTGGCCAGCGGAAATGTCCAGATTTGTGGAGTCCTCCTGTTTCAAGTCATGCTTTCGTTGGTGAAGTTCTTCGAGACTCAACTTCTCCAAGTTTTGTGGCCTTTGCGCAACGCCCACACAACTGACTCCGTCTGCTGCAGGGCCTACGCCAAATAAATCCTTCAAAGCAATCGTCAAATCCAATGAGGCCAAGATACTTGACTTTTTTGGGCCTTGGAATGTCCTCGTCATCTAGGATGCCTGCAAAATGCCCCATCCAGAGCTCGGTTATTACAACAAAGCTTGGGCTATTCTTGCGCTCTTGTTGCTGCACGTCAAGGCAAGAAAACTGCCAGAACCGAGTCCCCACCTGCCGCACGTCACCACTAACTACAATCGCAAACATGCGCGAATCAAATTACATCAAATTACCAACATTTACCAACATTTATACCAAGTCCTTGCTGTCCTTAATGGTCCTTACATGTCCTTACCAACATGTGCCAACCATTTCCTCTGCGCTGCTGCCCATCCAAAGCTCACCAGGATCCTGCCTGGTCGTGGTCGAGCAGCTGCCGAGATAGGACCAGGCCCTCCTCCATCTTCGTACCTTTGGGAACTGCGGAAGCCGCTTAGCAACGGATCCAATAGCAGCTGCTTACTGTACTTCCAACTGACCTCCCAGGTAATTTTTGACGTCATCTTGCATGTATATTACGTACATACATGCGCGCACACAATCATACATAATCGATATGTATATATATATATATAATATATATACACGCATTTGTTTCTATAGTTTGCGGGATGTATGCTTGCACTATCACCACATTTCTTGTGCGATTTGTGCGTGCATCCGAAAGGCGTCTCAGCAAAACCACCGGAAAACACTTCGTAACAATCCTCACAATTCTGCAGCGCCCGATAGCGTCAATTAGCGTCAGCGTTCTCATGTCACAAGTGCTGACAGGGTGCTGCCGCTTCTTCCCCATACTTTGAGCCTATGGCTAAGTCAACTTTACTGCCGGGCTCGTCTCCTCTCGAGCTCTTGAGCCACAGCTGAGGTTGCCAGCACGAGATGCCAAGAATGGTTCCTGCCTGATGATGACACTCGCATCTTAATCTGATTATCTTTGCAGACCTTTGCAGCATCCTTTTGCCAGGTCTTCGTTTCAGAAAACGCTACAATAGGTTGCAATGCAATAATAACAATATATAATAATAAATATATATATAGCAATATCATGCAATATCAGTAATAGACTGCTGAAGGGACACTGAAAGCTCCCTCAATTACTCAAACATGTTTACACCATCCCCGCACTTCCCACATCGTCCCACATCTTCCCACTACACAAAAGCTAAGGGCTGTGACTCGCAGTTATCTCGTGACTTGAGATCACATTTTGTAGCACGCACCTTGCCTGGTAGTGAATATCAAGATGGTTTGATTTGCTGTCAGCATGAAATCTTGAAGGCTAATGAAGGCTACAGTATGAAGAAAGCTCAGTTCTATTCTAATCTGGCCTCCAGATTGTTGCATTGTACAGTGAAAGAATTGACTGAAAAAAACTTGACTGCAGCTGTCCAGCAGTCGGACTTTGCCATTGCATAATCAACCAACAAAAGATGTAATTCAATAGAATTAAGATGAATTAAGATGAATTAATTAATAAGACAGGCATGCAGTGCCGCTCCCTACGATCTTCATCATCTCCATGCGAAAAATCAGCATCTCGCCACCTGAAGGAAACTCGCCACAACCACTTGGCACATAACAATTTCAAGAATTGCAAAATGCCGTGGCAAAACCCCTCCAGCTCCAAGGGGAACAAAGCCCATGAAATCACTTGAAATCTGTCAAATCTATTAAAATCTGTCAAACATCGAAAAATCATCGAAAAAAACATGAACTTTTCGCCTTTGATCTTTTCGCCACTTCCACCATCGCCATAGCCTGGACGATGACAGAGGCGAACTCAGTGAATCAGTGCACACTGATCGTGGCATCAATATGTAACATGGTGGTCAGTTTATGCCGTATTATAGATCTATGCAATCTAGAATGTCATGATCGGTCATCACTGGAATAAGATTTCAATGTCTTTTTGGAAAGGGAGCACGCATGCCCTTCTTGGAATCCAAAATTAGAACCTCCAATGACCCAAACCGCCTAGCTTGGAAGGAATGTACATCTCCCACTTGTCGCCCTCCACCTTGTTGCCAAGGCTGCCACACAAATTCCACTGCAGCGGCGACACTTACAAAAAAAAAAAACTTACGTGAGTGCGAAACAAACTGTGCATCTGTGCACATAATTGTGCGTAAATAATCGCGTTCAGCATCGCGATTGTATCCTTTCTATAAGCAATGTCATGCACAAATGGTAGTTCAATTTTTGGATGTTCTGTGCAGGAGCTTGTTGGCAAAACAACCTCAGTTGCAGAAGCTGTTGTTGAAGAAGTGACCACCATTCTAATATCTGAGAGCCCACCATCAGTTGCATCGCTTCGGTCCAGCCCTTGATGACCTCAAACTTGGAGAACCACTTGCGCTTCTCAAGGTGCCTCTGTGGGAATATTATTGCTCTCATTACTTCAGACACACACAAACACATCATACATACATATCTATATTATATATATATATATGCATGTACTGTATCTAAGTATTCTTGCGGATGCCAACGACTCTTCCCTCTTTTCTTGTTTTGCTTGATCGACCAACCTGCAGTGTCCAACAGCCGCTAAGGCCCTAGTTCCTCTGGTTCAAGTCTTTTAATCCAACACCTTTGCCAACTGCAGGAGGATAGCTTCAACATCATACCATAGGCCCCACCTCGGCTCCCAGTCTGACTTGCCTGGTTCGGAGCAAAATCGGTTGGCGATCCTCTTTTGTAGGAGGAGTCAAACCTGAGTGAGGCAAAACTGATGCAGTACAAGTTGTACATGGCAACCGTGCCAATCACTTACTCCGAGTCCTTCTTGGCATTTCACACACTGTTGAGAGTAGAATCTACTCTGACGTCGAACTTTATAATGTCGATATAGTAGTCGCCTGTGTAGTACCTAGGAATCCGCCTGGACAGTAAATCTGAAAAGAAGTAGATTTTAGCGAAAAGATTTACAGACCTGATCAATCACCTGAAACAGCCTGATGAGAACAGTTTGTCTAGTTTGTTTGCAGGTACACATCAGGACGTCTCCCAATGCATCACCAGAGAATGTGGGCGTCTTAGTTGGCAGTGATCCCACAGACTCTGTCACTGCCCCCTGCTCAATTTGACATTTATTGATTCTTTCCCGCATGACAGCTAGCGGGCTTCACACACACACAAACACACACACACAAACACACACACACACGCAAAACACAAACACACACGCGCACACACACACATGCACACACAAACACACGCACACATAATATACCTGTATATATATATGTATAAATGATAATAAAATATAATAAAATGATATATACATATCACATATTATCACATATCATATTGACTTAATTATATACTTTTTCTGAGCGTTTGGAACTGGATTTGCTGACCGAGTTCATAGCTCTTTCCACTCATCCTCGGGCAAGTCAATGGCATTTGGAGTGAGGCTCAGCGTGGTGCCTGCCTCGGCCCAGGTCAGCTCAGCAAATCCAACCTGCAGCCCCTGCAGACCCTTTGTGGTCTTGGTGACGGACATAATGGCAGCTGCAGGTAGTATCCTCAATGGCAGGTGTATGATTTCAACGGATGCAGGCAAAGCTGACCCTTGCGTTGAGGGAAGCAAACGTGGTCATTGGGGAAATAAATGCACTGGCGGCTTTGAAATGCTAAACCTTCAGTGGTGATTGACTAAGCAGTCTCGCTATGTATTGAAAGTTGATCAAAGCGCCTTCTTTGGGTGGAACTTGCCGGTGCCTTTCTTGAGGACCTGTGAGCCATCGTGACATGCCAAAACTGTTGGATTCCTTTGTTTGCCATATGCTGCCATACTTCAGCATTTGAATTGCAGCTAGATATTCGTACGAGTAGTAATCTGTAATTAGTCTGGAAGTCTGGAAGAGTGGTGAGCCACACTGGCCATACTTAGACATATTTCCTTTTGGATCCTTTTGGATCTTCCAGATTCGCAGTACTCTTGGGGCCACTTTTCATTGATCCATACCGATCATTGCTCTCAGAGGCCTTCGAGTTCTGAAAGGCCAACGAAGTGCTGACTTTGTCAGTTCCACGACCTCCCAGCCTCAAAGTAACCGTCCCACAGCCGCGGTCGCTGCAGGTTCCGGTCAAGCAAAATTGATATCGGCTTGTGCCAAAAAAATGACATGGGCCAAAGGCACACATGTCTAAACCATGCACCCCAACCGAAGGCTGTACGAAGGTCCTGCATGGCTTTAGGGTTAGCAGCTCGGTTAGCATTCGTGTTTCGGCAACTTAGCGTTGCTTTACACCTGACACTTCAAAATCTTCAAATCCCATTACCCTCTGCGTCAAAGCTCCTCAACTTGCCGCTCTGATCATAGCGCTCTGTTGCACAAGAGCGATGTTGAAGGAGGGTCCGGCCGGCTCTTGGGTAGTTCAAGCGACGTTCTCTAGGTGTTGGGGACGTTGAGGCTGGTCCATTCTCCCTAGAACCTTTGGCTGTAGATGGCCGTGGAGGGGGTGTGGGCATCAAAGTCAGCCCAGTCTTTGGACTCATCTCAGCCTCCAGGGTGTTCAAATCCATCATCAAACGAGTGTTGATCTTCTCCAAATGATCACTTCTGCTCAGCCACATCTCCCTGTCGGCTTCCAGCAACTTCACTGACCTTTGGTGCCTTGCCTCCTGCTCTCCAAGAGCGTTCAACTTTTCACAATAGATTTGCCGCAGCTCGCAGTTGTCAGAGACTGCTGCGTGGCACAGCTCATGCTCCTTCTTGAAGTCTGCCCTCAGTTTTTCCACTTCTTGTTCTTTCAGCTCGAACAACTGGTCCTTGGCCCCGATCCTCTTCAAAGCAAGCTCCAACTTGGAGCGCAAATCGGCAAGTTCCATCTCCATTGCTTCTACCTTCGGGCTTCTCTGCAAGGATGCTTGAAGCTTCTGAAGTTCATCGTCCTTATGCTTGATCTGTCCCTGTAGTTGCTGCAATTCCTCCTCCTTCTCGACAGCCTTCTTGATGGAGCTATCCAATCTCATCTGCAGGTCGGATAGCTCCCACTGCATGGTTTTCTTTTGTTGTTCCAGTTCGTTGCCCTTCTTTCTCATCTTTTCAAGCTCTGCGTCCTTCAATGGCAGCTGACCTCGCAACAAGTGCAGCTCTTGACCCATAACTTCGCACAAATGTTCCTTGGCACTCAACTTCTTTGTGACAGCCTCTAGGCGTTTTCGCACATCACTCAATTCCAACTCCATGGCTCTGGGCTCTGTGAAGAGTTTGCTGCGAAGCTCGCCTCTCAACCTCTCGAGCTCATCATCTTTGCACTGTAACATGAGTCGAGCGCTGCCAAGTTGATCACACAGAGCTGCGACACTGGCCTCACTTGCTTCATTGGCTTTTTTCATGGCTGCCATGGCCTCCTTCTCCTCACCTTGGGCCTTGCAACGAAGCTCCAGGTTCTTGGCTGCCAAAATCCGCTCTCGCTCTAACGCACCAGACAGCTGCTTCCGTAACAGAGCCTCATCAGCCCTCACTTGAGCGAAGGACGCCTCTGTGTCCATGAATAGCTGATGCCAGTGTTCCACTTGTCTCAACAAAGAAGCTTCATGATCAGCACTCATGGCTGGTGAGGCTGGTGAGGGCGAGGATGCTCCCCTGATGAATGGAAGTGAAGACACTGTTGTCATGTCTCAGCTTCACGGGGAGAGTGCGAAAGAAGGGCACACAGGAAGGGCACTGGACTTGAGAAGGAAAGACTTGCAAATTTCATCAAATTTCCATCAAGTTTCCATCATATCGATGGTGTACAAACGCCACCTGGCTCTTGGTGTCTTTCATGCAAATGCATCATGATACCCTGGAATCACTTCATACACAAACGCAACGTGCAGGCGCAGAAAACGCAAGTCTTTTTGGTCCTGTTTCACATGGAAAAGGGACGTCTTCTTCAAGACTCGATTCGGTAAACAACATCTCCCCAATCTCCACTCCAACATACTCCAACAGTAGCCTTCAACAGCTTTCAGGATCATGTGCCTTGCCTTGTACTGAAGTCCGGACTTCAGAGTCACCACTCCTCCCGGGAAGTTACTTTCGTCAATAGCAAGTAAGTCGGGCAAATCAATCAATCATAAGGCGAAACATGCGCAATGTATTGGATGCAAACTGTACAGTAGTCTTCAACATGCCAATTCAATGGATGGATCAGCGGATGTGTCAGCGGAACGTCCTGGAATTGAAAACTCAAGAGGTCCAAACCAACTCACCAGCAAACATTACCAAAGGTGTGTTCAAATATAAATTTGTGTAAATCTTCTTGCTGACATGGAAACTGCATGGCGCTCGCACATTTGTCCACAGGGTCCTGCGTGTTGCGTTGAGACCACCTATGACCACCTTGACTCAGAGACTTTGCATCACTTTGCTGCCCCAATGAAGCACAAGCTACTGGGGCTGAGTCTGTACCAATTGCAGACCAAAAAAAGGTGAACCTGTCACGAGGATACACAAGGACTTTACCTATGTACCATCCGAGGATGCCAAACACAAGCAAATCATCGGGCATGGCCCTCTCACTTGCACTTCGAATATACTGTTATAATATACTTTTTTAATACACTTAGAATATGGAAAACTCATTGGTTAGCACATTGCACTTAGAATATAATTGTTCGTTTAGCACTTAGAATATAAACACATATACTTTCATATGGCATAGTCTAAGTGTGCATGTTTCAGGCCATACTTAGAATATCAAATATATATATAATAAAATTAATATAACATAATATTTATTTATTCATTTAAAATATATTCTAAGTGCAAGGTCACCACTGCATGATATTGTATTGAACATGAGTCCAAACGAAGTATACAATTGGATGTTGGGATGCTTTAAGAATCTGTAAGAAGCTTGGGCAGCATAGAACTTGCTGCACAATCTAGAAGCTGCATTATTTGCTTTTTTGTGGGCATCGCTACATATCGCTACGCGTGTACCTTCACACCCAAGTCAAAGCATTGAAAAGTGAGTCGTACAGAAAACCTGAGGTTCTTGGCAGCGATGTTCCACAGGTCTAAGTATTGTCTACTGTCTACGTATTGTCTTATATTGTCATCTTATATTGTTTTTGTCATTGTTATATTGTCTTTGCATGTCTTTGTGTAATTATTGCATTTTGGTTCTGTTCTCTAAGTACGAGTAACATGCACTCAGCATCCCCGAACTCTCCCACAGGTACTTGTGTGGCCACGTGTGTGCGCAAGGACACATTCAGCTATGGGCAGGGGCTGCTGCGCGATTTTGCGCAGGAGAGGGCTTCAAGCGACTTTTATTGGTGACAGGCTAACATCCTGGTCATTCTTTTTCCTGTGTCTAAAAACGGGCTACCGTAACTGTGGTGATAAAGCCCTTTGTTACCATCACAAGGCAAACATCATCATGTCCAGTATCCAAGAGAGTTTCACCCTGTGCCATACTAGTAAAATGTTGCAATTTGTAGAGCTTAATATAAGTCTTGAAAAGTGACTGCATCACAAGCATTCACATGTATTGTAGGGTCTGCTTTGGTACTGGATATGTGATTTGTAATTTGTAACGTCGCAAATGGGGGTCACATGGTGTCACTTATATGTATATTATACATTATATTACTGTATAATATATTATATATATACACACTACCAATTACATGAGTTGCATGAGACATCTTTCTTACAATTGCCTACAGACTGTTGTCAAGTTCGGTGCTGCTAGGTCACAGTTTCTGCACTCTGTTTTCTACAACATTTCTGACAAGATCATCTGATGGCTGTGTGTTGTGGCATGGTGTGGAAGTATAAGCTCCACGCTTGGGAAGCGATTCAGTCCCTGCTAAATTACCGTGCAAGCTAAGTCACAACTGTGTGTGTGACCTCCGAACTCGACAAGCAAAAACTGAGAAATAAACGTCAAGGTTTGGCCTTGTAAACATCAGTGGACTTCTTTGACACATCAAGCATACATCCATGAAAACATCAATTTAAGAGTAATTAACAACAATATCACGAGATCAAGTGGCTGCTCAAACCACTATTGGTTCTTGTATCATTTGTATCAGCTGACCACATTTTGTGACATGTTGTGAGCAATAGACCTAGGAAGTACGATTCAATGGAGTTCTTCTCAGTCTCTTTCACTCGTGTTCAGTGGCAAGCATAGCAGCTTTACGGTGCCAGCTCAGCAGCTTTCCAAAACAGCGTTCTTAAGGTGACCCAAGGCTGAAAGAGAATGGTGCCAACACACGAGAAAAATATTGGAACGCATTGTAATGCTTTACTGCCCACATCAAATTTGTGGTTTTGAGATGTGCTCCCGGATATGGATGTGATTGTGTGATGTCAATGTTGTTTTTTCTTTGTCAGCAGATTCACTTCTTTGGCTACAGCCATGAAATCCGTGGTTGGGGGCTCAAGTGCTTCACGATGCTTCACGCCGGTTTGTCGTCCAAGCAGAGGGCTGAAGTACCTCCCAATGTGTGGGCCTTAGCTGTCTGATTCATGTTGCGATATGTATCGATATGTTGCGTTTGCGGTGGCATGTCATTGCAGTCCTGATCTCCTGATCGTATGTATCCTTTTGCTGCAGGTGAAGACTGGAAAGGCAATGGCTTCCAGCGAACCTTAACTCTCAGCCTTTCTACGTAATGCATTTTTTTTCCATTGCTATGATCTTATATCGTCTTCTTTTGTGGATGGATGTCATTCAGCTTCACAGCCGACTCAGCCATGTTGCCACACCAGCGAGGATGAAGACACAAGGCAAGGCCTTTTCCAATGGAAGGTGTTCTTCGATGATAGCAAGGACCTGGGCGTCAAGGTGGAATGAGGAGAGTCTGATGCTGGTACTGTGTGGTGAGATATTCATCTGATGATTTTCATAGTGAATGATATGTTGTGTTTGAAAATGATGAGGTAAAACAAGCGAAAATGATAAATCCACAATATACTGACAAAGCACACATGACATCACACGGCGTTATGGAGTTTTGTGGTGTGCTAGGATCAGGGTTGTCATGACACAAACTGATACAAACTGCAGGTCAGGAACCATATGACACACTTGCTGTCCGACAGTCACCTCAGCTATCAAAGGCACGAAAAGTACAAGTGTGCAGCGTGCGGCAGCATAAAATCAGTGGCGCCACTTCTCAAATTCAAACTTCGCAAAAGTCCACTTATCTGCAGAAAGAAAGGACATTGATGATCCGCCATCCGCGTGCCTTGTTTGTTTCTCCCCCTGCTAGGACATGGAACATGGCTATAACTGGCTATAACCTGTAACATTTCTGAGTCTGTTGCAGCATCGCGGCCCCTTGTCCCCAACCATTCCAAACTCACCAAAGAAATCATCACAAGACCTATAGAATCCTATAGCCTATGGCTCGCGAGTGCCTGTCGCTGAGGCCTTCAAATTCTGACCAGTGACGCAGCAATTCAAAAGTGCCATCTGCAGGGCAGTGCTCACTTGCCTGTCAAGAAAAGCAGCTATCATAGTTCTTCCGTGAAGGCACGTACTTGTACTAATGATGCTGTACGATGTTGCTGGATGTGACTGGGGCAAAGAGCTGCACGTCCGAATGGAATAAGCATCAAAGCATCGCAAGGCGCTCCAAATCATTCGTTCACAGCTGTCAGGCTCTACTTTGTCGTGACAAGCTGCTTTCCTTCCTCTTCGGCACGCTTGTTGAGAGTTGCGACCAAGCCGAACGGGATAGCAAAGGATCCCGTCTCTGGCATGATTGAAAGGACAAAGCACAGCATGGCCTTGGAGAGAAAATACTCACATCATCTCACATCAGTTTCAAAACGTGGCCGTCAATGTGGACCAACGTGAATCAAAACCGTTTAACAATGTTTGACATACCCATATGCATATCATTGCATATCCATATGCCCAGCAAATGCCCAATCTTCGTATACTCATACGAAATCGGACATATAAGCAAACCCGCCGCAAAGCCATCTGCGACAAATTGCCATAACCTCCAACCCCCTTTCGGACTGAATTCGACAGTTGCATGATGTTCCACATTGTTCCACGCTCTGTGTCTGGAGGGTCTGATGCTGCTTTAGTTTTGCGATATATTGCATCGCTATGCATTGCTTAGATATTGCATGTCATTTCAAAGAGATGCGGTGCCAACACTTGGGGCGCCATGACCTCCGAGCGGCGAAGGTTGCCATGTGGCCAACCACGAAGCCAGCGAGGAAACTGACGACAGCACCGATAAGGATGCAAGGAGCATAGATCAAGCGAGGCCGCAACTTGGTCTTCATGAGAAGTGCGATGATCCTCAGAGGGTTTGTACATGTCTGGGTAAGGTCTTTCATGTCAATGTGAAATCACTGTTCCAAACTTAGCATTGAAGTCGAAAAGGCGTCCACAAATGTTATTTCCTCCTGCTTTGGCTGCTCCGTGCTACAGCACACGTGTAACTTCAAAATATTCAAAGGTTGCAGAAACAGCTCGTTGTCTTTAGCAGACCCCAGCCGGATCAGCTCTCCCCAGCCTTTAACAAAGCTCGGCTGGTAGACTGCTGGTAGCTAGTTGTCTTTAAACTTCTCATGATTTGACAACTTTCTCAACTAATCAGATCTAATCAGATCTAATCAGATCTAATCAGATCTAATCAGATCTAATCAGATCTAATCAGATCTAATCAGATCTAATCAGGTTCATCCCGCAACTCCCTGAAATCAGCAAGGGCTCACCAAGGCAGAGAGCAGCTGAAGTCCAGACCTGTCAAAGCCACACCCCAGGGGTTCTCCATGGGGATCAGATTCCTCTGCGCACAATGTGGCACAATATTCCTAAAAGTTTTGGCTGAAGATTCTCAAGATTTCTGAAGTCTTGGACATTGGACATTCTTGGACTTCAGCTGATCAGAGCTTCACGGTTTCACTCTTTAACTCATCTAGTCAGTACTAGAATTCTATGTATTTCTCATCGTTTCCCAGCACTTCTATGGTCTTCCATGCACTTCCTAGGTTTGGTGCTTCTGTGACCCCCTGGTCCTGTGCTCAGTCCCGCCTCAGCTGTCCACTTGTGCTGAAATCATCCATGCCCTGGGCATAGCGGAGCTTCTTCTCGCTGCCAGCTGGAGCATGTTGGTCACCTGGACAGGCTTCGCGGCCACACGCCCCACGCTCCAGACCATTTCAAAACCTTTAGCTAGTCTCAGCCATCCCCAGTCATCTCCAGCCATGCTAGACCCAAGTCTCCAAATGATATTTTTGTATTGAATGATATAGACATGATATTGACATGATATAGAATGTATATACTGTAACTGTAATGGTCTGTAATGCCTGCACAAGGATTTCGCAACAAGCACAACAAGCCAAAGCAGTTGGGACGGACTTTTCCAACGCTTAAATCGCAGCTGAGGAACTAATTGCTTAAAATGCATTTGGAAGACTACAGTATATACAATGTCTTGCCATGTCTTGCCTTGAAGCCGACTGAAACACAGGCAAGGGTCTGTTCTCTGGAATCGTTCAAACACGCCAAATACATCGAAATACAGTCAAACAAACTGCTGCGTCAAAAACACAGCTCGCAATATACACGTGGCCAGCAATCGCAGACAAAAATGACGGAGGAGGACGTCCTTGCAGCTGCATTCAATATCTTCTACAGGGCAGTTTCAGCCCAGGAACTGATTGAGTGCTGCATATGCTTCAGCCACCTCACGAAATCGGCGGGATGCCTCTTCTTTTGAGGCCTCCAGATTCTTGTCTGGGTGATATTTCCTGGGCTCAAATAAAAATTGCTGCTTTTTCAATGCTAAGATGGAGGGAAAAAGACATCTGCAGCACCAGCTGTTTCTGAGTATTTCTGCATGCAGTACGCGAACATACGCGAACATCTAGGTGGCTCAGTGTAAACATTGCAGCCCAAGTATCAACGCCAGTTTCCGGTAGGCCTTTTTTATTTCTGCAGCTCCAGAATTGGGTGCAATCCCAAGGGTATTGAAATGATGCATCAGATTTTTCGAAGCCTGCACAGGGGCAGGGGCTGTCGGCATCGAGGCAAACCAGCTGGCACCAGCCCCTATTAGCCAGGGCTACTTTACGTTGTTCGCACAACAGACCATTCGTCCTCTGAGAACACAGACTATCACAGACTACAAAAGCCAGCAAAGCATCACATCATGGGCTCGAGATCGTGCTTATAAACAGTTTGTGACCATGTCATGCGTTCGAAGCTCCTGAACCCCAAGTCACCACAATCAAATGTTGAAACAATGGTTCCTGCCTTTGAAGGAGGCACGGGCTTCTTGAAGTTCTGAAAGTTTGGGGAACCAAAATTAAAGTGCTCAAATCGCTCAAACTTCATTGGTTTGGGCTTGGGCTTTGGTTCAGGTGGTGGAGGTGGTGGCGGTGGCCAAAGTGTCGATGTCAGCCGGTGAAGAAGTTCCTGCTGGGTCTTTTCACTCGATCTCAGGCCCCATATCACTAAGCCATGACATTCACTAGGAAGTTTTTTCTACCATATTAAATACATTAATGGTCTCGAGAGGTAGCGGACCTAACCAGCCTGAACACTGTGGCTGGGACCAGTGAATGAGGTCTGTGGATGCCTATGGATTTCTTTTGGTGCAGGAGCTCTGGTGATGATGTGTGCATCTCAAAGCAGCTATTCCACTTGCTCATGATCCCGCGATCGGTATCAGGGCCAGACAGGATATCATTTTTTGATATTTTTTGATATTTTTTGGTATTGCCAATCTTGCCATGCAAAATTCAATTTTATATTTTATATAATTAAGCTGGCAATACCTGACATCCGTTCCTGGACCGTACACAAGTTGCATAAACAATGTGTTAGACTGCAACCCTGAAATTTATTGAAATTCACTATGTTCGTAGAACATCGTAGAACTTGCGCTCGAACTTGGTGTGTGCAAACTTGAACTGTGTCCGTGACCTCTTTCAGAGGTGCTGCTGGGCCATGACCCTTGCCATAGAACCCCTACGGTATTCCCTTTTCGAAGAGCTTCAAACAGTTTTGGTGGAAAGAAAACCCTTCGCCAATCCACACCACTATGCAACCAACAAGGCCACATCCTGTTGGAAACAAGGAGCAGTCACAACCTCAATCATCAGCTGAGTAGAGCCTCACTATGTTTCACAAAAAACTTTTTGCTACGAACTCTGTTGCTGGGGCGCATATTCTGTACTTTGGCCAAATTTAGGTCCCGGTATCTTAGACCCTACTGCAGCACCACCCACAAGCCACCAATGCTTATAAACTGCCCAAACAATGAAGCAACAACCTTGATCATCCACTGGATGATAACCATCCGTCCTTCGTCTGGGTCTCACGGCCAGGTAGACCGTGAGCACGAGCAATTCGTTGCAATTCTTTCAGTGGCAACTCGCTCCAAAGCATGGCTTGCTTCACACGTTCTATCACTTCTGCGCGCTTGCAATCCTGCAGTCCAGCTGGCTCGATCATGCTCCATCTACAATTCGAAACAACCTCAAACTGCCCTGCAGTTTAAAACTTTTGACCTAGCAGTACCTTACAATAGTGTTTCCTTGAACACTGTCCAGCACTTTATGTACTTGTTCGGTTTCAAGGGCTTTGGTCGCAACATCTAGGTACCATGCGGCTCTTGCAGCTTCAGGCCCTGCCCCCTGACAAATTCCAGAATTCGAAGTGACCGAGAAGTGTAATATTGTGATATATATATATATATTTATTTCTATTTTTACATCTATACTATACATACTATAATACACTGTAATTAGTAATTAATGTGTTGTTATAATCTCTTAGGCATCATGCCAGTGCAGTCATTTTGACCACGTGGTTGGATCTCCACACAGTATCCTGGACCATGTGAGACTGGTCCTTACATTGTAGAGAAACACAAGGTAACTACGCCATCGTTAGCGGCATCGCAGTTTTTCATCGTGCAGCATTTCATGTCTTCAGTGTCCTTTTATATGGATTTATATGGCGCATGACCTGAGGCACCATTTGCCAAAGGTTGTGGTGATTGTTGTAACGTAACGCCATTGCCACTGGTAAATCCAATTCCACAAGTCTCCATTCAAGAGTGTGGTTTTTGGATCCTTTGTATATAAGTCATTTTCCTAGCATTCAGGTGTTGTCTCATTGCTTTCAGGTGTTATGTCTGCAGCAGGGCAACTGCACGCAATCATGTTTTGGATTTTGCACTCCTACTGTTTGAAAGATTAAACACAGGTGAACTATGTAAAATGAAAATGTTCAATCAAATAGATGCCACCGATATGTTTTTTTTGGTTGGTACTGTGTGTCTGTGCAACAATTGGGATTTGTGCTTGATTGCTATTGGTACTGCCAGCCCCAAACCACAACACTTGCGAACAATGACGCTTATCACGTCACATAAACCGATAGAAAGATCAACTGACATGGTTTTCATGACCAAAAAATCTCAAATTCAAGCTTGGCTGAACGGTCTTTACATGGAAAACCCGTATGGGCAGCGCATGACTTCAAAGCATGTTCATGCACGGCGGCGTCCCGGCGTCCCGGCGTCCCGGCACCCGTGATGATAAAACGCAACCCAATCTTGTACCACCCTTGGCGCAGCGAACAATACGGCGCAGTCGTATCAGTAAATCAAAATCAGACTTAGTAGCACATAATTCGGGTTCCTGGGGGTCCGTTTCCTCCATGATGTTCTTGCTGCTGTTTTTCCGGTGAAGATCAAAGACCTTTGGATTGGTGGTTCTTCTGCCATTCAATTTGCGGCTATTTCGTGAAATCGTTTGCAAAATCGTTTGCTTTGAACAGTGTGATTGTTTGGAAAGCGGCCAGTGTGTATCCCAAGATATCATGTTGCCAAAATGTCATGTTGCCAAAGTATTGCTTTGCCAAAATATCATGTTGTCAAAATATCATTTTGCCAAAGAATGGTTTGCCACAATATCATTTTGCCAAACCATTGTTTTGCCACAGCATTCTTTTGCCCAAATATCATTTTGTCAATGTGGTTGTGCCTACTCTATACCACCATGAGCCTGTGTGCGTGTGTGGGTGTGTGTGTGTGTGCGGGTGCGCGGGTGCACGTGTGCGTGTGTGCGTGTGTGTGCGTGTGTGTGCGTGTGTGTGTGTGGGTGTGTGTGTGGGTGTGTGTGGGTGTGTGTGTGTGTGTGCGTGCGGGTGTGTGTGTGTGTGTTTGTTTTGTGTTTTGTGTTTTGTGTTTTGTGTTTTGTGTTTTGTGTGTGTGTGTGTGTTTTGTGTTTTGTGTGTGTGTGTGTTTTGCGTGTGTGCGTGTGTGCGTGTGTGCGTGGGTGCGTGGGTGCGTGTGTGCGTGTGTGACTGTGTGTAAGTGCAAGAGAACCTCAGTATAGTCAGCATGACGTGTGTGTGTGTGTAAGTGCAATGGAACGTCATTGCCCCACCCCACCCCCTCACATATATACGTATACAGTATCTAAAAATCATCGTTTTCCCCCACGCTGTTAACGCCGGCGTTAGCATACCCGGCCTACCCTATAACGTCCTTGTCCACATGGATGCTGAAGGCTGAAGCTTTGAACAGCAAGCCACCTTCACTTAGACTGTCGAGCCTTAGGCGAAGCATTGCCCTCTCGGCCCCCCAACCCCTGCCAGACGAAGGCCGGAGTGGGCTACATACAAACCTGTCATGAAAAGTTGTCGTATTTGAACTCCTCCAAAACCTGTATGCCAAAGGTGGAAGCATCGGGCTCAAAGTTGCTGAATGCTTGATGACTGAGTTCCACCATATTCAAGTACGAGCCCAAAAATCAAGTACAATCGAGTATAATCAAGTAATAGCACACCACATATTATTGTGCATGTGAGCCGCCGTCAGTATTAATTCATTGTTTACTCTTGGTGCAAACATTTAGCCTATCGTTTTTGGGAGGCCCTATCGCTTTGCATTGTTTTGTGCAAATGGAATCAAACTGACAGTAATTAATTATAGTACAAGAATGACAAATGCCAAATGTCTATGTTTTGTTTTCGGGTTATCGTTGTTTTTTTGGGCGGGCGGCGGGCCTATCGCCTCACAGTGTTTGATGAATGTTCCACGACTTTTTGCTCCCCTCCTTCATAATTGATCTGCGCTGATTTTGACCGTACCTCGTATGCAGTGCAAAATCTGTGTTCGTGATTGTTCGCGCATGGCATGTAGAACTCACAGATCAGCAAATGCAAAGGGACTGTTCCCACTTCTCCGCAACTTTCATGGCAGCTTTGACAGAGCCGAGCTTGCGAACTGGCAGTCCACGTCTCTCATACCAGGCCTCGCACTTTTCGATCAGAAGAGCGTCTACCTGAAGGCTGAGATTCGTTGGTATGGGCCTGATGGTGTCCAATGGGTCCAGCATTCTGGGAATGCTAACCCCAACCTACTGCTAGGAATTTATAGGATGGAAACCCAAAAAACACTTGTTCACGCGAAGGTGCCAGCAACTCTTTGAGCTCGTCTTCGGTGATAAGGCTTTGGGGCTGGGGGCATGCAACACTCTTGGCGCGGCATTCCAAGCGCAATTCTGCAGCTGGCAAGGCCCGCCTAAGCTTTCAGCTAAAAGTCTGCGAGCTGGTTGGTCAATGCTGACCATGTTTATCTGTAGTTCAAAGTTATCAATCGCCAAGTAAGGATACTTGCCATGAATCATATCAAAATCCTCCGCCACTGCCTGTCTACATGTCTCCAGTGCAGCAGGTGTAAAACCCCAGCCTTTGATTACCCTAACCCAACCAGAACCTTGGAATTTGTCCAAGCGGCCAAACTGAAATCTCTCGGTGTAGCTCCAACAGCTCCTGTCAACATCCGTCATCCAAAATCAAGAGACTGGACCGAGGATTGTTCTTAATTGGCCCAGTAGATTGCCCAGGGTTCTAGTGGCTTCCGTGAGATTCATGGGAGAAATCAATGGTCTGCCCTAGACACCTTTGCTAAGGTGCTAAACCTGGGCAAAATCCAGAAAGGAACCATGCCCATGAATACAAAAGGGCATCGTGCCGGCGGACCTGGAGCCGAAGGTTCCCGCAAAGAATTTTGTATAATTTTGACGATTTTAACACATCTCAGATAGTTTCCGTTTCTTTATTATTTTTTCCCAGTACCCCTGGCTTAGGCGCAAAAGCCGGGCCTGCTGTCGCAAGTGATCTGCTGGCACACCCAGACGACGGCACTCAGATTTCAAGCTGGCACTATCCTGCCGATCCAGCTCCGCTAGCTCCTGAGAATGCCACATTGGAACACGAGGAGGAAGGTGTGGCTTTTCCCACAACGATTCTGTCACATCTACGCCTGCAGAACTGGCTTCACACCGTTGCGTACCAGGACGCCTTTGCCATTTTACCAGCATCACGTAAGCATCACAATTTCATCACTATCATCACTTGTCTGTTTGATGTTTCATGGCCATTAATGGCATCATTACATCTCATTGGGGTCCTTTGCCAAGTTTGCTGCCGCCTTGAGGGATCCCAGGCGTCTTGCAGGGATTCCTTTGCCCTCGTAGAACTCGGCGCAACGCCGCAAGAGCAGCTGTTCCACCAGTTGGCAATGCTGTCGGAACTCGTCCAGGCCTGGACAACACATTCACCAAGGAAAGCCATGGATGCTGCATCTACGGTCCCGGTGCTCGGTACTCAGACTATACTGGCTACTTTTGGATCCGCTGGCACTCCGAGGATGTTTTTCCTAAAAGTATGGATTCATAAATTCATCCTGCTATACCCTCTGGAATTTCAATGTTCTTCCACGTTCTTCACCAGCCAAATGCATCCAAATGCAGAAAACATCAAGAAAAATCGGGAAAACATGTGTGGGCAAAAGCCTGGCAGGCCTCGATCACAAATGGCTGGACCTGTGTTTTTGGCAATTTCCAGTTTCAACTCATGGATCGGCATTGACTCCCAAACTGCTACATCTTTCAGCAGCTGCAACAAGTCATGTCGCTCCAGGCCGGCATCCACCTCATGCGCCAAAGCATCTTAAAGATGCCAAAACACGCCAAAACCATCCAAGACTCTAAGGCTCTCTCAATTGCTAACAGGTATGTATTAAAGTCTGTGACATTTCTGAAGCATTATGGCAACTGGTAGGAGCCAACCTGCCAACCAGCATGAAATGAATAATCTTTGCAAGTATGTGGCCACCAGAATCTCAAGCAAAATCTTTCCACCTATCACACATGAAGCCAAGACACTGGCACACCATGCAGTTCACACTTAATTTTCAAGTCTGCAGAGGTGATGTTGGCTAAACTTCTCCACTCCTCCGCCACCAAAGCAGCAGCTTGGGCATCCCCCAAACGGCTCACAGGAATGCCCATCTTCACCTTGCAATCATACCAGTGGTGCCACACTAATGTAAGACATAGGACCCAAGGAACCGATGAACACGGAAATCACCTCATTACAAACATGTGTTTTACCCATGACTCACTATTCATGGTGCCTGTTTCCTGCAGGCATCTGCGAACCTACAGAGAACGTGCAGCCCCAAAAATCAATATAGAAAATATAAAGATACAAAGTATTAAGTAAAAAAACATAATATACCAGCAGTACCCGCACGAGGCGGGGCGGAAGCTAACATAGGGTTATACTATATGACCTTTTTCCTCTATAGAACTTGCATGCGCCGTGCGCCGGCCAGGCCCGTGCGTGCGTGCTTTGTGCGAAGCTGTTGCCGCGTTATGCCGCGTTGTTGTCCAAGAACATGACCTGCGCGATCACGTTGCAACACAACGCCAAGCGAACCTTTTCTTCAGACTTCACACTGCGCTCTTCACACCCGGCACGCCTCACTTCACACTTCGCACTTCACACTCCACACTTCATCTCATCACAAATCATGAGAACTCTTCTCGCCTCATCTCACCTCTTCTCATCTCATCCCATCCCTTCTCACGTGTCATCTAAGTAAGTTCTTCCCAGCACATGTCATCTAAGTAAGTTCTTCTCAACTGTTTTCATCTCATCCGAGCACTGATCAACTTTTCTCACCTCCTCAAACTTCTCAACTCATCTCAGCTGTTCTGCACGCCAGAAAGCTCTTACTGTCAGAGAGAAGTCTTTTGCACAAAAAGACCATTGGGCGCAAAAAGCTTTTGCACACAGAAGCTTGAGACACAGATGCATTTACACAGAAAAGCCATTACAAAATACTTTGTACTGCAAAGCTTGCACAAAGCACTTCTCCCAGTACTACTTTGTACTACAAAGCTTGCACACAGCACTCCCCAATACTACTTTGTACTACAAAGCTTGCACAGAGTACTTCCCAGTCCCAGTACTACATTGCGCTACAAAGCTTACACGAAGCACATCCCAGTATTGCTTTGTATTGCAGAGCTTACACAAAGCACATCCCAGTATTACTTTGTACTACAAAGCTTGCACAAAGCACTTCCCTACAAAGCTTGCACAAAGTTCTCCCCGCTACTACTTTGTACTACCAAGCTTGCACAAAGCACTCCCCAGACTTCCCAGTACCACTTTGTACTACAAAGCTTGCACAAAGCACTTCCCAGAACTATGTACTTTGTATTAGAAAGCTTGCACAAAGCACTTCCCAGTACTACCTTGCACTACAAAGTTTGCACAAAGTACTTCCTGATACTACTTTGTACTACAAAGCTTACACAAAGCCCGTCCCAGTACTACTTTGTATGATAAAGCTTGCACAAAGTACTTCCCAGTACTACTTTGTACTACAAAGCTTGCACTTTGTACTACAAAGCTTGCACAAAGCACTTCTCAGTACTACTTTGTACTACAGAGCTTGCACAAAGCCTCCCCAATCCTACTTTGTACTACAAAGCTTGCGCAAAGTACTCCCCGCTACTACTTTGTAAGACAAAGCTTGTACACAGTACTTTCCAGTACTACTTTGAACTACAAAGCTTGCACTTTGCACGACAAACCTCACACAAAGCACATCCCAGTACTACTTTGTACTACAAAGCTTGCACAAAGTACTTCCTGATACTACTTTGTACTACAAAGCTTACACAAATCACTTCTCAGTACTACTTTGTACTACAAAGCTTGCGCAAAGGACTTCCGAGTACTACTTTGTACTACAAAGCTTGTACAAAGTGCGTCCCAATATTACTGCGTACGACAAAGCTTGCAGAAAGTACTTCCCAATACTACTGTGTACTACCAATACCACTTTGTACTGCAAAGCTTGCGCAAAGCACTTCCCAGTACTACTTCGTACTACAAACCTTGCACAAAGTACACCCCACTACTACTTTGCACTACAAAGTTTGCACAAAGCACTTCCCAGTACTACTTTGTAGAACAAAGCTCACACAAAGCACATCCCAATACTACTTTGTACTACAAACCTTGCACAAAGTACGTCCCAGTATTACTGTGTACGACAAAGCTTGCAGAAAGCACTTCCCAGTACTACTTTGTACTACAAACCTTGCACAAAGCACTCCCCAGTACTACTTTGCACTACAAAGCTTGCACAAAGCACTTCCCAGTATTACTTTGTACTACAAAGCTTGCACAAAGTTCTCCCCGCTACTGCTTTCTACCAAGCTTGCACAAAGCACTTCCCAGTACCACTTTGTATGACAAAGCTTGAAGAAAGCACTTCCCAGTACTACTTTGCACTAAAAAGCTTTTACAAAGTACGTCCCAGTACTACTGTGTACTACAAAGCTTGCAGAAAGCACTTCCCAGTACTGCGTTGTACTACAAAGCTTGCGCGCAGTAGTCCCCGCCACTACTTTGTATTTTAAAGCTTGCACAAAGCACTTCCCAGTACTACTTTGTACGACAAAGCTTGCACAAAGTACGTCCCAGTGCTACTTTGTACTTCAAAGCTTGCACCAAGTACGTCCCAGTGCTACTTTCTACTACAAAACTTGCACAAAGAAAGCTTGCACACACAGCAAGTTCTTGTGAAGAGAAGCTTTTACACACACCAAAGTTTTTAAACAGAGAAGCTTTTACACACAGCAAGCTTTTACACAGAGAAGGCTTTATACACAGAAGCTTTTACACACAGAGAAGCTTTTACACACAGAGAAGCTTGTACACAGAGAAGCTTTTACACACAGAGAAGCTTTTACAGAAAAACAGTTTTTACACAGAGAAGCTTTTACACACAAAACCTTTTACACACAGCAAGCTTTTACAGAAAAAAAGTTTTTACACAGAGAAGCTTTCTTGTACATGGATGGATCTCTGCGCCAGAGCAAAAAAAAAACACGATTTTGAATCAAGCACTTTTCAAAACAATTTTTTAAAGGAAAATCACCAGCGGCAAAATTGAGAAAATTTGCTGACAAATCACTATCGCAGCCTTGATGCAGCATTCCAATATGATTTATGATGTCCAGCTGCAAAAAACATTAGTATTACGCATGCGGCCGCGGCACCAAGCAACCTTGATGCAGCCATTACAATCCGATCTCCAGATACCGAATTGCAAAACACAAAAGAACTACGCGCAACGGCGTGAGAAATTGCAGCTCCAAAACCGGATGGATCTCGGCACCAAACCAAAAAAAAACATCCATGCAGCCATTACCATGCGATTTGCATCCAGAACATTAAGGGAGAACTGAGCCGATTACGCTCGAAACGATCCAAACCGCACCCGGCGCACACACGAGGTACCTTTCATCGCCGGCTGCAGCCACTTGACACGGAAAAGCACAAGGTTTTGTGCTCCGGCTTCCTCCCCAAAACAAACCCCATGCAACAGTCATGCAGCTGCCATTACAATGCGTTTTGCAGCAACACATACCCATCAATGCAGCCATTACAATGCGATTGGCATCCACACGTCGCAGAACACCAAGGGAGAACCGATTACGCTCGAAACGATCCAACCGCACCCGCCGCACACACGAGGTACGATTCATCGCCAGCTGTAGCCACTTTACACGGAAAAACAGAAGGTTTCGTGCTCCGGCTTCCTCCCCAAAACAAACCCCATCCAACAGTCATGCAGCCACCATTACAATGCGTTTTGCAGCAACACGATCACGACCATCTTACCCCCCCAGGGGGTGAAAAATGTAACATACATTTTTGGAGTGCCACTATGCCGGGTTTTGGGACCCTGGCTTTATACCACATATATCCACATATATGTAGGTTGTCTTATCCGAAGTCATAAAGTAAACGCAAGAATCTTACATTTTTAGGCCGGGTGAGCAAATTTATAAATCAAGTTTGTAAAGATAAACCTCAAAATTGTATTTTACATTTTTTTGGTGGATTGAATAGAAAAACACAAGATCCGATTTCCCAACCTGAAAAATGTATGTTACATTTTTGAGGTGTTGGATGTAATCCTTAAAAAAAGCCCTCCTATTGGTAATAGTATCATTGATTATACAAATCATATCCACCATATCTGTCTCAGTCTCACTTTCCAGAAAACGGAATTATATAAACTCCACCTCAGATATCCTCTCGGGTCTCTCCCAATCTTCAAAAATCGGTGCAGGCCCGAAACAAAATGTCCAAACATGTCCAAGCATTGGAATCAAACATAATAACATAGACCCGGGCAAGCCGGCGGCGGAAGTTTCCCAAACATAAATGACCTATAGTTCAAAGACACCCTGTCCCGACCGTGTCCTTCCCTCGACAACCGTTTGATTTTTTCAGCGAGAGACGAAGCAAAGTCTTCACACTCCACACTCCACACTTCACACTGCACTCTTCGCACTCCAAACTTCAAACTTCACACTCCACACTTCACACTGCTTCCTTCACACTCCAAACCTCACACTTCACACTTCACACTGCGCTCTTCGCACTCCAAACTGAAACTTCACACTTCACACTTCACACTCCACACTTCTCACTTCCCACTGATTCCTTCACACTTCACACTTCACACTGCACTCTTTACGCCCCACACTTCACACTGCTCTAAACCTACGTGCAACAAAAAAACACTAGTGCCAAAATGGAGAAAATCTGCTAACAAATCCATTTCGCAGCCTTCATGCAGCCACTCCAAGACGATTTCCGAGATCCAGCTGCAAAAGACAATAGTATTACGAATGCAGCCACAGCACGAAGCAACCTTGACGCAGCCATTACAATGCGATCTGCAGAGACTGAGTTGCAAAACACAAGAGAACTACGCGCAATGGCGTCGGAAATTGTAGCTCCAAAACCGGATCTCGACGCCAGAGCGAAAAAAAGACGATTTTGAAGCACTTTTTAAAAGATTTTTAGAAGGAAAATCACTAGCGCCAAAATGGAGAAAATCTGCTGACAAATCACTGTCGCAGCCTTCATGCAGCCACTCCAATACGATTTACGAGATCCAGCTGCAAGAGACATTACG